GGTGTCGTTCATAAACCGCCTTATATTGAAGCGACTTGAGGATTCCGAGTTCATGTTGCAGCACATGTCCGACCAGCTGACTTGATGCATTTGGTCGGCATCGTCCCGGGCTGCCGATACGACGGAAATTGGCCTGCTTCCTACGGCAGAAAGGGTGACCAGAATCCCACCGATTCAATTGTCTTTTCGTAAGTCGAGCGTCCTTCTAAGTCTCTGACGAAAAGGAGTTAATCAAAGACTCGTGCGTGTTGTATACGCACGAAAAGGCAACATCTTGACTCGCCTTTTCAACAACTTCTCCAGAGGGCGAAAACACGCTAATCCCCGTCATCCCGTAAGGTAGATGGCGTAGATGATCTGCGTCGACCAATTCACGCTTGCACACTCAGCTTAAGCTTGCTTTGGTTTTCGCGCCCTAAACTCATTTGATAAGGTCTACAGTCTTAAGTCGGCGGTCTCAGGCTGCTTCATGCCATCACCGCCGGTGCTTGTGGATGCCGAGCGGCAGTATGCCTGCGGGACTGCGGTCAACAAGTCAGCGGTCTGCGGAATGGCGTAAAAAGATGTGCACCGGGCTCGCCGCAGTCACGGTCCGTCGCAGCGTATAAGTCGCGATCGTGTAGTCTCTTCACATCGTCTACTGCCATGCTCAGTTTACCTGCCTGTAAGAGTCAGATAAACCCGTAGGCTTATGGCGCCCAGACTGTTTACGGCCTATGTGGTCACTACCCGATACTGTGCGAAGATTACAAGCGACAGACCACACTAACCCCTCCCGCCCATTGAGAGGAGCGCGGGGTATAATCTGACCTCTGGATCGTCATAGGTAACTGTGTCCGCCCTATCTCTTGGTCTTGAGAGGTCCAGAAATGCGCGCCGCCAGTTGCCTCGGCGGCGGCCAAAGCTCCCCCTGGTTCCCAGGGTCGGCCGGGACGCACCAGCGCTCGGAGGGGTGTTACTACAGTATGGGTTCAAATTGCGAGTCACCGGAGGGGCCGGCAGGATAGGGAGGCGTCAGTGCAGTCGAAGTGGGGGTCGCAGGAGGTCCTTCATATCGAGCGGTGAGGGTGTTGAACCTGAGAGCAGTTCTATGAGCAAGACTTGAAGGAGGGGGTGGCATGTCCCCAAAACATGAACCTGTCGGGTGATAGAGTGAGAAAAAATATGCGGACAACGATAAAGAGGAAAAGCCTGCAGGAAAAGAACATAGGGATGGAGAGGGGCATGAGCACAGCGAAGTAGAAGCAGGGATGATTGGCACTTCGGGTCCTCTATTAGGTGCTTCAGCATGAATGGTTTCTTGCCCGGGGTGCGGCGCAGTGGGTGGCACTGCCGGGCAAATGCACATGTTTTCTGATAAATCAATTGTATAATACGGTGATGACTGGAAAAAATGCCACCGCGTTGTTTCGCCATGCTCCATGCTTTGAAAATACAAAGAACATTCGAGTTGTGTACTGTGTGGAACATCGTGAATACATGCTTACGACATTGAAAACACCACATGTGCTCAGCATGTGTTCACGATATTCCGATCACATACATTGAAAGCTCACTTAAACACTCTCACGATGATTTCAGTATGTCGTCGAAAAGAGCGTGGTTGTTTGCCCGCGGTGTGGCGAGGTTGGTCAAAGCGCCCGCAGGGGCGAAGTTAGTGGTCGACCGTTCCCGGGACCTGGCAGGATGGGCATAACGGCAAGGAAATGAGGTGTGTGTTGGCCAGAAATATAACAGCGTTGAGGCCAACGTGATTGGTACGAAGCTGCGTGAGGATGCTGTAATGCTACCTGTGAGCGGTTGCTGCACTCGCACCGCTAAGCCCGACAGCGCTCAGTCTGAATAGGCGACTTACCACAGCTTGCCGCAGCCTTCTTCGACGGACCTGCCAGGAGGTGGGACAGTGTCTAGTCGTCGCCTGTCACGTCCATAGGCTGTAGGACATCTGCCGTGCTGCGCAGCAGTATGCGGGTAGCGATGGAAGTCGCTTCGAGATTCGAGAAGGCGCATATAGTCCGGTGAAATACTGTACACTGTTTGGTTGACTTTCAGTCATCCCTAGGCACCGCCTCGCAAGTTCGGCATTAGGGTTATGGAATACAGACACTTGCGTACTTCACTCACTAAATATAACTTGCAGCGCATATAGCCCGCTCGTGTACGCCGTGGCGGTTTCCACGGATGAGTGTTTTGAATACTGAAGGTCGCACAGTGACGGATGCTCACCCACGCCGCCGGTGGTCTTGTTCAGCGAATCGACTGCTACCAGGACGAAATGAGGGCAGATCGGAGTTTGCAGACAAGACGGGGTGGCTGATATATGCGAAGTCGTTTCAAGTGATTGTTACTCGAGTTAGATGTTCTGTTGAAAGAAGAGCTAAGTGGAATACAGTCGCCGAAACTAGCAAAAGGCGCCTGATTAAAAGCACGTGACTGCACTGATTATGGGCACACGGACTTGGGGCAGCCTGGACGACTCAGCCTTGGACATCGACCTCGACGAGAGCAACTGCTCGCTTTTTTCTCTGGTGCCTGCTGATTTTACCTGGCGACTGCGTACGACTCGGATGACTGCTGCAAAGGCCAAGAAGGCTCCCGCTCGGCCTCTTCCGACTCGGGTGACCCCTCGACCTGCAACTCCTCCAACCCCTGCTTCACCTCCTTCTGCATCCATCGGAAAGAAGAAGAAGAAAAAGAAGGGCAAGGGAAAGGGCGTCGATCGCAATGCCGGGGCCCCATACGACGAGGACGAGGATGATGAAGACGACGAGGCGGCCCTCCCGGCCTTGGAGCCCATGGGCGGTGTCTTGTACGAGCACACCCGTACCGTCCACCGCGCAGGACTCTCCCCGGAGCTCGCATCGGTGCACGTCTCCACTACAGCGTCGCTGTCAGCATCTCTAGCAGCACATCTGAAGCCTACAACTGCTGCTGAAGCGGAGCTTCTGGCGACCGCGGACCACCTCGCGCGAAGCATGGAGGCCGGAGCGGAAGGAGGGCTCGTCACGGACGAGTACTGGGCGTCGTTTCCGGAACATCTGCGCAACTTTGTACGGCACACTTACTCTCAATTGAGCTCGCCTGGTAACGCGGAACAAAAGACCCAGGCCATGTACGCTATCGCCCAGCAAATGCACTCCGGCGCGACGAAGGACGGTGGGCGGTACCCGCCCGGCGCATACCCTGGCATCCCCTTCGACCCTGCGATCTTCACCGACCCGCAATTTGCGCTCGCGATGGAACAGGCGGCAGCGGCGAACGGTACCCTGCAGACGGCCGATGGTGCTACGCTCGCGCCGGCGAATGTGGTGCTCTATCCGGAGGAACAAGAATACGGCGAGGACGATTATTACAGTGAAGAGGATGAGTTCGGCGACGATCCGGGCGAGCGCCGGGCGCAGGCCCATTTCACCCTCAGCTTCGAGGACCCTCTCGGCCGCATGCCGGCCGGCGAGGGTTATCCCAACGGCGGGTATCCGGCGGCGAAACGGAAGAATAAGAAAAAGAAGAAGAAATCCGGCCAGGAGGCGCCGGATACTCCGGGCGCTCGGCCGGAAGAGGGCAAGGGCGGTACGGTGACAAATCTTGCGCCGCCCGTCTCTCCCTCCAACCGCATGCCCGCTGCACGTCCACCGCCCGCTGCTGCCACCGCCAACCCGCCGCCGAGTTCTCGCGCGGCGGGCAAGAAACCTATGGCCTACCCTGCTCCTGCTGCTGACCCTCCTCCTCCCTCGCGCCGCGCGGCCTCTAAGGCACCCATCACCTCGCAAGCGTACGGTCATAATCACTCTCATCACCATCCATCGCCTCCATCCTCCAATGCCTCTGCACCACACAAGCCCAGACCTCCAGCTGGCACCCAGTCACCGCAGAAAAATAGCAAGATATGGAGTACAAGCACAACAGAGGAACGCGAGCGCATCAAAGAGTTCTGGCTTGGGCTAGGCGAGGAGGAACGCCGGAATCTTGTCAAGATCGAGAAGGAGGCGGTCTTGAAGAAGATGAAGGAGCAGCAGAAGCACAGCTGTAGCTGCGCAGTATGCGGGCGCAAACGGTACGTCGTTCTGTTGTTCGCATTCGAAAATTTTTCTTGACATTCCCTTTGTCCTTTCTCTCGTCCGCGTTTCGCGCCGCTCGCTCGCGAACCGAACAACTGTCGCTTCTGCGCCGCGACGAAGGCATGCAATTGAGGAGGAGCTCGAGGTACTGTACGATGCTTATTACGAGGAGCTAGAACAGTACGCGAACTACCAGCAGCGCTACATCTCATCCGGCGGGACGCTACCTCCTCCTCAAGGGCCAGGTCCATTTCCGGGCAGCGTCGAGCTCGACAAGAACGGGACCGTCATCAGTCCACACCCTCCGAGCGTCCACCGCGGCAAGAACGCGGTCGTGGCGAATGGGCGAAAGCCCGTCAAACACGCGGAGAGCGAGTTCGAGGACGATGGGGAGGATGAGTATCCGGACGAGGATGGGTATGAGGACGATGAGGAGGAGGAGGAAGAGGAAGAAGAGGAGGACGAGGAGGAAGAAGAGCCAGAGCCAGAGGATGAGGACGACATCAAGCAGCCGGACCAAAGGGCCGCAGCCCCGAATAGGCGACGAGCAGCGCCCAACGGAAAGGCTAACGGCCAAGATGGTTTGTCCAACTTCGGGAGTAACCTCACCGTGACTGGCAAGTATAAGGACTCGCGTGCGCCCCGGATATTGCGGACTAACTTTTCGGAAGTAGGAAACATCTTGACCGTGGCGGATGATCTTCTCAAGAACGATGGTCAAAAGTTCTTGGAGATGATGGAGCAGCTCGCTGAGCGCCGGATGCAGCGCGAAGAGGAGGCCGCCGCAGATGTCGAGGAGGACAGTGAAGATGAGGACGACGAGGGTGAGGAGGATGACGAGGAAGAGGAAGACGAGGAGGAAGAGGACGATGACGAGGAGGAGGTATGTGTTCCCCATCGCGCGTCCTTCCCTTGCCCGATGACATCGGTCGTGTGACACAGATCATGACCGAGGAGCAGAAAATGGAGGAAGGCAAGCGCATGTTCTCGATCTTCGCGGCGCGTATGTTCGAGCAACGGGTGCTCCAAGCGTACCGCGAGAAGGTCGCGCAAGAGAGGCAACTACAACTCTTGCGCGAACTTGAGGACGAAGACAAGATGTCCAAGGAGCGGGAGGCCAAGAAGCAGTCGCAGAACCAGAAGAAAAAGGACAAGAAGCGGTATGTACCCCTGCTTGATGATCCATTGGCTGCGTTACGAAGCCCTGCGCAGGCAGCAGAAGATGGCCAAGGAGGAGGAGCGTGCTGCAAAAGCCGCCGAGCGCGCTGCCGAGGAGGCCGCGCTGAAGGCTAAGCAGGCTGCACACGAAGAGGAGCAGCGCAGAAAGCGTGAGGAGGAGCGTGCCCGTCGTGAAGCTCAACGCAAGGCGCAGGAGGAGGAGAAGGCGCGCAAGGAGGAGGAGCGCCGCAAGCGCCTCGCAGAGGAGCGCGAACGCGAAGCCGAACGTGAACGCAAGCGCCGCGAACGCGAGGAGCGCCTCCGACTGGAACGCAAAGAGAAGGAGGAACGTGAGCGCAAGGCCCGTGAAGAGCGCGAAGCCAAACTCGCTGCTGAACGCGCTGAGAAAGCGAAGCGCGATCAGCAGGAGAGGGAGGAACGTGAGCGCAGGCTTGCGAAGGAGCGTGAGGAGAGAGAGCGGGCTGAGCGGGAGAAGGCAGAGAAGGAGAAGGCGGAGAAGGAGGCCCGTGAGCGTGCCCTTCAGCAACAGCAACAGCAACGTGCCGCAGCTGCTCGGGCCAACGCACGAGCCCCTCCTTCCCCCCGCAATGCGGTACCTTCGAGTTCTTCGCAGCAGCAGTCTCCCAGCCGCGCCGCTCCGCAGAAGAAGATCCTCAACAAGCTTCAGGCTCCTGCTCCTCCTTCTCTCCAGCCGTCACGGTCTCAGGCCCAGCAACAGCTGCCTCGGGTCCCGATGGTTGGTGCGTCGCAGCCTCCAACGCCCATCACGCCTCAAGTGCCTCAGCATGCTCCTCAAGCGCCGGTATTCCCTCCCGGGGTCGGCGGCATGCCTCCTGTGTTGTCGCCCAGAGTACAGTTCAACCCCGGTTTCGGTGTCAACGTTCCCATGCCAGGGCCGTCGATGCCCTCTGGACCCCCACCGCCTCTTGCTCCTTCTGCTGTTCCTCGTGGATTTGGCAATGCTGGCCCATTCGACGGTGGCTTCGGCCGTGGTATGGCTGCTTCTGTTCCTCCCATTGCTCCTCCATCCCGTGCTGTTCAGAACCCTCTCGCGTCGCCTACGCAGCTGAACCTCGCTCCCGGACCCAGCAGTCGTGCTCTTGCCCCCGACCCGGGGCCGATCACCCGTCCCATCGCGCCTATTGCACGACCGACGGGCGAGGCGTCAGGATCCGGTTCGACATCTCCAAGTCGTCGTTCACCCAGTCCGAAGGGCGTCCTCGGCTCGTCAGCACTGCTCGCTGACGACGACGAGGTCGTCACCGCGCCCGCGAATCGCCGGGTTGCCCCTGGCTGGGGTGCACCTGCGACGAGCCCGCGCGGGTCAGTCTCGTCGCCGTGGGGGCCGCCCGGTGCGCCCCCCGGCTTCCCTTCTCGGCCACCACCCGGGCCCATCGGGGCAGGACTATGGGGCTCGCCGCCCAACGTCAACCCCGAATGGCACCCGTCGCCTGGCTTCTTTGGCGGACCTTTTGCGCCCCACAACCCTTCCACGGCCCCCCATACCGGCAGTTGAGTAGTTATGCCGTCTTTATCTGCATCTTGACATTCGTTTTCACGATCGCGCCCACACGTCCAATACTGCAATGTCCATTATTCTGACCCTAGCATGTCATGTCGCTGACAAGTACCAATGCAATAATTGAAATATCCAATGCGGGTGTGCCGCGTGAGTACGCTACAACAACTTGCTGGACGCGGCAGGTGCCACTCTACTACGAATGAGCTTGATAATGTACAGTGGAATAGCGCTGATGGCCACGATGACCGCGACCTTCCAGGCGAAACGGGTCGACACGACGAACGACAGATCTGTGCTCGCGTTCAGTACAGGAAGACGACGGGTACAGGAGTGCAACTCACCGAAGTACTCTGGCAAGAACGTCATACTGACCGCGTAGATGAAGAGAGTCACAATTTCCGACAACACCATGTAGACATGCCTGGGAGGAAGTCAGAAGGATACTCGAGATGTCACTTCAGAAGATCGTACTGACCAAGTCGTGATCTCTAACGCCACCATGATGAGCTCGTTCAATATGAGCGCCGTGAAGGATATTGCGACAATGTTCAAGAACTCGGTCTCGAAGAGCACGAGTGACATGATCATAATCGCAGCGCCTGTGGGATATTTGAGCTTATTTAAACGTGCATATATGCGCACGACCGACCTTGGTAGACACTAATCATCAACCACATGAAGAAGGTCTTATACGAGAGAACGCGGCCCTGTTCGCGACCGCGTCAGCATTACACTGCAGCAATGAGCCATACTAGCACGAACCTTGGTTAGTTCCTTGTATAGCTCTGGATACAGCAGCGCAAGGTCTTCGTTGACGTCCCGATCGAGGACTAGCGAGAACACGGGCGCCATGGTGTATGCGGTCGCGTACCCGGCCATGAGCCAACCCTGGTACAGCGCGATAGGAGCGAAGTAGAAGATGGACGAGAACACAGCCTGCATCACGGAGATGATGAGGCCACGGTGGATGACGAACTGGGCCAACTTCGCCGAGCGTCGGTAGGAGTTGCGTCCATGCCACAGTAGTAACTTCGTCAAGAAGCTGAACTGCGTCACAGAGAAGTCGGCAGCTAAGGACGCCTGCTTTCCTTCCTTTCCAACAATACCGACACCTGTCACGAATGTCAGCGCCACTGTCAAGCACATCTAGGTTTAGAAGGACGACTGACCAACGTCTGCCGCTTGGATCATACTGACGTCGTTACCTCCATCTCCGATGCAGCATACCCGTTTCCTTGTGTGCTTGCGGATGAGACGTGCGACATCTGCCTTCTGTGTGGGAGAACACCGACACGCCACAACTGCAGAAAGTTTCGTTGCAATCTCGATGAACTCGTTCTTGAACTGGTTCAAGCAAAGCTGTGGAAAATGTAAGTTTATTTGTAGGGGAAGTCAGAAAGAGGACAATCTGACCTGTAGGGACTCTCCATCAATGACAAGACAGCAGTCAAGTTTGTTCTGCAAGAACTCCAGTTGGTCGCGTGCTTGGTCAGAGGTCTTGACTAGACTCGAGCGGTCAGTCACCAGACATGAGATACAGAGGAACATGGACTCAACGCTTGGCAACTTGGTGAATATACTGATTCCTCGCAACAAGCTTCGTCGAGATCGCAATGCACGTCGCGGTCTCGATCTTGTCGCCTGTGAGCATCCAAATCTTGATCCCCGCGTTCCTCAGGAGCTCAAGAGTAGACTTTACGTCGTCTTGAAGCTTGTCCTCCACGCCAGTGAGCCCCAAAAGTTCAAGGTCGCGCTCCAGCAAGTCTTCCACGACAGACGTCATAGCTTCATTCCGGCCTTCGAGTTTGATACTCGCGAGGTGATGTTGCTCCTTGAAGTGTGCGTATGCCTGATCACTGAGACGCCGCCGCGCCATGACGAGCGTGCGCAGACCCTCACGGGCCATGTTCGCGCATTCCTCCTCGAGCCAATCGTTCCGCTGGACTATCTTCGCCATCACGACGTCCGCGCCCTTCTGCAGGAACAAGACCTCGCCCGTCTGCGAGTCGCGTACGACGATGCCCATGCGCTTGGATTCGGAGGTGAAGGGGAAGATGTCGAGGACTTCAAAGTTGATCCGTGCGCCGGAGGGAGTCTGGAGCTCGATGCGAGTCCGGTCGCGGAAGGTAAGTCTGAGCCCGACGGATTCCGTCCACTTTACGATGGCGACCTCATCGGGCGAGGAGGCCTGGTAGGTTACTGTTCCGTCGTCGTTGTAGACCGGTGTGACCTGTGGACCAGTAAATCGGTGATAGTGCGTGGGGTAATTGTGAAATGACTTACATTGTGGCATAGAGCCAGGCTGAGCACGACATCGTGCACGCGAGACGACATGTCGCGCCGCCCTCTCGTTGCAAGTTGTACACCCGTTTGCAATGAGTTCTGACGTCCATGCGCTACTCGCAGTGAGCATATAGGAATGTAATCAGAAATATCCACTAACCATGCTCAGAGCTCGAGCCAAAGGCTACGGCGAGCTGATGCGCGACTTCGTCCATCGATTCGAATCCATAGGACACAGTACCCATGTGAAGTTTCTTCATCTCCATTTCTGCCAGGCGCCCTGTCAGTTTACACCGCATATATGCGCTTGTTGTCGTACCATTCTGTGTCAGTGTCCCGGTCTTATCACTGAGTAGGTATTCTATGCGCCCGAGCTCCTCCGGAAGAGTGCTGGTTCGGACGATCGTGTCGGGTATCTCGGTGTCAGTCATGATTTGGTGCGCATATACCGTCTTGCCCATATCCAAATTGACGCGCAGACTTGGGACGCTTCAATGTTGCATCTGACATCGAAGGGAGACGACGACGCACCTGATGGGTATAATAGAGGAGAAGAGAATCAAGAAGCGGAAGACGTAGATATACCAGAGGCCCCGGAAGCCGTTCAGCGCCACCAGGACGAACGACAGAGCAAAGGTCACGGCGCAGAGAATCTAGCCAGAGTGAGGATGCATTTTATGTGCATGAGGTGTTGGTATAACCCTACCTTTGCGAGCCGGTTGATCTCGAGATCCAGGAGACCGACCTTTGTTTCCGGATGGCTAGTGTTCATAACAGCACGAGTCTCTGAGCCGGTGTAGACTACGAAGCCAACAGCAGAACCAGCAGCCAAGACAGTATTGGCCCAAAGCATATTCTCCGCAGTTAAAGGCTCCACGGTGGGTACAGGCACCATAGGAACGTCGTCTTCAAGTAAAGGTGGAGGTGAGTTGATTGTGAAGGTACCGATGAAGGTGTGGATATCCTTGATAGGCGCGTCCGCTAATATATGAATGAGACACAACATACAGAGGTCCTAGCATTGTGAACGGCGCACCGTAGATTTCGGCGTCGAGGACGAGCAACTCCCGGTCATTACTCAGCTTCTGGCAGGCAGGTACAGCTACGCGGAGTTTCCAGTCCGTCTCGCCATCCAGTTGGTCCGTTCGAATGAAGCAAGTCCCAGAGCTATCGGAAGTCCGGAGCAGGACCAGGTCTGCAGGCAGTCGTTGGTTCTTCTCCAAGAGCACAAGGTCTCCAACGCGGAGCGCAGATGATGGTACAGAGCGCGTATGTGGGATGCCTTCTGGGGTTGACGCTGAGTATTCCGTGGGGTCGAGAACGAGATACTTCTGCGAGTTGGCTTCGCGGTCCCGGAGATTCCGCTTGTAGTCGTCGTATGCCTCCTTCCCGATCGTGACCATGAGTACAAATGCCAACGGTGCGACATATGTCATGATGAACCCTGCCACACCGCGTCAGACGGGGTATATGCGTAGAAACGAATGTCGTACCAATCTTGAGTGCGGGAATGAATTGCGACAACGCAACCAGAAGAAAGTAAAGGTTGAAGAAGAATTTGAACTGCTCGTAGAACACGAGCGGAAGGAACGTGAATATGTTGTACTTCTGATTGCGTATCATGTTTGGCGGGAACTTGCTCTGTAGCTTCTCTGGCGGGCGGAACGGCACTGTTCTCGACTTGTCGCTTGACTTGCTCTTCCGCGAGAGTATACTCCGCTGTAAATGGTTTCGGGTTGGTCCTGTATGCGCTGAAATAGCGCATATACACACCTGTGATGACGATGCTCGTCTCGGTTCTTCATGTTCATCGTCCCGGAAAGCCCCCTCCTCATCCTCATGCGACGCGTCTCCGAGCAGTGTAGTCTCCTCCTCTGGGTCGTCCGCATATCGCTCCCTCTCTCTCCGCTTCCCTTTCCTATTCACAGATGCGGACGAGGCCGCCGCGCGCACGCCAGCACGCATCTCGTCGTCTTCGGGCTCGCCGCTGTGCAGAGGAGTGTAGCCTGCCCTTCGGGACTTCCTGGATCGTCCGAATGTGTTCAAGGGGATTTCGGACATGTATCTTGGCCTACACCAGATACTAGTAAGGCGGATTAGCCAGGATTAATGTGAGTAGTGGAGGTCGAGCATGAAAGTGGCAAGCGTGTAGCGCGGTGTGCAGCGCAGTGCACCGCGCGCGGCGTCAACGTCTCCGCCAGACTTGGCGGGCAAATATCCCCATACTTTTGCCCGAAACCTACCCCAAACACATGTACCAGTATGTCCACATCCTGGCGGTAAGCTCCTGCCTCAAACTGCGCGATATAACATGGATGCTTCACAATCAGTTTTCAAGCTACCAAGCGGACACGGTGATAAACATATTGTTCTATCGCGTACGGAAGAGTCTGCAAGGTCGAGGAAGACATCGCTAACATGATCGCCAACCCTCGGTACACCATCGTACATCCGTTGAATAGACAGACAAAATATTGCATTGCGCACATAGTAGGAATAAAGCGTTAAGAGTATCATCGTAATAGCTTGCGAACGGTCAGCCAATAGAAAGCAAGCAGTCAAGATCCAGAATAAAAAGTAGCGTCCATAGTTCCCGTGGGACTCCTGGTTTACGAGACGATGATCTGCTTCTCTTTGGCGAAGCCCTCGACAACAGAAACCGGGACCTTGAGGAGGTCGGCGACGACCTGCCTCGGTGTGAGAGCCAGCCTGAAATTATCGTCGATCGTTAGTGTCGTATTATACCACAAGATGGTGTGCAACACACCATTGAGTCGCGCTGAAGTCGACAAACTTGCTGGCCTTGAACAGCTCGAGGAAAATGAGGGGCTCGGTCGGTGAAAGGTTCTTGACGTAGTGACCGTACGAAACGGGGAACACCGCGGTGTCGCCAGGCTGCAACGCAGGTCAATAAGCCATTCGACGCGCCGCTCCTCGTGAGTAACATACCTGGAAGTCAAACGTCCGGGCAGAGCTGCCACCAGGGAAAGCCGTGGCACGACCGTGTCCGCTGATCACGTAGAACCACTCTGCAGGCGCGCATGGTCAGATATTCACGCATATATGAAGGTGCAAACCAAACCCACCATCGTTGGTGTGCCAGTGAAGTTCACGCAACCCATTAGGCTCCACGAAGACAAGTGCACTGGCCAGCAACGTCGAGATGGGGAAGTTCGTGGCCGAGTCTTGGATCTTCACCCATCCTCCGCCACCAGGGGCGACCTTCTTCTCTTGCTGGTCGAGGTGGAAGACGTAGGGCGACGGCACGTTCCCGTTGGGGTCGGACACGGCCTGGTCGCCAGAGTGCCCGAACTGCGGCGGAGGCACCGTGCTCTCAAGGATGTAAGGGTCCTTCTGCGGGATGCCGCTCAGGACGCTCGTGTTGACGCCGAGGTTCTGCGCGACGACCTCGAGCGGGGTGTGTGCGAGCCAATCCGAGAGCATGAACGTCGTGCCGCTGGCATCGAAGTTGCCGTCCGTGAAGATCAGGAGAATCTCGAGGCCCTCGTCGAGCGCCTGGATAGAGTGTGGGACGCCAGGAGGGAAGCTAAGGTATTAAGTTGTCGTAAGAACCCTGTCATGCACATTCTATAGAACGCGACATACTAGTAGATGTCCGGATCGGTGCCGTTGAGAGGACCCTTGATGTCGGAGATGTAGCTCCTGCCGCTGTCGTCTATAGCGGAGATGCGACCGGTGCCGTTGAGGATGTATCCCCACTCAGCCACGCGATGCCAGTGGCTGAGCGTCGAATCAGCATGGGCCCTTTTTATGTCCACAGGCGCTGGAAAGGGACTCACAGTTCGCGGTAGGCATTAGGTGAGAGCCTGAGCTCAGCCGCAGCGATGTCCTTGGCTGAAAGATTCTGTCAACCCTCGGGCCCGACGGGCAGATCAACTGTGGGGAAGCTTACATGGCGGAAGATCAGTGATCGTCTGCTCGCGCACCCATCCACCCTATCAGAGTGTATTAGCCATATGGAGGTGAGGATGTTGCATAAATGGCGTACCTTGAGCAGTCGCGTGTGGGACAGAGACATAGACCACTTCAAGTTCGGCACCGTCCCTGAACCGGATGGCGTCAATGGAAGCCCATATTAGGTATCAGTGTTCGCGATGTGCCCACCTGCATCCGTGGGTGGTGCAGCAACGTTGTCCGGGTTCTGTGCATCGATCTCGTGGTTGCTGTTCGCAAGGTATGTGTCGCCATTTCCGTTGCGAATTGGCTGAGGGTCTTGGCCACCGAAGTCGGCGACCTGCCCAACATCGGGCGGGGCGATGTCCCGTTTTGACCGCTTCGCCACAGGCTCGTCGTAATTGGGACGCAAGTGTCGCGTCTGAGACGACGCAGCCGACCTCCTTCCGAGATTCAGAGGCTTGACGGCTGCGCCCTCGCGGGCGAAGAACGCACGAAGCTCATCGTCTGCGGACGGGGAAGTAGCGATAACACTGACTGCAGCCAACGCCGCGAGTAGCAGATGAGAAACCCGGCCGAGCATGGCAAAGGTGGGAGGAGATGGACGGGGGAAGGGTAGGCGGGGCGTTCCACAGCAGAAAAACCAGGTTAGAGAGGCATTTTATACGCGCAGAAGGGGCTCTTCCTCGGGTGTATCGTGCACATACCGAGGCCGTGGATACCGGGCCCGTAGGTTTTTCCTAGCGCACCATCTCACGATATCCCTGGTACAGCATGTGGATGGCGCTCGTAATGGGGTATCTGCCTTAGAGCAGACGCACGCCATAACACAGAAGCTGCGGCGCATTGGTCATTGGCCGGAAACAGGCCGCCCTGGAGCGCATGGCAATGAATAGCGGTATCACTGCCTTGTCCAGATGGAACTTCCAACACACCTCGAAGAGGCTCGCGGTCGCTTGGGCCGAACGACCGCATGCCAGCTTTGGATCTTCAAGACAGGCCAGTGATTGATACCCCGCAAGAAGCAGATATGACGCGTAGCCGTGACTTGAGCTAATCCATCCATGGGATGTCAACATACGTTATCGTTGGGCGATCCCTGCAAACTCCTTCGCGGCGTTCACGAGGACAGCGCGGTCAGTGGAACGGTCGAATCCCCGCCGCTATGTTTCGCTAGTCTGTGAGAGCGACCAAGACGGACATTCGTAATGGAGCGGCGCGCGGACCCGCTGCTGATCGGATAGGGAGAGTCTGTGACAACCCTGGGTTCATCAGCAAAGCGTTCGGTAGTAGCGTCCACTCGAAAGAGCAACATTTCAGTGCAGGGGAACGTACTGATTAATGCGCCAAAATAGGCGCCTATTGGACCCAATAGTGAGTTTGCTGTATGAAAGCGGCACCGTCGGGAGCAGGAAACGGCGTAGATGGTGCTCCGCACTGTCAGCACGAGGCAGGACAAGACGGTTCCGGGGGATCTGAAATGCGAAAGCAACACAGCCCTGCTCGCCGTGATCACAGCGAGCGGGTCCGCCTCGGACTTGCCAGGGGCCCTAGGGATTCGCAGGAACGCCGGGAGGACCATGGGGGTCCACGGCCGGTTACTTAAGCATTAGAGATACTGTAGAGCCGCCGGATATCCACGTCGTGGCGATGCGACTTACATACGGGTCCCATATGCACGCGGTACCGGGAAGCTGAAATCTTTCGGACCTACCGTCGAGACACGATATGAAGCACTCACTTGCGGCGGAATCGTCTCTCGCGGGGTTCGGAGTGCTTCTTTAGGCTGATGGTATCGCAGTCATGGGTTAAATAACAAGCCATATCCAGGTCGTTGCTCCGCTGAAGACGATTGCAATCGCTTGCCCGACGAGCGCGATGGAGTGGATAACGAGATGTCAGCGTGATGGTCGAGGGCAAGGAGCTGGCGCTTTGTTTGACGAAGGTCAAGACCGCCTGCCCTAAACACTCCGCCACCACGTGCTACTCCCAGATTTTTCTGTTATCACATCGCATCGAGCCGACATCGAGCTGTACCTTGACCTTCTACCCTCATCCTCTTCTCTAGCGTGCAAAATGGCATCCATTGGCACCCTCTACACCACCCCCGAGCAAGGGTCCGGCAAGCGCGTACGTATTCCCAATCTACTCTCTGTCTACGCGAGGTTAACCGCCAAATCACAGATCCGTGCCGTCGCTGCGCTTAACGGTCTCAAGATCGACCTGCCTGAGCACTACGTCCACTTCGAGGACAACAAAAAGCCCGAGTTCCTGGCCAAGTTCCCTCATGGGAAGATTCCTGCCTTCGATGGCGCGGATGGCTTCAAGCTCTTCGAATCGGCCGCGATCGCGCGTTACGGTGAGTCAACGAGTCAGAACGTGAACGGACGGCGTGAAAAGACGAGAATATCACAATCAGTTATCCCTGTCTTAATCCTTGTGTCGACAGCTTACTTACTATCTGATCTGCTTCCTCTTCCACGCTCTTTTGGTGTCTTTACTGACTTCGTTTGCCAGTCGCTGCGCTCGCTCCCAACTCCACCCTTCTCGGATCCAATGACAAGGAGGCCGCTCTCATTGACCAGTGGGTCTCGTTCGCGGACAGCGAGGTCGCCCTGCACACCACCCTCATCTTCCAGCTTGTGAAGGGCATCATCACCCCCTACGCTAAGCCCGTAAGTCCTTCCGCGAATGCGCCGTCTGTAGCTGCTGACTCTCCTCGATGGTCAGATCCACACCACTCTCCAAGAGCGTCAGATCCGTTCTCTGAAGACTCTTGAGGCGCACCTCGCCACCCGTACCTTCCTTGTCACCGAGCGTATCACTCTCGCCGATATCACTCTTGCCTCCGTCATTCAGCGTGCGGTACAAGTCAACCTCGATGCCTCCACCCGCTCTCAGTTCCCCAACCTCATCCGTCACTTCGAGACCGTCGTCAACCACCCCCAGTTGAAGGACGTCTTCGGCCAGACTGCGTACATCGAGAAGGCGCTTGCTTTCACTCCTCCCCCGAAGGAGAAGAAGGAGGCCAAGCCTGCGGCGGCCCCCACTCCCAAAGCGCCCAAGCCCGCGAAGGAGGAGGAGGACGATGAGGATGATGGCATCCCAAGGGACGAGCCCAAGGCCAAGAACCCCCTGGACTCTCTGCCCAAGTCGTCCTTCAACCTCGAGGACTGGAAGCGCGCATATTCCAACAAGGAGACCCGTGGTGCTGACGGTGCGCTCGAGTGGTTCTACAAGAAGTACGTCTACCGAAATTTCAAGTATGAAGACATGCTAATGACCATTTCCCTTAGCTTCGATGCGGAGGGCTTCTCCGTGTGGCGCGTGGACTTCAAGTACCCCGGCGAGCTCACCCAGACCTTCATGTCGTCGAACCTCATCGGTGGCTTCTTCAACCGCCTCGAGGCGTCGCGCAAGTACCTCTTCGGCTCGATGGGCGTCCTCGGCGAAACCAACAACTCGTTGATCTCGGGAGCGCTCATTGCCCGCGGGCAGGACATCAAGCCTGTCGTCGATGTCGCGCCCGACTTCGAGTCGTATGAATACAAGCGCCTCGACCTCAGCAACGCCGAAGACAAGGCGTTCTTCGAGGCCGCACTTGCGTGGGATCTTGAGATCGACGGCAAGAAGTGGGTTGACGGCAAGAACGTAAGCATCGTCCGTTCTAGCAGTGCGGAATGCGTACTGATCGTTCCAAACTACAGTTCAAGTAAACGCGCTTGGTTCTTGGGTGTTCATAGATGTATCATTTGCTCTCCTGCTTGTGTTGTTAGTACGGCGGATTTGTTGTGTTGTTGCAGTATCACGAAATGCAAAAAGAATTGTAAAGGGTACCGGTGTACACCATCATTATCTGTAGTGCTCAAGACTTTGTATGGCTCTCATGTACAGAGCCGCGACAGACCGCGATGTGTTTCCACCAGAAAGTCCCGGCGGCGTTGAGGGATCTGTACATTCCCGCGGAACACGTTCCGGCTTATGTTCCGCGTTCTGATGACCACAAGGTCGAGTACTGTACTTACTTATGTGGCGGGCTCGTGCACCCTCGCGCCTTGACCGGTGACCTTGTACGCTCGCCACAGTATGCGGTCGCTACCGCTGCGCGGCTACGGCCAATCTCGAGCGCGTCATACACACTACTACTCTCATCGGTGTACATGTGCCATCCAATAACCTGGTTGTGGGCGACATTACGCTGGATACCACGGCTTAAGGGTGCACTTCAAGTCCACTTCAGCGAGCACGAAGGCACTTACCCCGGAGGCCTCGATTTATCTGAATCTGGTTTGGCCTACAATATCTTTGTCGCACTCTATCACCGGGAACGTGGAACATTTAAGGAAGTTCCGCGGAACACATCCCACAACCCCTAATAGGATGTTCTGTTAAATGACGTCGAGAGTGCGCAGCACGAAAATCGTCGGATATTTCGGCCTCACTGGAGCCTCGAAGCGCCGCCGCCGATGATTCGTGAAGCAGCATCCTACATAATCTTGGAGGTTTGCACAATTACGTCCGGCACACCTTTGCTGTATCTGAAATCAGCGATAACCGACCAAAGAGGATGACATGAAGCCGATGCCATAGAAGCTACCAAGCAGTAGCTATAGCTTGCAACGGATGTACCTCTGAGCACCTAGTATCTATGCGTCCATTAAAAGTGGCAGCTCGCCGAATAATTTAGACACGTTACTACGAGCACCTCTCCACATTTCGCATTACCATCGCATAGAGATTACTCAATAAAGCTGGCACAATGGTGGTCGGTATGTCGTGAAGTCGTGCAACAAGGTCATGGTACGAAAGAAAGACTCGGCAGAGCCGGACGGCGTTGCCGTATGGGCACAGCCTGCGGGCGCGGCCCGCGCGTCACCACCGCTTGACTTTGGCCGCTGACCACCACCACGTTCACCGCCCGCTGCGGGCCAGCTTTCTTCACGACCACCACGACGCTACATATCCTTCGATATGGATGATCCCACCGCAATCGTGAGCTCAAAGAGCGAACCCTCTGCTTCTGCAGTCACCGCCGCCTCCGCGTCCTCCATGACGTTCTCACAAGCTCTACAAACCGTGCAGGAGCCGGACGTGCGTTCGCGTTCTTGCCAACCCTGCAGCTTGCCTTACTGATCTTCTACAGCTGAACATCTTTGTTGCTGCTCAACGCGGCGACGTTGACACCATCCGCGGGCTCATCGAGTCTGGGAAAGCGAGCGCAACGGACCGGGATGAACAGAACATTACGCCTCTCCACTGGGCAGCCATCAACGCACAGCTCGCCGCATGCCGGTACCTCCTAGAACAAGGCGCAGAGGTAGATGCGTTGGGTGGCGATCTGGTGGCGACGCCGATGCAATGGGCTGCACGCAACGGGTACTTGTATGTTATCCAGCTGCTCATCGCTCACAACGCGGACCCCAACATCTCCGATGCGCAAGGGTACAACACCCTCCACCTTGTAACACACTCCTCTTCTGTCATGGCGTTGCTGTACCTCCTCCACCAGCCGATCAATGTGGACTCTCGGGATTCCCAGGGCCACACCTCGCTCATGTGGGCCGCATACCAGGGCGACGCGCTCTCGGTGGATCTGCTTCTTAAGCACGGGGCCAGTCCAAACACAAGTGATGATACTGGTCTCACTCCCCTGCACTGGGCGGTCGTACGCGGCAACCGCGTCTGCATCCGGCGACTCGTGGAGGCAGGAGCAGATGTGCATGCGAAGGACGGAGAGGGCAGGACCGCGCGGGATATGGCGGTCGAGCTGAAGAGCTTGGGTGCTTGGAAGCGTGCGTTGGACGAAGGTGGCTATACCGAAGATGGTCTCCCTAAACGAAAGCCTCTAAGCGAGGTGAGTCTAGCCTCCTGTTACGGCGAACAGACATTAATGGTTGTGCAGAGGAACACGAAGATCGTCATCTTCTTCCTCCCCACTGTATTCCTATTCCTTATGTTCATGACCCTCAAGATCCTACCATGGTACACCGGCATAATCCTCGCAATGGCGCTGTTCTTCGGGATGCACCATGTATGTATCCCGATGTCACATGCTAGAGTGCATATACTGACATCCTTCCAGATTGTAACACGGGCTCTGCTAGACAAATCCAACTACACCGATAGTGTAACACACAGCCCCTATTTTGCGGGCATCATCACCAGCTCAATGATTTGGGTCACATACGCATGGCTCACTCGCCTCATTCATCGTGCGTTTGCAGTTACTTCTCTGTGTTCTGTGCTGACGCCTGCACTACTATAGAAACCGAATCGCATCCGTTCACCCATCTTCTACTCGCAATCACCATTGGGCTATGCGCATACAACTTCTTCCGCGCCATCACCCTAGATCCTGGGACCTGTCCCAAGCCATCTAACGATGCTGAGCTAAAAACGGTATGTGGCACATATCGGGTTCGCTTCATCTGCTCATAAATCAATTTAGGTCATCGAGGAGCTTGCCTCACAAGGACGGCTCAACGGCCAGACGTTCTGCGTCCAATGCATGGTATGTAGCTCACACGATCTGGTTCTGAGTACAATGCCTAATACAGCTCGTTGCAGGCCCGGAAACCCTTGCGTTCGAAGCACTGCCGCATATGCGACCGCTGCATCGCACGTCATGACCAGTACGTTTACATCAGTACCGCTCAAAGAGCCTCATCTTAATACGTCCCATAGTCACTGTCCGTGGGTGTGGAACTGCAGTACGTAGATTCTGCACTTTTCTCACAAACGGAATGAGCTGACTTCTCGCAGTCGGTGTCAACAACCACAGGCAGTTTTTGATGTTTGTTATTACGCTCGTCATGGGCATTTCCCTCTTCGATTACTTGACGTTTGAATGTAAGCTGCCGTGTTCAGCCCCAATCTGCCGTGTCTCATCGCGTACATAGATTTCTCCACCATCCAGATCTCCACAGACCCCGCCGACATCTCCCCCTCGTGCATTTTCCCGACGCAGCTTTGCGTTATCACCGCCCACGATACCTTCCTTTTCTCTGTCGCCACCTGGTCTACACTCCAACTCTCCTGGACGCTCATCCTCCTTGCGACCCAGCTCTGGCAAGTCGCCCGCCAAATGACGACCCTCGAGGTTTCCAACCTCGGGCGGTACGGCTTCATGGGCGGCCGCGGTGGGGCCGGCCTGCACGGGCAGATGGGTCACCAACACCGCCATCTCCCCTCGGAGGACTCCGCCGAGGGCCAACTTGGGGGCTCATCCGCGCACCGCCATGCTCACGGCAGCGGGATGTGTGCAGGCTGCGGGAGCGGCTTCCTGATGAACCTGCTCGGGTTCGATCGGTTCACGAAGGGCAAGGCCGCGGACGGGCTCGCGCGCGCGGCGAAGGCCCCAAACCCGTTCGACACCGGCATCATGGGCAACTGCAAGGACTTCTGGTCGCGCGGACAAGAGCTCGGCGTCGAGTACGAGCGGCTCTACGACGTCCCGCTAGAGGGCTTCGCGGAGGCGAAGCGTCGCCGCGAGGAGGGCGGCGAGGAGCTGCATGTGAACGAAGGCGGACGGAAGTCGCTCCGGAGCAAGCTGCTCATGGGTCTTGGCATTGGGCGGAGCAGCCGGAGCGGGTATGAGCCCCTCAGTCAGGTTTGAGTTATGTTCCGATGGGATGGAAGGACGGAGGAAGATGTGGATATGCTATCGATGTTGAGTTCTGTCGCTTGCTCGCTGTGTATACTCGAGTTACCTGTGGACGTTTCTAGCTGCCGGTGTATGAATGACGATACGTTACGACTATATCTCAACCGGCGATGTTAGTGTCTCCTGGCTCAATCTGTCACTAACGTTCAAAAGGTAGGTCGCACGGAGTCGTATGCGCTGGATGAATGCACTAGTCTCACCTCGGCTAGCGAACGAGGCACTCTTCAGGTCAATCGACTTCTGCACCTCTCGTTTGTTCGACTATATGCGCGTTGTGTGCGCCACGCGGCGATGAAGGTACTGAGTAGATGAGAAGCTAGGAGCAAGATCTACGCTGCCGGCGCTTCTCTTTAGCTCGAACGAGATTCCGGTTTCGTGCCGCGACTCTCCTACAAACCGCAACTTGCAAGACAGCCTCGTATGACCAGCCTCGTTCAGCAGCCATACACAAGCCCTCGACTCATGAACACAGCTGTCATGAATGTTCCTGAGGCTGTCGAGGACCCTTGGCGAACGCCCGCATAAAATTGGTGCATCACATGTCCTGTAGATCTGGGAACAAGCACCGGTTCGGGGTGCGGGTATGCCGGCCACAAGCTGCGCTCGTCTTCAGCCTCGACAGTCGTCTCAGGAGCTCACGAGCATATATAGCCCGACCGCCATAGCGGTGATTGTAACGGGAGCGGAACGGAGCAGGCTGAGCAGCGTCGCCAGACTCAGGTGAGTACGTGCACATGCGGTGTCGAGGTAGCCCTCTCACTGTCTCCCATTGCAGCCTCTTCAACCTCGAAACCACCTGGCGTAAACTGTTGCTTTGCTCGCCATAAAGATGGCCTCAAACCAGAACGTAGTGGATATGGCGGAAGCCAGACGGCGCGGCTCTCTCGACCCAGCCAAACTGCATGCGTTTCTATGGGGCGGTACGTGTTTAGCAATGCTGGTCCTATGGGGCCAGTACTCAGACATTCATCACTTCAGGCAATAAAGAATGGCAAACCAAAAGAAATATAGCCACTTTCCTTTCGAAGGATCCGGTATTTGACAAGGCGCGAAGGTAAGGCGGCTGTGAGGCATGCTCTCCGCACAGGTGCTTATGGCTCCTGTTAGATCGTTTATTGCTCGCACAGAAATGTACCAGCGAGGCCTCGCTATGACGAAGCGCCTGTATGAACTGGCGGATCAGCATGGCTGGTCTGACGAAGAAGCGAAGCTTGCCGTCAGAGTCATCGACGAACCGCTTCCTATAATGTTACACAACGCAGGTCGGTCTTCCTGCGAAGGACAGACGTGCAGCACCTCTAATACCGCGCACATAGCATTCGAACCTGTTGTTCGCTCACAAGGCTCATCCGAGCTCAATAAGCACTACGACGAGCTGAAAGCCCGGCACGGCATCATAGGGTATGCCTACAAGCTTGCCGCCCCAATCCCCCTTGCTCATTATGGTTTACGTCGCGAAGGTGCTATCTTCAGACTGAACTCGGTCATGGGACAAATGTCGCGGCGCTCGAGACAACAGCGACATACATCCCTGAGACGCGCGAGTTCGAGCTCCACTCACCCACGCTTACGAGCAGCAAGTGGTGGGTCGGCGCACTTGGCAAGACCGCGACGCACGGTGTGGTTCAGGCGCGCCTCATTCTGCCGTCGGGAAAGGACGTCGGACCACACCTGTTCTTCGTCCAGCTGAGGTCGACTGAGGACCACAGGCTGTTGCCAGGCATCACCGCAGGCGACATCGGTGAGCCACAGTCGGTAAGGAGGAGAGTGGTGATGGTTTATACCCATTATAGGGCCGAAGGCGCTGTCAGGCTATGGCGCGGTGGACAACGGCTATGCACGCTTCGAGCACGTACGTGTTCCACGCGAGTATATGCTCTCTGCGTTTGCGTCCGTCACGCCCGACGGCAAGTACATGCAGCCTCCGCACGCGAAGCTGAGCTATGGTGGGGTAAGCACTGACACGCACCGTGGAACACGGATGGCGACTCACATATCATTGTGATAGATGATGTACATCCGCTCGAGGTGAGTAGCCCTTAGACTGCACCGCAAGGTCTTTGGTCAATCTGGCTCGCAGTATGGTCGTCTCCGCCGGGTGGACGATCGCAAAAGGTAGACGAGATGTGGGCGCAGCTGTGAACGCCCTTGTGCTGACCACGGGACAGGTGCTACGATTGCGATTCGCTATGCTACGGTACGCAGGCAAGGGAACAAGGGGCCCGATGGCCTGGAGCGTCAAGTCATCACATACCCCTCTGTCTACTATCGCCTCCTCCCGACCCTAGCACACGCATACGTCTTCATCCTGCTTGGACGGAACTTGGTGAGCGCGTCAAACCAGGGTATATGCGTTCTGAAACTGACGTACGTCTCAGTGGAGGGCATTCTCAGACATGTCCGCCCGGCTCGCGTCTGGAGACACATCGCTGCTGGCCGAGATGCACGCCACCACGAGCGGACTGAAGGTGCTGGTCAGCACTGTCGCCATCCAGGACCTGGAGGCGGCACGCCGGTCGATGGGAGGCCATGGGTTCAGCGATTTCGCGGGCGTTGGCAGGCTATATGCGGACTACCTGCCTGGCGCGACGTTGGTATTTTCGCCTATTGCTCGCATCCTACGCTGACGTGCAATGTGTAGGTTCGAGGGCGACAACTTCGTGTTGGACCAGCAGGTGGTTAGGGCTGCCTTGAAAGCGCACGACGCCCTTGTGGCTCGCAACACGAAGTCCACCTCTGATCTTACCCCGTCATCGGCATACCTGCGGCTCCTCGTCCGGGACGAGCCGACCGCAGACACGTCGTCTTCGACGGCATGGGAGGACCCACGTACTGCGATCTTGCTGCTAGAAAAGCGTGCCGCGGCGATGGTGCAGGAGCGGGCCAAGCATCGAGACGACCCGGATGCGAGCAGCGACCATCGCGTAGCCAGAGCTGTGGTCGACGCATTCGTCGCTGTCCAGGTGGGGGAAACCATCCGTGACTCGGAGAGCGTTGTAGGGGGTCGAGAGGCTCAGGTACTCAAGAAGCTGTACCTCCTGGTGAGTAGCGCGTATGCCCAAGGAATACTGGAACTACTCACTGATTGCCACATAGTATCTGTTGACTAACGTGGAAAGCGGATTGGCCGACGTCTTGTCGTTCAATCTCTTGTCCGGATCTGGATCGGTGGATCCGTCAAGGGCACTGCGAGTGGCGATCAAGCAAACATGCTTGGATATCCTTCCCGAGGCGGTTGGCTTGACGGATGGGTTTGGCTTCAACGATTGGGAGCTCGACAGGTATGCGTTGCATTCTTTCATTGCCTGAAGTATATTCTGATGGCGATACTTAGTGCACTCGGCCAATATGACGGTAATGCGTATGAAGAGATGTGGAAGAGGGTTCAGTCCGAGCCACTGAACAAGACTGAGGTTCCCGATGGATATGAGGTATGCACTCTCACGTACAGGAGTTCATTTCGGTGATTTGACAAATATACATCTCCGATGTAGGAATATATCAAGCCGCTGTTGCTGCGCGGGCCAGGCCTTGCTGGTCGTTCGAAGTTGTAGGATATTTGAGTAACAGAGCCTCGTGTACAACACACTCTTTGTATAATACACTGTTGTACATGTGAACTTGCCGCCATGAGCCTTCGCCTTGATTGTGGCGCAACATACGAAATCTCGATCGTTCCGTGCATCAGTCCTCTTCCTCTTCGTCCTCGTCTTTCTTGTCTGAGCCGCTCTCCTCTTCCTCCTCTGCCTGCTCCTCTTCCTCGTCGGACTCGATGACCTTTTTGGCCTTCTTCGATGAGCTGGCCGGTTTCGCAGCTGGTTTGGGCGGTGCTTTCGCGGCGGGCTTGGCCTTGGCCTTGGACGACGAACTGGACGGCTTCGCCTTCTTGCGTTTTTTGTCCGGCACCTCGTCCTCGTCATCATCGTCCTCGTCGTCAAATCCCTTCACTTTGGTGTAGTCGACGCGGATGCCGCGCGTCCGGCGCCCCGTCGTGATGATGTTCTCGGTGCTGATGGCGGCCAGCGAGTCTACGACGCGTCGTTCAATCCACAGTTCTGCTGCCTTGCAATCACGCTCGGGGGATGTACACACCTTGGTCGATCTCCTCCTCAGAGGCCGCATCGCTAATATCGAAGTCGTCGTCGTCGGACTCGTCGCGCTTCGCCCTTGCGCCGCGCGTTCATCATCTGCCTTGCAGCCGCGACAGCGAGAGCGAAAACGACGTTACTTTTTGCTCCTGCTCTTCTTCTCCGGCTCGGGCTCTGCGCGACGCTTGCTTCGGGACGACATGGTGCGACTGGGATGGCTCTTTCTTGGAGCCGGAGGACAAAGGTGGAGGCGAGGACGAGGACGCTGGTGAGCTCAGGCTGGAGCTCGTTGAAGATGGCAGTCGCGGGAAAAGGGCGCGCTGAGTTTGGAAGTCGTCTTACCGGAGATCGTCGCACCGCCCGGGGACCGTTGGCCTGGCCTGCGGCCCCCGCACTCCACCGCGCAGTGCACAACGCGCACACATGTGCCCACAGCACTCAGGTACGGAGTGGAGCCGGTGAGTTGCCATACGCAGTGATTACAAAATCCTGAACGTTCAGCATATCCAGGACACGGCGGAGGTCCAAGCAGGTCTGCGAGGGCGCATACATCCAAGTCGCCGTCGTTCTCTTCCTGTACCTCTGGAGCGGTCGTCGTGGTGTGCAGCCCCTTGCGAAGACGATCATCTACTCCGCTCTAGTTGAGAGATACTCCCACCGTATCTACGCGCGAAGCACGATTCACACCACATTCGGTGGGCCAGGAGTCGTCTCATGTAAAACCCATGACCGTGCCCCGGAACGTCCGATGGATTGTAGAATGGTGGTACAAACACCACGGAGGCTTTGGTGCCAGCACCTGCTCTGTCACCTGGGACTAAGCGTTCCATATGTCGAAGTGAGTTCACGACATAGCGTGTGGTATGGGTATGTTACTGATATCGGGTCCTGTCTGAAGAGAACCGCCATATCAGCACAGTGTGCCGCCAAGGGGCAAGGGCGCCATTATACGACCCTCGTGCCAGCTTCTGCCATACTCTCGTCTAATTATGTCTGACCTTATTCGCAGTCTCGACGACCCTGCATCACGGAGGCGACAGCCAACCAAATCTCTGACGGATGGTCAGATCCACTCGGCCTAGCGCGAAACCTAATCCTGCCATAATGAACAGTGCCGCAATCGAAAGACACCGCTTCGCGCGCGTACTGTATCTGGCGTACCTGGTGAGCCGAACGCATCCGTCCTTCCGCAGGACGAATTCACCACAGTTCTCGACCCACAGGAGCGGGACACGTTCCTGTCCGGCAGGTCCCTCGACGGCCGCCAACTTGTTAGCCTGCCCGTTCTGGACCAGCATCTGATTTCCCCCCTGAATACCGCGGACGTACGGCGTGCTCTCACCGACATGGGTCTCAGCGGACGTACGTCGGGGCCTCGCTCCGCTATCGCCCTCTGAATGTATGGGGACGCCGCGGTGCGGCTTCTGCACACTCACGAGTCGGAGCCCGAACTCGTCGACTGGAACGGCCCAACAGAACAGAACGGCGCAGCCTAGCGGACCAGCGGAGTGGGGCCCTCTTGACGGAACTCACGCTGGCTCGCCGCGGCAAAAGGCAGGGCCGTCGCGCCATGACTGCAGCCGTCTGGCGTGGGCTCCATTGCTCCTGTCCGCCTCGAACCACCGCGCGCATTTACGGTCGCCGCCGCGCCTCGCGCCACCGGGAGACACTTTCAGTCACGCCCTACCCACGGAGACGGGAGACGAGCGATGGCAACTGCTCTGGGTGGCAGGAGAAGCCCGCTGCGGTGCGTGTGGAAGATCGTCTGTCGTGGTACGGATATTTCTGCATGCCCTTCGCCGAGCACTATCGGAGTTGCGGATGTGTTCCCAGGCCGCACTTCACTATTCGTCCTCGCTGACCGAGTCGGTCGTCTTGTCTCTATTAAAGAAGTTCCGCTACGGACCCTCGACCTGCCCTCCGTGCCTAGGCCATATGGGACCCGAACTCCGCGACATCCCTTCCGCTTGGCGAATCCTACGATCAGGGAGCGAACCCACCGAGGAGGTCGGTGGCTGTTGAAGAGCTCCCGTAGTTCGACGCTTCCAATGGCGTGGGATTCAGGAGGGCTTCACGGCAAAGGTTATATATCATATACACAGAAGATAGCGCAGCTCGAAAGCACATACTCTACATCAATAACATAATTTACACAACGATACAGTGGACGCGGCGCGAGAGATGGCGACTAGACGAAACGAGGCGAGACGAAACGAAGCGAGTCAGGTACATATAATACACGGAAGTAGCCGCGATTCCAACAAAGTCCACCAGGGGCCGCAGAGCAAGAAGGATAGGCGAGGGGGAGAGCATGGTAGGACGTATCGATTGCAAGAGAAGTGCTTGGGCGACGCGCTCACAGGAACCATGTCTCGTTCCCAAGTCCCATCATGGCGGCGAGGCACTCGTCGGCATTCATGCCGCCCGCCATGCTGCCGCTCCAGGGGACGCTCACGTCCGGGAGGTTCATGCCGCTGCCGTCTGCGGGCGGGAAGAACTGGTCCCAGGTGCCGTCCCCGTTGGGCATCATGCCTGCTGCTGCGAGCTCGGCTGCCGCCTTGGTGACGTCCAGGTCCGTCGCGTACAGGTTCCCGAGCGTCCCCGCGGGGTCTTGCCCAGGGAGCCCAGGGAACAAGGAGGTGGCGGAGTCAGGTGTGATGGGAGAAATCGACTGGTTTGGAGAGACGTGCCCGTTCGTATGGGCCGGTCCATTTCGCTGTGCGGCGCCAGACTTCCGCGCGTCTAGGCGGGCGATGTGGGGATCCATAAGCTGCTTCAGGAAGCGAGCGTAAAGCTGGGTGTTCTGCTTTTCATCGGTGGACATCTTGTCCGACGCCCACGCCTCGAAGAGCTTCTTGACGAGCTCGATGATGCGCTCCTCCTGCTGGATGTCGAGAAGTGCATTGAACTCGGGCCTTAGGCACTGCACGTTGGCGTGGGGCGATTAATACTCTGGCGGTCAGTGAGCAATACAAACACACCTTCATGAGAACCACCGCAGCAAACGCGGCATGGACGTAGATCAGTTCGGGGAAATAGCGGATGAACCCGGTAGGCGCGAAGTCTTCCACCATGAGCTTCACTAGGGTGGTCGCCGCTTGGACGCACTAACCACCGTACTGAGATGAGAGCGCGTCAAACCTCAAAATAGAATGCTCGACGCACCCCTGCAAACAGCTCATTAGGCTTCTTCGATGGGCGCTTAGTCATGAGCTGCATGCCGCAACAGCAGATGACCAGGCGGCAATAATTGTAAACGCTGTGTTCCATGACAACTCTAATTCAGCCAAGCACGCCGGGGAGGAGCACGAGGAGCACACGCACCAGTTGATGAGCGTGATTTGCATCACCACACCAGGGTCTGCGGAGCGGAGAGTCGGGCGGTGAGAAGGCCGCGACGGGCGCTGGGAAGCGGAAAATGCGCGCGCCGACTCACCTTTGGCCGCCTTCTCGCCTTTGTGCCGGTCATCGATGACGCTCTTCCACGACAGGAGCTCATCGTCATATGCCTTGTAAAGGGCACCGAAGTCGATGTCCTGGAAGCCGCGAAGGCGAAGTCAGCCTCGCGCTGCGCCAGAAGGCGAAGAACGGAACACACCCCGACGGACTCCACGGAGCTCGTGCCGAACGCGGGGTTCACCGTGCCCACGAAGCGCGACATGATGCAGAGGAGTTCCGTCAGGCTGGTGAGGTAGCCGTCGCACGCGTTGTGGTACTTGTAGCGCTGAAGCCACTGCGACACGTTGCGAACGGTCTGACAAAGAGTGAGAACAATGAACAGTATGCTATAGCGCTTAGTGGCTACGCACCACGTCCTCTTGGACCATCCACGCCTTGCCCGACTGGATGCTCAGGCAGCGATCCATGATGTAGCACATCAGCCACATGCGGGTACGGTTGAGAATCTCGCGTTCCTGTCGCTCGTCGGGGGGCTGTCCATCAGGGATACGGCTCAGGCTGAGCTCAGTTGCAAGCCTTTGGTGTCGTTATCAGCACATACACCGTTAGAAGATGTTCACATTGACGTACCGGAAAGCAATCCCGGTGTAGCACCATGCGCGGTCCTCCTCCCAGCGCCGGGCAGGGGGGTTGTAGACACTCCAGAGCGCAAACGCCTGGCACATCTCGACGGTCTTCCACCCGTCGATGATGGCATTGGCAGCGGCCGCCTTCGCAAAGTGGATGGCCATGCCGTGGATGTGGGGCTTCTCATCGTAGTAGCGCGAGGCGACCGTGCAGACTGAGCGGAGGGTGAGCTCCACTAGGCGAGGCGATGTAGCTGCAGTCCACTTACTGATGGTGAAGAGGAACGGGCATCGCGCGAGGACGGTAGCCGGCGTGTGTATGTTCTCGTCCAGGATTGGAATGATTGGCTGGAGCAGCGTTTTAGAAGACCGGGAGCCTTTAATGGGAGCGGAGAAAGACTCACGTTTATCCACTGATAGTGGCTGTTATTCCGGGAAGTCGAGTCAGTATGACAGTAGCACCACGAGGTGCAATATGAACGGCGTACATTTGAAACAGCGCTGCGGCGTCGTCGGGCGTCACGAGCCCGGAGAGCAGGATGTCCGGGGCAGCTTGGCGCTCGACAATGAGACGACGAAGCTCCAGGTTGGTGGCCGGTCCTGTTGTATCATGAGCGTACATCGAGTATACGCCTCGGATATAACTCGCCTGGAAGAAAGTACGACTCGTTCGCAATACCGCCGTCGGGGGCCGACTTGTGAGAAGAACCTCCTTCACTAGTGGAGGAATCGACCACGCTGCCCTTGCTAGCGATGTTCCTCGTCTCCAGAGCGGCGATGGCCATCATACCCGTGGGGGCCGCGACCTCGAGGATGGAGTCCATTGGCCGCATCTCACCCTTGGGCGATAACCCCCTCTTGGGGCTAGTGAGGCCTTCCATATCCTCGTCGCTCTCAGAGTCTACCTCTGAGGGGTCCTCGAGTGCCGAGATGTCGAACTTGGGGCGACCATCGCCGCCAATGCGGGCCGCAGCCTGTGTAGTTGATCGTTCAATGTATGCCAGAACATCGCGGTACTTGTTGCGTTCCTCTTCAGACAGCGGGAGTCGTGCGGGTACGAGGGTGAGCGGCGTCGGCATCGTGGGACCAGGGTTGACTTGGCTGAGAACCTTGTCGATCATAGCATTTTTCTCTCGAATTTGCTGCTGCAGCACCACCCGCATGCTGTGCAAGCTGTCAATATGTCGACCACAACAGCCGCCATAAATTCCGCTTACCCAGGAGAACGTGGCTTGCGACCTGGAAAGTGGCATTCGTAGTTGCCGGCAGTGCAACGCGAGCATATGTCGTCGGACGGGTTGGTGAACGTGCATTTCATCTACGTAATGTGCGCAGCATGGTGAGCGCACAGCCCTGAAGGGATCAAGACTTCGAGCATCACCTTGAGCCGCCGACAACGGGCGCATGCGCCTACGCGCTTGGCCGCTGATTGACGGCCGCGGGGCTTGTTCCGGTCACAGCCAGTCATCCCGCCAGCTTCCAGGCCTCGCTGCGGTACGTATTGACCTATATCGAACTGGGAAGGGTCTTGCAGGTAGCCGCCGTCCTGGCTGTAAAGCGCGTCATAGGGCAATGCGCCGTTAGCCTCGGCCTTGACTTGGGGAACAAAAGCTGCAAACGGGAAAGTTGTCAACGGCTATGAAATGAGAGACCGCCGACGCGCCACACGCCTAGGATACCACTTACTGCTGTCGACATACGAGCCTGGCAATGTTTGGCCTGTAAAAACCGAATATGAGCCTCAGACGACGCGCAAAAAAACCGTGCAACCCGCCTTGATAAGGCGGCACAGGCCACTGTTGCTGCTGCGGAGGTGCCATGGATTGCATGCTGAAGTAGTCGACGGGAGAGTTGCCTCCAGCATTCGAGGGCGTTGAGAGCGGAGATGGAACATGTGGTGACTGCACGGGCTGAGGCGGCAGCTGCAGATCGGCAAAGCGCTGTTGGGCGAGCATCTGCCAGTCGACCGGCTGTTGAGGATAGACGTCCGGTTGAATATGCGATCGCGGCTGCATGTTGCGCAGATGGTCGTGCAAAGGATAGGGTGAACCGTACATGGCTGGGGGTTGGAGGGCAGATGATGCGGAGCGTGAACGAGGGGGCCCAGTCGCAGCGGATTGTGAACCGGAGGTCCATTAATACGCAAACCTTCTCAGCGCGATTTAGCCGGGACAGAACCTTGACCTTGCAGGGCTTTTCCCAGGCAGCGTGCCGACTCGGATCGAATCCCTTGATCGACTTGAACGGGAAACACATTCCAATCTGCGCTGGAGGCCATTACGTTATGTGCATTTCGCAAACAGACACCGCATCCGAGAATGGCGATCTTAGCTCTGTCCTCCGGGGATCCTCTCTTTTGGTTGGGCCTGGGCAATGCGGCACCAGCGCTACGCCCGCGCCGCCGCCGACGGAACGTGGCCTCCTCGACTTCTCGCTCGGTTGCGCGATGGTAATGCGGCATTAAGGGCGCCCGACGGACTTCAGCCAATGGTTGGCGGCCTCCCGTTTGGCGCGTCCAGGACCACATGGTTTGTGCGCGGGTACAGGCGACCTCTGGCGTTTACTCGCCGCGTTTTCCGCCGCCCGTCTGGGAGCATGTTGTCGCATCCCGCTTTCCGGGAGCGCACCAGGCGGCAATCTCATACCAGCAATCATCTTCGCAAAGGTAGAATCTGTGCATCCCTCCAGGCCACCGCAGCCTCGGCGCTTGCCGAAAAGTCGTGTTGAAACTCGTAGTAGCATTTGCACTTGACGGTTGAGCCTGTGTATGAGGACCGTCAGAACGCTTCGGCGGAGAGAAGGGCCGGATTCACGCACAGAAGGAACAGGACCGTTGGCAGATCGGTGGATATAATCGATCGAAAATGCATCTAGATAGGGGAGAGAAGGTGCGCGGCGCGCGAGTATCAAACACCTGTGGGACGCTCGGAGGTTGCATAAGCGCGAAGCCTTCCGCTCGTCAGGGCGGCAGGAAACTGCAGGCGGCGCCCCGACCCCGCGGCACCCCTTGTCGCGGCAGAAGCTGTCTCAGTGCCTCTGTGCCCGAATCTTCGACATGTTTCTCGTGTCATATGCGTCGTTTGCAACGTTCTCTGGGTGTTGAAGGTAGGAGGGGATGCAAGACCGGGAAAGACAGGGTGTGCGGGAAGGCAGGGACGGTGCCTTTGCGTATGACGAAAGCGAGATCGATGAAGAAGGCAAGCCTAAGAGACCAGGATGCGTATGGGGGTTATTGAAATCCAAGGCGGGGGATCCTGATTAACGCGAAGTCAATCGCGTCTATGCGCGCACCGGCCCCGCGTGGAAGTGGACATCACCGACTCCCCGCATTAGACTTCTGCGCCATCGAAGGTTTACAAGGTACCGTTGCAATAGCGCCGACAGGACCGGGGGTTCGCATTTGCATTGTTCTGAAGAGAGCATGGCGGTAAGCCAACGAGCGCATATGTAACGCTACTCACGATGTCCGACATTGGCGCTTCCTAGATACGTTACAGACCATAACATCGATGGCCATGCCAGGGTCGTGTCCACGCACGATTTCCATAATGAACGGATCAACAGGAGCCGCAACCAGGGCCACTCAATGTCATATTTACTGAGTTGCGGAGATATGACCTTGCCGGGCCCGTGCTGCGAGGCACCGCGCCGCAGGAAGCGTCGCTGTGGGCGCAGGTATTTATATATGCTAACTTGTGTCGCTCAGCTATACAGATATCGCACACCTGAGTTAATTACGACGTACCTTGGTGTGCCTCCGACCCTGCTCGCTCAGCGCTCATAAGCCCCGGGCCGTATTCACTCCCCTTAGTTCGACGCCGTGCGCGATCGGAGGATGTCCAGGTGACGTGTGAACTTACTACTCAGCGTGTAACATCGTGGGTTGCATCGAGATGCTTCCTGTTGGTTGTATGCGCAAACGTTCTCAGGAAAAGGACATCGAGGACGTCGAGTTGGTAGAGGAGTTCAGAGTTGCGAAATACGATCTCTTCGGCTCAATCTTATCTTATCATAGGTTTGAAGCCAGATTAGATGAGATTGTTGAGAGTTTACTTACTCGATCACCGCATGGGCGTTAAATCCGTCAACTCCTCGACTGCCTCCGGATTTTCTGCTTTTCTCGTCCGACAACCCCTCATCTAGATCTTCGTCATGTCTACACCCACCACAGCGATAAAGGAGGCCAGTGCGGTCCACGAAGAAAATATGGAGGGTGTCCAAACCTCGGCCTCTTCGAAGGAGGACGCAGCGACCTTGACGGAAGGAGAGACAAATGAGGAGAAGGAGAAGATGCTAAGTGCGGTGCGGCAAGGTTCGTAAACATGCCAGAATCGTGCGTTCACAGGTGATTTGAAGGAGCCGATATGATGCAGTCGAATTCTACTTCGCGGATTCAAATCTGCCGTTCGACAAGTGCGTGCAATCCCATGACTCAAAATATTTCAGACTAAAGTGTGAGTTGGTATAGGTTTATGTGGACGCTGCATACGGCCAACTCAGAGCACTGGGTCCCTATCAAAACTGTCGCGTCGTTCAAACGTATGCGTGACTTCCAATCCCAGGGGGTTGAATGGGTCGTGAAGGCCCTCCAGTTGAGCGAGGAGCTGGAGGTGGACGAGGCGGGCGAGAATGTTCGCCGGAGGACAGAAGTTCAACCTCCCAAGGGTCAATTTGAGCGCAGTATATATGCGGTATGTGGACATTTTTAAACTGTTCCTGGAGGTACTAAGACATACATGCAGAAAGGTTTTGGTGCGGAAGACCCTAGTCTGCAGAAGAAGTTGGAAGACTTCTTCAACAAGTACGGGAAGACTAATGCCGTACGGATGAGGCGGGTAGATGGTACGAAGGAATTCAAGGTGTGTTTTGCCCACTCAGCATGCAAATCAACTTGCCGTGACAAGCGGTTTGGGGCAGGGCTCCGTGTTCGTCGAGTTTGCCGACTTCCAGTCCGTGGAGACATTCCTCAATGCCGACCCCAAGCCCACCTGGGAAGACAAGGAGCTTCTCATCATGTCAAAGTGAGCCTCCTTCTATCATGCGGCGAGTGCCAGTGTTGACTTCAATTCGCAGAGAGGCATACTGCGACATGAAAATCAAGGAGAAGGGCCTGAGCGGTAAGGCCGCGGACCTACGCAGGCAGAATATTGCAGGATCCGGCCGTAAAGGGTTCAACGCATTCGCTGAGATGGCGGCGAAGGAGAAGGGTGGCGACAGGAAGGGCAAGGACAAGCCCAAGGGCGAGGTTTACCTTGAGTTCTTGGGGAACAAAATCCGCGTTCACGACGAGGACGGCGGAAGCGTCAAACCTGAAGACGTTCCCCTGGTCAAGGGTGCTTCGCTCAAGTTCGACGGTGTCGGAGACGATGTCAGCTTTGACGAGATCAAGGTATATGCGCCCATTTTTTGCGCAGTTGTCCGGCGGCTCACTATGTCTTACAGGGTACGCTTAAGGAGCGCTTTGCTCGTGCACCCTTTGTCAAGTACAGCAAGGGCGATAGCTGGGGCCTGGTCGGCTTTGACAAGGCACTATCAGAGGAAGACGTTTCCTACGTGAAGGAAAACCTAAAAAAGCTCAGCGGCAAGGATATCGCGTGGTCCGTCCCCGAAGGTCAATTCTATATACTCCTCTTTCAAACTCGTATCTGACATGATTCACAGAGGAGCAAGAACGCGCCTTCCAGCTCGAGAGGGCAGCGTCTGCCGCTAAACGTGCCCTCTCCTTCTCGCAGAACCGCGATTCCAGGGGTGGTGGCCGGGGTGGCCGTGGTGGTCGCGGCGGTCGTGGCGGACGTGGTGGCCGGGGCGGACGCGGCGCACGTGGCGGCCGTGGTGGTGCCCGGGGAGGCGACCGGTCAGAAAAGTCTGGCGAGGCGGCCAACGACGAGCAAGCGGGCGAGAAGCGGAAACGGGCGGTCGAGCCCGACGGCGGCCCCAACATGGGCGTCCGCGGACAGGGTGTCCCCGTCATTCAGAGTTCGAAGAAGGCGAAGACGGACGGCGAGGCGGCGTCATAGGAGCCGCTCGCGGCGGGACGACGGCAACGACGAAAGTTTTACAGCATTTCCCAGGCCGTCGTGGGGATGCTTCGTGTAGTTGTACTGCGGTAATGTCTTCGTATGTACTATCCGTCTATCATGTCTGTTTTTTGACGTACTCGATCCTGCTTTGCATCGCAGAATTCTGATTGTGCCTCTTTACCGAGGACACCGCCTGCAACGCGCTCCGCTCGCCGCCTTCAGCTCTGAAGCAGTGAGACATATGAGAGCGCTGGTCGATGTATGCGCGGCTATCGCTCCCGCGGCCCTCTAGTGGGACTGACGGCCATGATGAATGACGAGGTTGTTTGCGAGGCACCGATCGGCGTTCTCAGCGCTGGACAAGGCGATGCTGCAACAAATACGGACCGCGTGCTCTTCCCCGATCTACAATAGGTCGAGCCGCTCGACACCCACCAACCTCCGATCCAACCTCCGACCGCCTGGGGCTGGCCATGCGCGCGTTTCTGGCTCATCAGCCTTCCGGTCAGTTTTTCGCCGAAGTCAAGATGCGCAGTGCGCCGCCCGAACACGCAATCGTTGCCCACGATGTGTAGATGCTCGCGTTTCAGAACCCCTGATAGACTCGCAATCAGTGCGTGCGCGTATTGTCCCTTGTTCCCTACCAGGGAACTCTAGGATCCTCAAAGTCGACGCCGCCAATCCGATGCATGGAGCGCTGGACCCACAGCATGAGCGGCAATCGCTTGGTGCCGCCCTTGAAGCTCGTCTCCGCGCGCCGTCCACGCGAGCACCTTGCCGCTTGCTCCTCGAGACTCTCGGATGCGCCAGCATCGGACCGCATCGCGATTGGCGTTGCCCTGCGCCCTCAGTTGCGCCATGCTTCGCTCCGAGTCGGAACGACGGGACCAGTGTGCGTTAACGAGAAGCGCGTAGCATCGCCGACTGATCAGCCTCACGTGTGGACAGGCCGGGAACACCCACCCCGCCCCGCCGCCCCGACGGTGCGCCCGCGTACCCGCAGGCTCATCGTGACCAACGTGCTTGTGCCAGCGCAGGATCACAAGGCTCGCCCACGGACGAGCTGTTCAATGCGGGAGAATCTCGGCGTGGAATGCGTCAGAAGGCTGAATCTCGCAATTTCAGCCCTCTGGATGCAGCAAGTCTAGAGCTATAAAGCCTTGTCGCTTTTGCTCGCTACCTCGCGTCTTGTATCCGAACCAGATTACTCCGGACATGGGTGTCTTAGCTGCGATAGCGTTGGCCTGCGCTTTCTTCGCACTATCCGGGTGGGCCGCGCCTGAAACCGCGGTAGAGAGCGTGGCGATCCCGAACACTCACCAACTTATCTATTACCACGGCCGCTGGGATGCCTCACCTGGGACATGGTGGTAAGTGTCATGTGAGTACAACATCATCGCATGCTCGCAGGCTGAGTGCATTGTCGAACAGGGCGGGGTCAGGCCTCAAGCTGCACGTCCAGGGCCTCTCATCGCTGGCTCTCCACCTCGGACCACACACCACTACGCCGCTCGCCTCTGTTGGTGTCTCTGTCGACTACCAGCCGTTTTACACTGTGAACGTGTCTGCTGGGCTGAATACCGTGCCGTTGAGCCACTCTCCGTTGAAGCGTTCGGCAGACAAGACGTCGACCAGCGTCGTGCGTATCAATGCCGAGGGCTGGCAGAATAACCGTATCAACCTCGAGAGTATCATTCTCAACAAGGTATGTGCTTCACTCCTCGTTATGTATACGACATTCAAATTACGTTGACATACCGTCATCGAAGGGCGCGAAATTACTACCGTACACGCCTTCCAAACTCGCTTTCCAGTTCATCGGAGATTCACTGTCAGCTGTGAGTTTTTTGCATTCTATGTTGATCGGCACGTTTCATGGCTAACGTAGGGCGTCGGCCCGGGCTCGCAGGGACAGTTTCTTCCGCAAGGAGTCGATCAGGCATGGCCATTCCTCACCGGAGAATTCTTCAAAGCGGAGCACCGTGTGAATGCGCAGCCCGGCGCGGCTCTCAGCGTACGTTACTCGACAGTTTGTATCGAGGCGTCCTCACTGTACGAGACCTCTGCTTTCAGGATATCGTTTCTTATGGAAACCAACACGGGGTGTCTTTCCAGTACTTCCGGGTGAGTTGCAGCGTGTATAGACGGTGTTGAGCGCGCTTATCAACTGACACGACGAGTTAGACTGAGGACACTGGATATTTTGACACGACTGACCACAACTACACGACCCCTTGGGACTTTGCGCGCGATCGGCCTGCGCCTACACACATCGTGATCCACATCGGGTGAGCCTGTTCGGGCCTCTAGATGTTGTACGTAGCTAATGAGTGATGTATGATATAGCGCAAACGACGCCTCGCAGAACGTGACGGCAGATGCGTTCGTGCAAGTACGTGTTATGCACCAAAAAAACTCCTCCGATATGTGAGCTGACGGTCCACGCAGACGTACCAGAATTTCCTCACTCGTCTACGCGGTCTATATCCCGTCCAGCCTATCTTCGTTTTCACTCCGGTATGTGCGCTTCGAATATCATCCTACCGCCAACACTGGCACCCTAACTGAAAATCTGGGAATTCCTGCTAGTGGGGCTGGCCAAATGCGGACGGTTCCATCAACTACTACTATGACGGGCAGTACGAGCGCATCGTGCAAGAGCGGTAGGCGTGCTCAAACCATTTCCTTTCATAGTTGTTGACCGGCCGATGTCGCAGGCATGTCATGGGCGACCGCAAAACGTTTCTCGTGAACACCACGGGGTGGGTGTCGTGGGAGGATGTTTTCCCCGAGTACGTTTCACTACTACTGATTTTAGAGGCTCGGATCTGATACCCGTGTCTTCCGCCTTCACAGTAATCAGCACCCAAACGTCGCGGGACACCAGAAAATCGCGTCTCTCTTCGGGGCATGGTTGACGGAATGGGGTCTGCAACCTCAGCATACTTCGTTCTGAAATGTAATTCCCCATGCAACCGCTCGGTGGCGTCAGAGCTACATTGTGCGCACATGCTTTTCGCGGGTTTGGCTTTTGAAGTGTATCGCCTGTTAATGGGCGTTCTGTGGGGCAAAATGTTTGGACAATCAGGGGATTGAACCCTGGACCTCACGCATGCGAAGCGTGCGCGCTACCACTGTGCCAATTGCCCATGCGTGGATGTGTACCGCATGTTAATAGAGGTTATTTGCAGCGCGTTTGTACCAACTCAGGTGGGGCCGGCGCTCGTATTACATGGAGCCATCGCGTGCGCCTCTTGCACTGTGCAGTGTGAGCAGGCTGAAATCTACAAGATCTAGGTATTGCTCTACCTGTAATATTGAACTACTCCAACGCGCGCACCCCCGCTGCAAATAACGTCTAATCCGAGCAGTCGCATCTCCCCGGCGTGACCATGACGCGATCACGCGGCACGCGTAGGCGCTGATGTGGTCGTGCGACGCGTCCGATCAAGTCGATCCCTCCACTCCGATGACGACGCCTTGGCGATCGGACAGGGTGTTGCAATCGTTCCCCGATCTTTCTATTTCCTCGCCCGTCAATTAGCTATGTCGAACCCCGTCAAACCTTGGGTCTTGCGGCTCAGTTCGGTTCCCCTCTTCTGTCCTTTCACGCATGCATGATAGCTCGATCACGTCAGATCTGTTGCATAACCCGAAGAGCTAGACAGGTATTGGCACGGAAGGAATGTAAACCTGGGGTGTGATTCTGTATAGAGCATCTGTGGGTCGCAGGTGGGATTTCCTCTTCCCTAGTACTTCGCTATGTCGGGACGCGCCCTTCCAGCAACACTGCCGCACGATCACATCTACGAAACATATCTAGAATCAGAACCATCGTGGGCTCGCGAACAACTCGCGAGCACCGTGTCTGCTTGCATAAATACCAGCCATACAAGGTTGGTCACGGACGCAACCCCCCTCTACCCCACTGGCCAACGTTCAACATCCAGGACTTGGACTCAAACGGTCCCTACACCCGTTCACTCTCTAAATTCTCTTCCAGCCGGTTGCCACACCACATCTCCGTACTCCTTTCATCGCAGTCTCCATTTCGGCCGTTCTGCCTTGGACAAGTTGACTCGAGAGGACCGATACTCTGAAGAGCATATAGCAAAGCCGGAACAGCGACCGATCTACGCCCACAGGTCCGCTCCCGCCTCCATTCAGCCCCATGACGAAGCACTTTGCTGAAAAGCATTGCAAGCATCGAAGATTATTCACGAACTTCTTGCAAGATAACATTACTTGAAGTGCTAACACGCCAGTGTTGTTTTTTGGATTCGAGCGAGCGAGCGCCTGCTCGACGGCGTTTGCCGAGGCGTTCAGTATCGCGGTGAGATCGTTTTTGGTACGCTATCCGTTTGCCTCTGTACCACGACGCTACCGTACAGGACAACCGGAATTAACTCGTTCTCACTCTTGACGACCCGATTTCTCGCTTGCTCCAACACAAACGGATCCTAGCCAGTCTAGCCGGTTAGTAAAATATAGGGCTACGAGGTCGAGCTGCGAAGATTGAGCTCCCTCGCCGCTGTGGTCACGAGTCAACCTGCCGCCGTTCTCTCAAGATGGACCGCCGCTGACGATCGTCGTAATCGAAGCCGCCTGACGAGGTGCACAAGAGCAAGGCCACCGCACGCTGAGGAGACTCTCGACGATGAGTACTCCAATTATTTTTTCTATTTCCTTCGAGACGTGCCACCCCGAGTCGAGATCCGAGATGATCCCCGATGAAGGCTTGCCGATGAAGATGACCCCTTTGCCGAAGAAGAAGACGATGACGACGACGATGAAGACGCCGACGACGACGACTTGCACAGTGGAGCTGAAGTGAATTGGCGACGAAGCTGATTGCAACCCCGCGCCCGTATCCCCCCCACCACCTCGAAGTTCACGGCGCCACGCGCTAATCCCGCGCGCCCTCTCTACGACGAGAGCTACTCGACGTCGATGCTACGCGCTCACCCCGCACGCCTCTCGATGGCGAGACCCGCCCGTCCCTGACCCGTCCCCGCCGCTCCGGAGATGAGCAGCCGCTTGCTGAGATGGAGATGAAGACGACGCCCTCCCCCCCGTCGTGTCTTGACGATGACGCATGGCTTCCCCGCCGAAGAAGATGATGAAGATTTCCCCCTCCCTGCCGACTCGATGACCGAGTTCTCTCCCTCTGTGTCTCGACGATGACACATGGAGTTTCTGCCGAAGAAGATGCCGCCTACCCCGCCTATCCCGCTGATCGCCGAGTCAAAGTGCACGTCACTCAAACTGTTTGCACAGATCATTGGTCGCCGAGCATGGATGAGCTCGTGGAGGTGTCTGATCGTGCTGCCGAAGAAGCCCGCTGACGACGATGGAGGTCTTTTGAAGGAGTTATGTTTTTACTTTGTGGGGGTGCGAGATTTTTTTTGTGCTTTGTTGTTTTCTGAGCTGCTCGCGAGGCGCACGCTCGTGGGGGTGTGTTGTTTTTTGGATTCGAGCGAGCGAGCGCCTGCTCGACGGCGTTTGCCGAGGCGTTCAGTATCGCGGTGAGATCGTTTTTGGTACGCTATCCGTTTGCCTCTGTACCACGACGCTACCGTACAGGACAACCGGAATTAACTCGTTCTCACTCTTGACGACCCGATTTCTCGCTTGCTCCAACAGCCAGTACTAGTAATTGCGCGACATAGTCTGAGTTTACCTCCGCGTGGATGAGTGAGTGCTAGCATTCCGCACTTCCTCTCTGCGCCGTATATGGATTGTAGCTTGGCACGACGTTGGCCAAGCTATTCGTTTCGAGCTAAGTAGTTCTTGGATGCTGGTGGTGGCGGGGTGACCCCTAACCCCACACCGGTGTTAGGTTAGGTCGCCGCCGGCTAGGTCATAGAGGGTTAGTCGGGAGACTAGGCCCTCCTTAGACGCCAAGGGGGTGGTCGGACGAGCGGACTGAAAGAGGCTGACATGGATAGGCTGAAGCGCTGACCGCCGGGCGCAGTGACGCGTCCGAGCTGCCCATAATTTAAACCTTAGCCTCACCTCCTGTCCTTGCTCGTCCTCCTTGCCTTCAGCCCACCGTTTCTGACACTCCTCTGCGAAGTAGGGCACAGCCAGCGTTGCACAGACGCCCAGCTACACGTAAAGCTTATTTGCAGTGACGCACGCTCGGGAACACGTTGTTGAGTGGAGGAGCGGAGTATGAAGTCTCTATTCGGTCACGGTCAGTAGCCGAACCCTCCCATCTCCCCTCAGTCCCCTCACCGTCCACTCGATGGCGACAGCAAACAAGAACACCATCTATGGCTTCCCCGGCTCTGTCGAGGTCGCTGGAGAGAAACTCGACGGCGAGACGCCTATCCGTCGTCTTCGCATGACCAAGGACAAGCTCACGACGCAGCCCATGGAGGGCATTGACATCGTCCCCGATATCCTCGACTACGCTGCTCGCACTCACGGCACCAAGGACTCGTTTGGTTGGCGCGACGTAGTTCGGATACACGAGGAGAAGAAGGACGTCAAGAAAGTGGTCGGCGGGAAGGAGACCACAGAGACCAAGACGTGGAAGTACTTCGAGTTGAGCGACTACAAATACCTCTCCTTTGTGCAAGTCAAGGAGGCTGCGCAAGAGGTTGCCGGTGGTCTGCTGAAGCTTGGCGTGAAGAAGGAGGATATTGTCAATGTATACGCTGCGACAAGGTATGTACGCCACATCATACCTGCACAAGTATGTGAGCTTAGCGGACCCGTTCAGCCCGACTTGGCAGCTCATGTCATATGGCTGCAACCTCATCGGTACTGCCATTGCTACCGCATACGATACCCTTGGCGAGTCTGGTCTCCAACATTCGCTCAACGAGCCCGAATGCGTGGGTATCTTCACCAACGCCGAGCTACTCCCGGTCGTCGCGAACGTCGCTGGCAATGTGCCATCCCTGCGTCTCGTCATCCACGATGGCGAGGCCAAGCAGGAGATTGTCGACAAGATTCGGGCAGCGCGCGATACCATCCAAGTCATTACCCTGGACGAGCTGCGCAAACTCGGCAAGGGAACATCGCCCGAGGAGCTGAAGGACAGGCGCCCGTCACCTGCGGACGTGTCGTGCATAATGTACACCAGTGGTACGACTGGTGCCCCGAAAGGTGTCGTCATCACCCACGGCAACCTCATTGCCTCTGTCGGTGCGGTCAAGCAACTCCTGGGTCACCATCTTCGAGCAGAGGACACATTTATCGCGTACCTTCCGCTCTCGCACGTTCTGGAGTTCATCGTCGAGCTCGCCCTGTTCTTTGTCGGCATGACGTTTGGATACGGCCGCGTCAAGACACTCACGGACGCGTCAGTGCGCGGCTGCGTCGGTGACATCCGCGCCTTCAAGCCCACGATCATGATCGGTGTCCCCGCTGTCTGGGAAATGATCCGGAAGGGCATCATGCAGAAGATCAACTCCGGCGGTACCTTGAAGAAGAGCGTCTTCAGTGGCGCGTACTCTGTCAAGAAAGCAGGTGTCCCTGTCCTGAGCCAGATCGTCGACTCCGCCATCTTCAACCAAATCAAGTCCGCAACAGGCGGGCGGCTGCGTCTTACGCTCTCTGGTGGGGCCGCGCTCAGTGCGGAGACTCAGGAGTTCTTGTCGATCGCGCTCGTGACCGTCCTGCAGGGTACGCCACAATCCGCAGCTTACACTGGTTCGCAGGATGCTGACGCACCGCAGGCTACGGCATGACCGAGTCGTGCGGCATGTGCGCTATCATGCCCCCAGAGTTCATGCAGTACAACACTGTCGGCTTGCCGCTGCCGTCAATTGAGATCAAGCTGCTCGACGTGCCCGACGCAGGGTACCGGTCGACCAATGAGCTGCCGCAGGGTGAGGTGTGCATCCGCGGCCCGTCGGTGACGAAGGGCTACTACAAGCGAGACGACCTGAACAACGACGAGTCCATTTTCACCAAGGACGGCTGGCTCAGGACGGGTGACGTCGGCCAGTGGAACGCGGACGGAACACTCAGCCTGATTGATCGGTATGTTGATAGAGTTCGCCTTACTTCCTCGCGCTCAATGTTGATAAAATTGTGTAGCATCAAGAACTTGGTGAAGTTGCAGGGTGGCGAGGTAACGCATATGTTGACCCCGGCAGTGGATGTCGCTGACGAGACTTGCAGTACATCGCCCTCGAGCGCCTTGAGTCGATCTACAAGTCGTGCAACCTGGTGTCGAACATCTGCGTGCACGCGAACTCGAACGCGCGGCAGCCGATGGCGGTCATCATCCCGCACGCCGCACACTTGAAGCAGACGCTCGAGGGTAAGAACATCGGTGTCGACGCGAACAAGTCGCTCCACGACTTGTGCGAAGACCAGGCGGTTGTAGACCTCGTCCTCAAGGAGTGCAACGCGATTGGGAAGAAGAATGGCTTCAAGCAGATGGAGCTGCTCCAGGCTGTTGTGCTCACGCCGGAGGAGTGGACGCCCGAGAGCGGGCTCGTCACCGCGGCACAGAAGGTGCAGCGGAAGAAGGTCGCGGAGGCGTTCGCCAAGGAGATCAAGGTGCGGTTACATCACTCGTTTGTGCGGCGACGTCTCTGATGCTCTTCCTTCTCATCACAGGCCGTCTACAAGTTCGACTGAGCGTCACCACTCGCAACTTGACATTTCTTCCTCTGTGGACCCCTTGATCCCCCGTTTGATTACTCGCACGTAGATATCCCCTGTCCTACTCGCTGTACCATACTCTCCCTGGCCATCCACGTCCGTCATGCCCTGTGCCGTTTTTGTTGTGTTCCGTTTCCACGCTTCGGTGTCCTGTGTCGAACAGGTTTTCCGGATGGTTCAGTCAATGCTTGTACGCCGCTGTTTTAGTTCATAGATATACAACCCCGTTACCCAGCAGTTTCGTCGGACGTGTGGTACATCACTCGAACCGAACTTGGGCTTCTGCGACCCTAACCGCAGCTGTGAACTGCCCAGGGACTACGCGTTCAGTTGTAGGTGCAACTGGTGATTTGTTGTGCCTTATGGTGGACCTTCGGTGCAGTCGCAACTCATCCCCGTAAATGCTGCCGCTCTGCCGCCACGTGTGCGTCGTGGTAGGTCGCGGTCTAACCTGGTCTAACGCCAAGGGTTCTTGTTGAACCCCTCTCTCTGTCACTCTCGCTACAATGAAGAGTAAGAACAACGCAATGTAAGCGATATCAACACCTAACGAGCCTCCTCTATTTGTTGACAGCAATGTCGTGGATCACCCGGATAATCTCCCGAGCACTGTGGCCCTGGGCGCTGTGGCGCTGCTTCCCCGCTTCCGTGCGCCTTGCAGTCTACAACTGGGCAGAACGACGATACGGCAGGGCTGCTAGTAATGGCTACCGCGTACGGGTGCTTCCATTCGGCCTCGTGTTCAAAAGGTGCTCGAACTCGCCTCATTACGAAGCAGGAAACATCCGATTCGTCGCGAACAACACCTCCCTCCCGGTCCCACGTATTCTAGATGTCGTCGAGTACACCCCACCGCAGCGGACACAGCGGTCTGGTCTGATCATCATGTCACGGCTGGAAGGGGAATCCTTGGAGAAGTGGATTTATGATCGCACTATCTATACGCCACTCCAATCCGAGCTGCTTCGGGAACTGGACATCTGCACGGAGAAGGGGAACCTCGCCGCCCTGAACGCCGTCATAGCACGGCTGGAAGCGTTGCCCAAGCCAACATTCGACTTGTCCGAGGCCGGACCCCTCATGCAGGACCTCCGCGACGCATTCACGGAGCTGCGCTCGCTCACGCCGCCTGCGTCGCCGGCCGTGTCGGGTCTCTCTGGGGGGCCTGTCCGCTGCAACCGCGGGGGAGAGCAGGAGTTCATCGGCCCGTTCCAGGACCAGCAGGATTTCAAGGACGCCTTGTTCGCCCAGGCGAACAGCGTGCTCTTCCCCCACCGCATGCCTACTCTCCACCGCCTAGCGGCGCCCGTGAATGCAACGCGCCACCGGATATACTTCACGCACGCCGACCTGGCGGCACGGAACATCCTCGTCAAGGACGGCCGCCTGTCGGGGATCGTCGACTGGGAGTTTGCGGGGTGGTACCCGGAGTACTGGGAGCTCGTCGCAATGGAGATGCAGATGGTCGACATGGCAGTCTTGCACCAGTTCTGGGATGCGGTGCAGCTGTTTGGGCCAGAGCCGTACCGCGATGAGCTGGCTCTCGAGTGGGCGTTGGGGTGCTGCACGGGGGACATGATGGTCAGGGGTGAGGCTGGAGATGACATGTCGTTCCCTCGGTGAGCGTTTACGAGCACTGGCATCTATCTTACTTGTGATTGACATGGTGCGGCAGAATCACTGGCAAGAAAAAGGCGGCTGCGCTTACTGGAGGGGACATACAGTCCGACGTCTTGTCCCTGCCTGGCAGTGCATCACTGTGAATGCCTGCCCTTCGTATCTGCTACCACGCTGTGAGACCTGCTACTTATGGATCCCTTCTACGTCTCCGTTATATCGACATATTGTTGCCCGCCTTGGTACTGCGCAGTGCATTCCCCACCCGTGCTAGGGATTTGTCGTCGCGGCGTTCTGCACGGCGGCTGCACGGTCTCTGCCTGCCGCCGACGAACGGCGGCGGCAGTGACCGCATGTTCCTCGCTGCGGAACTGGTACTTCGTGAAAGGTACGGTTTTGTTCTTGGTAGGGTTCCCAGTGAACATACCAAGCATGTTAAGGGAGTCCCAGCCGACTCGGTGTGCCCTGTATTTACCTTCTATGCAGTCGCAGCTCATCCCTGTAAATGCTTATCCCTGGGTTCCGTGATATACCACCGGCTTGAACGCTCGTGGGGAGACTTCCCAATGGAGAGTCTTACTCGTCTCTTATATCTTCTCTAGATTTGAGATACAGCTCACAATTCGTTCCCTCCCTGTCCCTCATTCTACGTAAGCCAGGCTAGGCGGCGGGCCTACCCCTCAGCTTCACCTCCCCATCCTCCAGTTCCGCACACCTGCATTCGCCTCGATGCCAGTTCATACGGACCTTCGCCCTCTGCAGTGTAGGCATAAGCCGCGCGAACCTGCGCACATAGCCTTCCAGGTCGAGCTCGTCCGCGGAACGCTCCGTCAAGAGCAACGGACACTCCTCGGGGTCAACCGAGATTTCACCTAGCATTCTCAACAAGCCTGAAAATGAGTATTCTGGTTGTGGGTCGGAGCCTTCCATGAAGATGTCGATGTTTAGCGATTGTAGAGGAGTGTGTGCGAGCGAAGACATCAAGTTCTCCTGCGTTCACATTCACATCAGCATGGGACATCAATGCAGCACACTATGACACGCGACTTGAGTGTACAGTGAACGCACCATGGTTTCAGCAACGTAGGCATTCTGGCCCTCATCAAGGGCCCAGAGATCGACGCACAGGCTCTCGAGTCGCGACCCGCCTCGTCCCTCGAATGCCACAAACGCGGCCGGCGATCCGGGGAGGCATTCCCAGCCGCACAGGATCAGTTGTCGTGGGCGCGCGTAAGACAGCACTGGGTCCAGCATGTAGCAGTGGTCTGTATAGAGCGCGCCGAGATCCACCCGACTGATGGGGCAGGTTATGCCCGCGGTGTAGAGGTCAACGAGAGCCCCGTCGAACTCCTCCAGTTCTCTCCACGCGCAGCCAGACCGGGTCTGCGCAGCGACGTTCTTGTGGTGTTGAACTCCGTAGTGTGGCTTGTCGGCGACGTCGCCATCCTCGTCCACTCCGGTATGTATGGATAGATATGCAAGTTCCGGGTAAGCGCGGATGAGAGAGATAGTTAAGGGGAGGGAAGCAGATCTCATGTCCAACCTTCGCATCTCTGGGTAGACAAACTGAGGCTCAGCAGCGATTTCGGGATGGGTATACCAGCGATCGCATTCCAGCACCTGCAGAGTCGAGCGAAAGCGAGCGAGGACAACGACCGGGTGATATTGTGGCCAGTCGCTCAATGGCGTAACACTTTCGTCGAAGAACCCGTCTTCGGAGTAGTTGGGGGGAAAGCCGATGAATATGCCCGTTAAGATGGACTGGGAAGACTGAAGGAGCCTGATTGAGTGTGCACCCCCTATCGAAAGCGACAGTTCCTTGAGCGAGGTAAGTGCGGTGATGGTGTCAAAGAGCCCTGGGATTTCGTGGAGGAGAAATTCGCTTTCGTAGATGGCAAGTGAAGAAAGGTGGCGCATGAGGGACAGGGCGGAAACTAGCTCCGAGGATGTTGTCTCCTTCATATCAGACACTCCCAATCGCAACTCACGGACGGCTTTGTAGCGTCCGTCGTCCAGCGCATGGCGTAGAAAAGCGAGAAATAGGAGAAGTTCCTTCTCAGTATCTAGATGAACGGTCTGGCGGAGAAGCACCTTGGGACCTTCAAAATGGAGGAAGCGAGAAGTGTCGAGTAAAGCAGCGGAGGTTTCCCATGAGGAGACCGCTACGATCTCTAGAAGGACATCATAGTTGAGAGCAGGGTGTCCTGCCATGGCTGTAGCGTGGGTGGGAGGGCCTTGTCAAATCTAGGCAGATCACGAGGAATCAGAAAACACCAATGCATCCCGAAACACATACTGTGCATGTACTCACTGAGACGATTCTGACCGAGCGTCGTCTTCCTTACCACATATGCTCAGTTCGTGTTTTGAAAGTCCACAGTTTGCCAGGGGCAGTCTGAAGTCGAACCAGAGTAAGCAGCCCGTCTGGGAGCATCAACGTACGGTCGACGCATGCGCACACCGAAGTCTGGCTTTACGACGAGGCCTGGCTTTACGAAATACCCACCAGTGGTGGGCATATACTCACCTGGAGCAATATACCGTGGATTTCACAGTCACCGAGATATTTACTATCGACAATGGCGTTCTCGTTGACTATATGCGCGTACACGTTGGTTTGAGGATGGCGGGAGGAGGTAAGAGGTGATCGAGACGGTGAGGCGCTCAGGCCGTCACTGATCCTTCTCCTTCCTCCTCTCACGAGCGAATTCATAACTCCGCACCAATATCCATACGTAAGTAACCCTGGCATCACAGTATGCAGGTCTCTATGGCACGCAGAGATTTACCCGCCCACAGGCCCCATCGTAGTCTCACAGGTATAACGTGCAGCATGCGATTGAAAGCGAAAGGTATGTTATATGGTACTAAGATGCCGATTTCGCTGATTCGAGCAAACAGCTGTATCATGGGATGCTTTTCTCGTGTGGCTTTTGCCTATCTTGACCCGCATCATGCATTCCCGGCTCATATGGGGAACATGGCGCCTCCTTCCTGCCTCTATTCGATTGGCGGCGTATGACAAGCTTCGGCGGCGACATACAAGCACCACGACAGGAAGAGTGACAAAGCTTCCCTGCGAGATTGGTCTGAAGACTGCGCACGAGTATTTTCCTCGGGCGGAGGCCGACAACACGCGATTTGTTGCTAAACACGCCTCTATCCCTGTGCCCCGGGTTCTCGACGTCGTGGAGTCTGCCGAGAAGACATCGGACGGAAGGCCTATGCTCGCCTACATATTGATGACCTGGCTACCAGGACAATCACTCCGTTTCTGGATTGGTGAACGAACCATCGTTCACCCTGACACCGAGGCGGCACACGAAGAGATACGCACCTGCCTCCGAACAGGAAACTTCGATGCATTGCAGGATATCAAAGACAGATTGCAAGGTCTCCCAGCTCCGACCCTCGACATGTCGGACGGTGCACCGCTCGTCGACGATCTCCGAAGAGCTTTCACAGAGCTTCGCTCCATCCCGGCCCCTCATTCGGATGCTGTCAGTGGCCTGCACAATACCCCGCTCAGCTCCGTCCGCTGTACCATTGGGCCGTATACCTTCGGACCTTTCGAGTCGCAGCTCGCGTTCAAGAACGCGATCTTCTCCCAAGTCAGCAATTTGTTCTTAAAAAGCCGTCTGCCCGCCCTGCGTCAGCTCGCCGATCCCGTCCACGCTAAACGGCACCGCATCGTCTTCACGCACGCCGATCTGCATGCGTGCAACGTCCTCGTGCACGAAGGGCGGCTGTCGGGAATCATCGACTGGGAGCACGCGGGGTGGTATCCGGAGTACTGGGAGTACACGATGGCCGAGTACCACATGACGAGACGGTCGCTGGAGCAGCAGTTCTGGGACGCGGCACATCCGTTCGGGGAGAATGCGTACCCCGAGGAACTCGCGCTAGAGTGGGCGCTGTGGGGATGTACGCGCGATCACGCGATATACGACGATGTCGACGTCGATCTTTCATGTCCTCGGTGAGCACCTCATGGCGAGTAGTGGTATGAGCTTGGTGAATATGCTGACGAAGATACAGCCTGAAGGCGGGCACCGGGCAGAGCATTCAGCTGAAGTTCTTGCGCGGAAGTACTGTTGATTGGAAGCCGTCTGTTGAACCCCAGGCTGGTACTACTGAATAGTCGCTTTGCGCTGCGGCGTGACTGGCAGGGCAAGTGCCCGCTTTTGTGTTTCTGTTACGAATCTGGACAGCTTGTCTATGTTGTTAAGCTACACCATGACTTACCGGAGGATCTGCTGCTAGACGGTGTCAAGCGGGCCTATTTGTACACACTCCATCCACGAATCGAACTAGCGTGCCTATCTCATTATCACAAGCTGCCACAGACTGCAAACCAACAGAGCAAAGCACAAGACATGAGCGAAAACAGCGTCACCGCTGCTACATTATCATACACGCATACAGTACCAGTAACTAACCAAATGTACGAGTAGGACAAATAACACTAGACAGAATAAGTATCGGCACAAGACGCAGGCGGAGCATTGTACATGCGCGACGCGCAACCGTATGGACAGCACAGCAGACAGCGAAGTGTGCGAGGCGGGAGGGCGGAGAGACGGGTGTTCACTCGTTCTCCATCGACTCCTTCTCGTACTTCTTCTTCATGACGCTCACTGTATGCGTGGTCAGGACGAGTATGCGCTCGCGCGAAGAGAGCGCACGCACCTTCTCGAGAGATCTGGCCCGACGATAGCCAGCCGTCCGGGAAGGCACCGACGATCTGGGCTCACATGAGCACGAGTGACGGTCTCGAATAGCGATGTACTCACCCTCTGGTACAAGTTCTTCCTCACACCCTGGTCGCTCACGATTTGGTTCGAGTTCTCGAGTTGGCTGCTCGTCACCCGTTAGTGAGCGTTATACATCATAACAGGAGGCACTTACTTCTTCTCGTTCTCGATCCTACAGCACTCGTTGCTTAGGCAAACGAGCTGCCAGATGATCTGCTTCATCTGGTCCGTCAAGCGATACCGCTTCGCCGGTGGGTGCGAGTCTTTGCCCTTCCCCGGCGCACCACCGTCCTCATGGTCCGCACCGTCGTCCAGTGAAGGGCGCGCCTCGAGAGGTGCTGTGCCAATACCAGGCGTCGCCTGGTCGCTGACCACGGGAGATCCCTCTGTCGAATGTGCAACGCCAGGCACAGGTTCTCCCGAAGGCTCGGCCTTTGCACGTTCCTGCCGCTTCTCTGAGATTGGGTCAGCGAGCCGCGTCGCGGTAGCGTAAAGGACAGACGTACCCCACTGTACGACACTCTTCTCCCACTCCTCCTTCGCTTTTGGGAAGCCCTCGTCCGCGAGCACGCGAAGCTCCTCGATAAGCGAATTCTGGCGGTCGACCAGCAAGTTCGTGTGGTCTCGCCATATTGTGCGCTTGACTAGTTTCTGCAGCAATATGAGCATGCGAACAATATCAGGACTAAGGGATCGCGCATACCGTCATGGTGAACTTGTTGTACGGGAACAATCGTGGCATGAGGTTGAAGAAGTTGTCGTCGTACTCCCCGAGGATAACCGCCTTGAGAGCGACTTGTGCAAGGACCGGTTTAAGCGACGGCGGGAACTTGCCCTTCGTCTCCCAGTTCTCCTTCGCGATCGCCTCCTTGAGAACATCGATGGCTGCCTCGAGGTCGGGGTGGAAGGGTTGCTGTAGAGAACATGTCAGCGACGGCGGTACAGACTGACACGCATATAGTCACGCAAGAGACTCTGGACACGCTTCAGGGGACGCTCACAGCCCCCCACGCGTAGTGCGACGATGCGCGAGGATGAGACGAAGTACTCACAATCTCGACCGTCTTCCTCCGCTTCTTCACGCTCCCATCACCTCCACTACTCGCCACACTCTGCGTCTCGCTCATCTTCCTCTTCAGCTTCCCTGTCGCGTCCTCGGCATCAGAAAGTAGAGCAATCGGCGCGTCGGCGGTTCCGTCTTCGACTTTCAGTCTTGCTTTGGCCGATACTGAGCCGTTTGATGGACCGGCGGAGGCCGAGAGAGCAGGAAGGGGGAGTGTCGCCGTGGAAAGAGCGGCAGTCACGGAGGCAGAGGGCGCGAGGATGTTGACCTTCTTGGACTTCGGCTTTCGTTGAGGCGCTCTGTGATTCACCGGTCAACGGGCGGTAGGGTCAGGGATCACAGCGAGGATACGTACTTGTTCAATAGTGCTACCTGGCCGCTTGAAACGTAGAAGCCCTTCTGCTTAGTTTGTGCGAAGAATGTACGCTCATCTTGGGCAAGCTCGGAGTCGTCGATGAAAGGGTCCGCTGTGTCATAGTACTCCGACGCATGATGTCGTCGCTGCTGGGAGACTGTGAGCAAGGATGACGGCGACCTGTACAGCGACACGAACCTTGCGTTTCTTAGCTGTGAGGGTCTCCTTCTCGTCAGTCTTGACTTTGTCGCCGAGCTTAACTTTGTCATCGCCAGGCTCATCGTCCCCGTCACTCTCGTCGGAAGAATCTCCAGGGATCTTCACTTCTGGAACAGGCGTAGCCTGGCGCTGTCCTGTCGCCTTTGCCAACTCGGACACGTTGACCTCATAGTCTTCAGGTCCTCCGAGTTGAATGTCCAGACGGATAGTTTCGAGCGGACGACGGGCCGGCGGCGGAGGTGGCGACGGAGAAGAGGCACGAGGAGCGGCGGATTTGGAGGACTTGGGTTTAGCGCTGGGACCCGCTGCGGCTACGTTGGATGATGGCTTCGACTTTTTACCCTTTGTGCTCTCCCCGGCTACAGGGGCCTCGTTTGAGGAGACGGCATCATCAACAGCGTTTTCGGGGACCAGAAGGTCGACGGGGAGGGGTGTGTCAACGTCGTCGATAGGGATGGGGGAGTGGTGCGCTGGCGACGAGGAGGGGGGTGGCGACGACGAGCCCTCTTCGGACGCCGACTCCGCCGAGGCAAGGTCCTCGGGGACGTCGTCGGGGGCCATTTCGACGTCGCTGGGGGCGATATCCATCGCTGAGGGGGTCGGAAAGGGCGGGGGGAGGGAGGGAGAAGTTACCTAAACGGGCAGGGGTCGGGGGGACGGGGAGGTTGGGATGGAAGATTGCGCATCTCTGGGATACGACGGGCGAGAATACTTGTTTCGGTTGGGCCGGGTGCAGCTGGGCTTGTGGCTTGTGCAGAGAATCGGCGCGGCCTTTTGCCTGCCCATTCTCTCTCTCCCATTGGCTCGGCATTTGCCATCTACGATTCCCACCGGGCGTCTATCCCTTAACCCCTCCTCAGACTGCGTATTCCTGCATCTTCCGACGCCGGGCTGTGTCTGCCATCTTTCCTCCTGTCCACAGCTTGTCATCACCCTCGGGATCACCGGCTGTGGCCTGTTTGAGTGCCCAGACTTGTCTAGGATATCGGTAGCGCTCAAGAAACGGGCTTTGTCAACGTGCTTGCCTCCTACGACGCCGTACACATTCTGATCGACTCGGCCGCGACACGCATGTCTTGTGGGACCTTAAGATTACCAGGACCCCTCTCACCCTCAGTGTGTACGCAATATCCTAGTATTGACGTTGAGCCTAAAATTAAGAATGCATTTTTCACAGCGTGGACACGACTGAAGTGCATCCTGCAGCTGCGGAAGCATTAAGCGCCGTCCGTTCGGAGCTCGCGCTCACTCGGACTCATCTCGGAATCACACCCGTTCTGAATATACGATGCAGTACTTCATCCTGCGTAGTGATACAAGTTTACTTTCATGACATATAAGTGTCAACGTTAATACGCTGACCTGATATCTACTAGTCTAGTATACGACTTGAAGAAAGGTATCGAGAGTCAGAAGAGTGCGATGCCTAGTATCGGTAGTGACCTTCGGTCGAATTGACCGCCTGCCCGACCATCAGCAACAGTTCAACAGTGCTGAAGAGCGATATTACCCTGCGACTCACCGTTCAAGTCGTATTCCACAAGCCCCCTTTAAATCCGTGAGCGGGAATTTGTTCCTGTAAAAGGCAAGGCTGCGTATGTGCTATGTTATCGGCGCTCTAACATCTTCGGTTCTTAGCTCCGTACCTCCACTAACAACGCCTCGAACTCTCCAGTCCTCGCAGTCTCTTTGATCAAATGCTGCTAACACTTCCAACTGAAATCATCATCTATATCATCCGCGCGCTGGACCGTGATACCCAAACCCTCCGGAACGTTGCCCTCGTCTGCCGCGCTCTCCTCCCAATTGTGCGCGAGGAGCTCTTCGCGATCACTAGCGAACGCGTGCTCGAGCATCCCTACATGCGTCCCCATTTCGGCCATATCATCGAGCTCGTGATTGGTGGCGGGCCCGTATTATCGCTTCGCCGACACCTTGACTCTCACGCCGCTTCCTGTCTGCAATCCCAGCCGTTACCAAAGCTCAAGGCCATCCGATTCGTTACTGCACACCCCGTATTCTACTTCAGGCTTCCTCCGGAGCTGTACACGGCTCTCGAATCCTTCACGGCGGTCACGGACCTCACTCTTTGCTGGGCTTCGTTCCACAACTTGTCGCATGCGCAATCTCTGATATGCGCGCTACCAAATCTGAAGTGTCTCTCTATGAAGGACGTCAAGTTCTTCGAAGGAGGCCCCGGCTCCCAAAGCCCTTTTCTCTTCAGCATCATCAGCCATCCCTGTACCGCGGCCTCTATCAGACCTCGCTTGACTCGACTGTCGGTAGCCCCGCCACCTCGAAGCAGCGGGTCGGCCGAGATCGTGGCCTGGCTAGGTCAGGGTCCTTGCGCCGAGTCGCTCCGTACCCTCGTCGTTCCCTATCAGTCTTTCTCCGCAGATGCTGTACTCGGGAACTTCGGCAGCACAGTCGAGCATCTCCAGATGCCGCTGCGCGAGCTAGACAGTCAGTCCGGGTTTTTGCTCTCCTCTTGACTCGACACTGATGCTTTCGCTGTGATGATAGGCACCATCTATAGCGGCTACCTAGATGACTACACCAACTTGCGCACGCTAACGGTGTTCCTTGAGGCGTACAGCACGTGCGAGGGCCCGTGGTACCTCCTCGCACCCTTCCTCGAACGCGGCATCTCAGCGGAGCACCTCCATACTATCACTATCGACGTGCGCATCGAGTATCCGATGGACCTGTGGTCAGCGATCGACTGGGCCGCGCTTGATCGCGTAAACGACGAGCTAGACGAGGCAAAGTTCGAGGGTTTGCGTAAACTCGTGTTCATCCTGCAATGGAGGGAGGGACTGGAATGGAAACCTGCGGAAGGGGAAAGGGATTTGGTCAGGCAGCAGATCGAACAACGGCTATACAACCTCGTCGATGCGGGAAAGCTGGAAGCGAGAGTGCAAGTGGTTGGAGAGGTAGTGTGGCACGTTCATCCGTGATGGTCGTGCGCTCGCTCATCGTGCATTTGTTCAGTATTACGATTCAATATGACACACCGGGCCGGGTTGCACCATGGGCCTGACGACCGACGACACGACGCGTCTTTCAGAGTTAGGTCCGCTTGAAAATTGGCATTCTGTAAATTGTCAGCGCTGGTGGTTGTGCACGATGGTGAGGCAGGATGGGTTTCTGGGTGAATGTCGCAGCGGACCATGAAAGTATTACCATAATGTAAAACACAGATGCTTAAAAACAAATGATATCGCCCGCCTAGCTCAATCGGATAGAGCGTCAGACTCTTACTAGCGGGTGATCTGAAGGCTGCGAGTTCGACCCTCGCGGTGGGCTAGATGCATTTTTATCATTTTCTGGTTGCTCAAATTCAACAAGAGGTACCTAGCGATGGACAATCCCATGCCGGCAACGCATTTCACACCCCATCCACGACTGGTTTCGGGGATGACGTAGATCGTTGGTACATTTTACCGTTTTGATCCCCAAGGTTCAGTTGGTAAAGTTGGAATACCGGTGTACGGCTCGAGCGCCTCCTCTTGCCTCTGAGCTCTCCCGTCTCCCGTCCACCATCCTCAGACTGGACGTGTATGCATATAGCCAACGAGAACACACTGGGCGACGAGAACGACTTCACGATCGAGGATATCTCCCAGAAGGTGAGTGTATGTCAAACACCTGTGGATATTCTGTACCTCGCGGATGGAATAGCGCCTTCGGACGCACCGGTTGCTTACTCGAAACTGTTCATCCTCCAGGTGTCACTCGCAGAGGGAGTGTATAGCCAATAGAGGGTACAGTGTTCGCTCTGAATCATCTTCTGTGAGTAAATGCGCCGTACTTGTCTAACATGCGTACGGGAGTGTTGGATCCATCCAAGTCTTCTAATCTCTCCTGATCCACAGAGTCACTCAGACTGCCCGTTCGACTTGTAGCCATGACCTCACGCCCGACCCTCAACTACGACATTCTCTTGGAGGTGGCAGCCGCCTCCTCATGGGACACCTCCGCTGCCTTGCTCGACACCTGCCGCTTCCTCCATCTTGAAGGCCCTAGGGTTCTTCTCCGCTCGCCTGTTCGCCTGGATACCGAGGAGACACTTCTCCGTTTTCTCGCCTTTCTACGCCGCGCTCTGGATGGCAGGCGTTACCAATCCGTCCGTGAAATTCACCTTGCTCTTGATGCCATGGCTGCTGCGACATCCTCTGGGCTTGTCTCTGCCTTAACCCTCATGCACAACCTTTCCTCACTCGGCATTCATGAAAGCGAGCGTCTTTTTTGCGCTTTCCCCAGCCTCCTCCACGCTACTGCAGCACTGACCTCACTTCGGAAGCTTCGGCTACGAGGAGGGGGCGAACACACGCTGAAGTTCCTCCGGTCTTCTCAGTCCAAGTTCACATCCGTGCACACCTCCTTTCACGGCGAAAACTACGTTTCTGGGCTGTTTGACCAACGCGTGACGCTGCAGCCACAGTATCACCCCGCCGTTCTCCTCGACAATTCTCGCTATACCCTACAGGACCTCAAATGTGAACGCTGGCATACCCACTCCGACGTCATGCCCGATCCTCGCCTTGTCTACCCGGACATGCGTCGACTGACGATGAACTATACTTCTTTTCCTCCAATCACGGGCTCACTCATCCGCGCCTATCCGAAGCTCACTTATCTTTCGATCCACACTGGGGAAGGCGACTGTAGTGAAGATGCGTACGAAGACGATCGGTACGCGGGTTATCGCGAGAAGAACGTCCTGACGCAGGCTCTTCCGGGGTGTTCGTGGATGCAGCTGGACGAGTATGTGGGGCCTCTTGTCGACTGCTACGTCTTGGGTCTTACTTGCGTTATCGAACGGCTGGAGCTCCGCTCCTTGCACCCGGGTCACCACTTCATGCTGGGCACTGTACTATCCTGCGCGCGCCCGCGACACCTCGTCTTCACTAGTTGGCCCAGTCTACTCGAACCGTCGATCGAACCGTCCGACGCATTTTACGGACGAGGCACATCGCGCCTTGAGAGTCTAACGCTCAACTGTCGGCTCAGTGGCTATGAGATGGGCGAATGTGTTGACGTCGCCGAAATGCTGGTGCGTGCGCTGTTACTGCAATTCGTTCACGAAATCATCAGATTCTGATTTACGATAAACATAGGAGGGCCTGATGGCGTCGCTTGGGCACGCGCCTCTACGCTCTCTGAAGCTCACAATCTCCATGTACGACCTCGACCCGACACCGGATGAACAATTCTCCGACTCGGAGTTGCTACCTGAAATCTCGGGCGAATACACTCCACCCCCGGCGGACCCGGAGGACTATCCGCTACTCCTCGCGGAACAATCGGCGGACGAGTTCGACCTGGCGGACTACGTGCGCAGGTTCGCACGGCTCGTGCCTACTCTGCAGACGGCGAAGGTTTGTATAGAAGGGCTTCGCGAGAAATGCAAAACGGCGAAATTGAAAGATGGGGAAGTGCAGTTTAGGGTATTGGATGGTCCGTCCGAGTCGGACATCGAGTAGCAGGGGAGATGGGGAGAGAATGAGCCGCACTGTGTGTTGTACCTGGAGTAGAGCTTTGCAAGATATGTTTCAGTACTGTTCACTACGTTGCCCCTTGATAAACTTTATAGTTTATATTAAGCTCCCGAGGCTGGAATTTTCCCTTCCCGTGGGTCCGACCGTCTCCTCTCTCCCACCCAATTGTGGAATGTCGGTGATTCGATATCTGGTGGCGGTATGATGGGATGGTCGACGGTACATACTAGGATTTGGTAGCAGATACGAAGGGCAGGAATTCACAGTGATGCGCTGGCAGGCGGGGACAAGACTACGTCGGACTGTATGTCCTGTCCTACAAGCGGAGTCGCCCCGTTCTTGCCAGTGATTCTGTCGCACCATGTCAGTAACAGATAAGACAGATGCATGCACACGCTCACCGAGGGAACGACATATCATCTCCAGCCTCACCCATCATGTCCCCCGTGCAGCACCCCAACGCCCACTCGAGAGCCAGCACATCGCGGTACGGCTCCGGCCCAAACAGCTGCACCGCATCCCAGAACTGGTGCAAGACCGCCCTGTCGATCATCTGCATCTCCATTGCGACGAGCTCCCAGTACTCCGGGAACCACCCCGAAAACTCCCAGTCGACGATCCCCGACAGGCGGCCGTCCTTGACGAGGATGTTCCGTGCCGCGAGGTCGGCATGCGTGAAGCATATCCGGTGGCGCGTTGCGTGCACGGGCGCCGCGAGGCGGTGGAGAGTAGGCATGCGGTGGGGGAAGAGCTCGCTGTTCGCCTGGGAGAACAAGGCGTCCTTGAACTCCTGCTGGTCCTGGAACGGGCCGATGAACTCCTGCTCTCCCCCGCGGTTGAGGAGGGCAGGCCCTCCAGAGAGCGCGGAGACGGCCGGCGACGCTGGCGGCGTGAGCGAGCGCAGCTCCGTGAATGCGTCGCGGAGGTCCTGCATGAGAGGCCCGGCCTCGGAAAAGTCGAGGGTTGGCCTGGGCAGTGCATCCAGCTGTGTTATGACGGCGTGCACAGCAGCGCGGTTCCCTTTCTTCTTGCAGATTTTCAGTTCCCGAAGCAGCTCGGATTGGCGGGGCGTATAGATGGTGTAATCATCAAGCCACTCGTCCAAGGGTTCTCCTTCTAGTCGTGTCATGATGATCATACCCGACGGCTGTTTCCGCTGCGGCGAGGTGTACTCGACGACGTCCAGAATACGTGGGACCGGGATGGAGGTGTTGTTCGCGTTGAATCGGATGTTTCCTGCTTCGTAATGAGGCGAGCGCGAGCACCTTTTGAGCACGAGGTCGAATGGAAGCTTCTGTACACGGTAGCTTTTGGACGCCTTGCCGTATTGTCGTTCTGCCCAGTCGTAGACCCCAATGCGCACGAAAGAGGGAAAACAGCGCCATAGCGACCACAGTGCTCGGGAGAGCGTGTGAATGATCCACGACATTGCTTTTAACAAACAGGGGAGGCTCGTTAGATATTATCGTCAAGTATATCACGTCGATCTTACTGTTCATTAGAGCGAGAGATAGAAATAGAGGGGAGTTCAGCAAGGAATGTGGCGGCTTGGCTGCGATGAACCTTAAAGCTTGTATTAGGCGCCCAAGCTTGAGCATCGTCGGTCGGCCCCACTCCTCTTTTCCGCTGATTCCTCATTCCCACCATCCATACACTAGCGCATACAGCCACTGAAAACACAACAATCAAACGGTAAAGTAAATCTAAAAGCTCGCGATTTACAGTTCTAGGGTGAGTAGATGCGCTGGCGGCAATACAACACTTCCAGTCGTGTTGCAAGCTTGACTCATTCACCAGTTCTTGCAGATCGTCACTCGTACGACCCTCTCTTCAGTGCAAGTTATACGCAAAACATAATAACACTTCTGGTGCGTATATTTACGGTGAGAATTGGTTTACGCTTGCTTCCCTTCCCATTCCGTTGTCAAGTTACTTCGTCAAAGATATTATCTATGACCGTCCGGACTCCAGCGGCTTTCGCGGTGGAATGAGACGTTCGCTGACTGTCCTTGATTTACTCAGATCTAGCATGGCATCGCGCCCGGTCCTCAACCATGATATCCTTCTCGAGGATGCTGCTGCGTTACTGGACACCTGTCGCTTCATTCATTATGAGGGCCACAAAGCTCTCCTGCGCCAGACCGTATACTTGGACTCACCGGCTACCCTGCTCGACTTTCTCGCTTTTCTACGCTATGGACTGGACGACGCGCGCCACAGCTCCGTCCGCGATCTGTACCTCGCTCTCGAACGCTCGAGAATGATGAAGAAGGCATCCCCGCAGCTGCTCGTGTCCCTCCCCCTCATGCACAACCTTGCCTCGCTCAGCATATCGGAAAGCGAGTTTGTCTTTGACGACGACTTCGGCCTCTGCGGCGCATTCGCAGCCCTTACTTCGCTCCGGGAGCTCCATCTGCCAGCAGCGGGCGAGCACACGGTCCAGTTCCTGCAGGCTTCCCAATCTACCTTCGTAACTGTCAACATCTCATTCCCTCCCGAATATGACGAAGATGGGTTCTTCGACCCCTGCATAACGCCGGAGGACGACTGGCCGCAGTATCACCCCGCCGTCCTCCTCGCCAACTCGCGCCCGACTCTGCGGGACCTCGAATGCGAACGCTGGTACACCCACCCCGAAATCACGCCTGACCCTGGACTCGTCTATCCGGAGATGCGGCGGCTCCGCATGGCGTCCGCGTCGATGCCGCTGACTCTGCCATTCGTCCGCGCCTACCCGAACCTCAGCTATCTCTCTATCCACACCGGCGAGAGCGACGATGGCCACTGCTACGCGTCGGACATACAGGGCTATGCCGACCATCGCCGGAAGAACATGCTCGCACAGGCTCCGCTTGGCTGCTCGTGGGCGGAACTGGGAGAGTACTCTGGGTCTCTCGTCGACTTCTATCTCCTCGGCTTGGTGTGCCCCGTAGGGCGCGTAGAGCTCCGCGCGCTGCACCGGAACCATCGCTATATGCTAGGCCCTGCCCTATCCTGCGCGCGGCCGCGGCGCCTCGTCTTGCATGGCTGGCCTGGGTTGCTCGAATCTCCACCGGATGTCTTCGCTGCACTCCAGGGAGAAGCCGGGTCGCGACTTGAACACCTATCGCTCGATGCACGGCTTGATGGCAAGGATAGGGACGTCGACATTTCTATTATCTTGGCGCGTCTCTCTTATGTCTTGGACTTCCGCACATAATACTGATTTGATTTGAGCGTAGGAGGGCCTCATGTCTTCCCTTGCTCACGCTCCTTTACGATCTCTGGAAGTGACGATCTTCTTGCCGCACAAACACCGGCAGAATCAGTACATGACGTCGGATGAGTTGTTTGCTCTCGAGATGGCTCAGGAGGACTCGGATGACTTCGAGGAGGACGACGTCGAGGAGGATGACGCCGAAGAGGACGTCCCCAACCCGTCGTCACCCCCGCCCGGCCCGACACGCCCTTCGCTATCTAGTGCCGAGCACTCGGAGGACGAGTTTGATGTAGAGGACTACGTGCGCAGGTTCAGGGCGCTCGTCCCTACGCTGGAGAAGGCGGTGGTGCGCCTCATATAAACTCGAGACTATGAGTGAACAGCAACGCGGGAGAATGTGAAAGTAGAATCATCGTTCAAGGTATCACAAAGGATGGGAAGGGGTCGAGCGATGCTGTATCTTGACGTCCTGGAGCATGTGTACGAGTATGAAAATGTTGTAGAAAATGTTCATCCGCTCCTGTATCCCGGCGACCCTTCAAGCTTCAATGGGCACCATGCCCGGGTACCTCTATCCTATCCGACAACGGTGATGAAACAATCACGGCGCATACATTGGCATACGCAACTCGGGAGAAACACTGAAGGATATTTGTAACCGAAACAGCCTCGGGATACCTAACGGCCTACGCTAAATGACTCTGCCCGAGACCCTTAGTGGAAGCCCATCCAGCACTTCGCGCCGCCCTCGTTGTCGTCGCACTCGATGTCCGACGCGCCCTGATCAATCGCCTGCACGAGAAGCCCCGCGCACGCGTCGTAGCAGTTCTCCGGGCTCTTATAGTTGTGCGTGCCCTTGAACCAGCCGCGTCCACCGCAGTTCATGCCGTCCTGTCAAATCGCTCACAGCGTCAGCAAGGTGTGACGTGAAGAGCAGAAGGCGCATCGGCATACCCAGTTGTCGGTGCGGTAGTTGTTGAGGCAGGTGTGCAGCGCGCCCTGGTCGGTCGCGCCGAGTGCGTTGAACTGGCGCACGACGGACGCGTTGGCGGAGACCTGGCTGACGGCGAAGGTGGCGAGCGCGAGGAAGGCGGCGGTGAACTGCGTGATGATTGGGTACTGTGGCGAGTGAGAAGTGGAATGGGCGGGAAAAGGAAGCCGACTTACTGTAGAAGCGGTGGGCTGGAGACTATGGAAGAGAGGTTGGTGGTGCCACAGGACGATGGTGTAAATCGCTCAGGCTTAAATACCGGTTGATTCGTTGCCGCCCACTCGCCACGAGTGCATACTGAGCCTGACGGTACGCAGAGCGCGCTTGCATGACGTCTTTGTCGGCACGTTGGAACAATGACCGTCTTGGACCTTAGTGCTGTCTGGAGACTGCTCCGTCGCCGACTCCGCCGGGTCGCACCATCATCAAATCGGGTTCACGGCGTAGGCAACGTTGCACCTCACGAGTCGCCGGCTCAAGCATCGTCTTCAAATGCGCACACTCGCGTGTCCACTGAGCTATCAATACGAGCAATTAGCGAATGAAGCGTCGGTATCTCAAGGGTACGGAATAACGAACCGGTGTCCACGGTCGGCGTCTAGAGCGAATATGATCGGCACGGTAGGCGCCACCGATCCCGAACGGAGGATACAGCCCAGCCAGGCGGCGTGACCAGGCTCGGCAACCTACTACCAGGCTGTACGGCGGAGAGCGGCAGTCAAGTGGGTGCATGCTATAGGTGTTGTATGAAATTCGGCCCTCTGTGGATGTGAAGCACAGCTGGGACACTCAGATGTCCTGGGTAGGCGCCTCGTGGCGGTGCCGCTCGCTTTGTGGCGTGCGAAATCCAGTGCTACAACGAACGGACGTGGCCGCCTCGGGCTGTCCTCGACTCCTCCTCGTCTTCCTGCCACCATCTTGAGGTAACCGACGAGGTTATGCGGTTTCTGATGTTGTACAGCGTTTGGCATACTGTTGCAGCGGACATGTGCGGCTCATAGCTCCTCGTGGCGTGCACAAACTCGCTGCAAAATGCTACCACCGGACGTCGACCGGAGGCCACAGCCGCCAGTCATAATAGGGTGCGTCCGTTCTGAACCGTGAAACACCGACGTTTCTACCGCTAATGCATGTGTCAACAGTCTCCGAGCACAAGTAGGGCGTTCATTTGTCCTATCATGTCCGAATCGGCACTTCGTGAAGTGAATTGGATGTTATGAAATTGACCCGCAAGGTCTTGGCCAGGTCGCGAATACAGGTGGCCTCCTGCTCACCCACGCTGCCGGGGCCATCGACAATATTCCGCGTAATGCATGTCTGCAAGGTCAAAACGCGTTGTCAGGCCGCAACAGGGACGGTCCGCATCGGGACTCTCGGGCTGCCGGTGGTACATAAACCAGCGCGATACTCACCAACCACCTCACCAGCCTCTTTCCAACAGTCTTCACTATACAACACCTTCAGGAAGTTGTCTAGCTCACACCCACGGTGCTCAGTCACTCATCGGCGGTGTCATCGCTAGAGCTACCATGCAGTTCACCGCCGCCTTCCTCGCGCTCGCCGCCTTCGCCGTCAGCCAAGTCTCCGCCAACGCGTCCATCGTGCGCCAGTTCAACGCGCTCGGTTCGACCGACCAGGGGGCTCTGCACACCTGCCTTCAGAACTACCGCACCGACAACTGGGTACGCCGCGCATCGTTCTCTCATCGCCTACACGATCTGATTACTTGCCTTTATCTCTCCGCATGTAGGGCGGCATGGACTGCGGCGGCCGTGGGTGGTTCAAGGGCACGCACAACTACAAGAACCCGCAAAACTGCTGGGATGCGTGCGCAGGCCTGCTCGTGCAGGCGATCGACCAGGGCGCGTCGGACGTCGAGTGCGACGACAACGAGGGCGGCGCCAAGTGCTGGATGGGTTTCCACTGAACGATGCTTAAGGACTTATAGTCTGTTTAATGAAGACTTCGATAGCTATGGGATTTTCGCTCGAAGTCAAGTCACGGTCTGTTTTTACATGCGATATAAGGTTCAGCCGTGTCCCAGCGCGCACTCTAATGGCGCCTATGTTTGTCTTCCCAGGCTGCACAGGTTCCGCTACACAGTCGTGTACATGAGGACAATCGCGCCGACCAGCGTTTCTTACGATCGACCATCATCTCGGGGCGGGCGAGCTCTCGACAATCGTGTAGCAAGCACACTCCATCTCGCACGATGTCCACCGCCTCTGGTGCCTGGGACGTATACGCCGAGTCCCTGACATATCTCGGGTACGGGTATCCCCTCTGGTGTCCCGATACCTGGAACCAGTTGAGGCCTTGGGATATCGAGATCGGGGACGTGGGTTGGCTGAGGAAAGGCCAATTCTGCCCTCTTATCAGAACAACGACCAGCCGTGCTACCCAGCAGCCTTACGGAACCCTTCCCGCAGGTCACGTTCCATTCGACATCTCTAGGGCCGCACTAGGTGGAAATCCAGACAGGATCATGCAGAGTATGCTGCATAGCAGAAGAATACAGATGATAGAGGTTTCGGCCGGGCTTTCGGCCAGCTTGTCGTACGTTCCACCTGGTTTCAAATCCGGTTCAAGTTCGTTCGTGATATTTGTGCCAGTCCAGCGCAGCTCGATACGGGCGGGAGCGTCGGTTTCAAGTGTGCCGAAGATAAAGGGGCGCTCTTGATGCTCAGACCGAAAGGTGAAGAGAAGATATGTCAATCTGCAGGGCTCATCAAGAACTACCTGCGCGCCAACCACAAGAAATGGGAAGACTTCGCGAACGATGCGGACGGGCTGGGTTTGGACCTAAAGGCCGAAGATATCATCTTCGTCGCTGGTGTCACCAAGACCGTTGACTGGGGCGTCACCGCATTCGTGAGCAGCCAGAACGAGGTGGAGGGGAGTATATCCTGCAATCTATCTGGGATCGGCGCGGCGAGTATCAACGTCAGGGTCACCAATGACTCTGCCGCGAGTCTTTGGAAACGGGCGGGACCGCCGCCCTCATGGGGACGTCCACCATCCTACTACATTTCAATGGACTCTACTAGCATCGCTTCAGAAATCCCTGACATCGACATTGGACCGCCCCTCCCGCCGGTGGGACGTTGGCCTACCTTATCCAGGGCACCTCCCCCGCGTCGGGCTGTCGCATCATCGGCAACACCATCTTCATCGGCTCAGGGCGTGTCCGACCTGCCCAAGGCGGACCAGTGCCTCTTTTTCCATTACTATAAGCTGAAGCGTCGGGCGATCCTGATGTTCCCTCCGCAATTCGAGCTCAAGGCCGGTGCTGGTCCTCACCAATTGCCACGAAACCCCGATGGTCCTGGCGCAGCACCGGGCGCACTCACGGTGGATGCTCTCCAGATTGCGATTGCGGAAGACGTAGATGGCATTGATGCCGCCGCTGAATTCGCGATGATGCCATTAGATGATTCGAAAGTGAGGACGTCCATCGGCGCTGCGCCTCCATTCGCTTGCTGACGGCCTGCTACATACAGCATTTCGATCCTGTGGACGCGGCTTTAGACTACATCCTGAAGGTGAGGACAATGTCCTCTAATCGAGCATTGCGCTAACCACACGATATGCTCACAGAACTCGGATGCGCCTGTCGCGATCGCCTCTGACATTGATTTGTATGAGTTGTTTGAGGTACGTCCGTCCTGAAATGACGTTGAACGGCCAGGCAGTTGACTATACACGACCCGAACATGCGCAGAGTACTCTTGGATATTATCCCCGTGATATATCTGGCGCGCTAGAAAGGCTCCAACCCCATATATCTGTGGACCATGGAGGTGCGATCGTTGATATCGACGCTACTCGAGAAAGACTCGCTGACCCTTCAGATAGCGGGTATGATCATTTCCTCACAACGTGCTGTCCGGCCTGTATCAATACCAGCCGAGGTGGATCGTGTCTATGCTGATAGTGGGTGCTGCCCTTCATTTGCGACTATCGGCCTTGACCAGATCCATGTACAGCGTCAGTGACAGGTTCTACTCTGACCTTGGCAAGAGCGTATCATGCCCACGTGGACCCACACTTGGTGCTGACCCCTTCGGGCTCCATTGCAATGGCACCATCTCCTTCTTCGCCTCCCATTCCGCGAGCTCCCCCAGTGGTAACTCAGGCTTACCCCGGATCCAGTGGAGGTGTACCAGATATGTCGCTGCGGCCGAGCAGAGACGATATTCCCCCACCACGCGACTGCCCGCCAGAAGAGTGTTCGCCCCCACGCGCCCTTCGTGTCCGAGTTCCACTTCCCGAAGTGGGCGTCCCGGATCCCCTTCGAAGTCCGTCCCCGACAACGCCAATTTACTCAGAATATTTCTCAGCTCTTGGGCTATATGCCGAGCGTCCTGCTTAGCCCATGCTGTAGGCGAAACCGGGCACCAAACCCCATCCAGGGTGAGATGGGTCAATAGTAAGTACTTGCTGCTCAATCCCCTGCTAGTTTAAGTGCTTATCACTGCCGTGCAGCCGATACCCAGCCGTTTCTCGACGGCCCCGGTGCTCTGCTACTGCGGGGCATCGAGAGTTTGAAGGAAACCTCCTTCACCCTGCCACATTTGGCATACTATTCCACATGCGGTCGAAACCCCCCATTCATCAAATACACACACTTCAAAGGTTCTCCTCGCGTCGACTTGGCGAATATGTATCACGCACTGGAAGTGGCACATCATCCACTAAACACATTACTTGCTTGCACAAACGCTCTCTGGAGTCCTACGTCTTTGCATGTACAACGCGGAAACGGCGTGTCCGCCGGATAAGTGTACACTAGACACAGAGGTCTCTGCATACTTAGTTGGGATACGATCTGCCTGACCAACTCCCTTCTGTACGCGCGACGGATGGGTATGTTACGTGCCTGATGCCCCCCCGTATGAGGTGCGAATGCATTGGACACGATGCTGACGATAGAGAACACCGGGATGCAACATAGCGACCGTACTTTACTTGCCCGACACTCGTGGCACGTAGTTCAATACCGAATCCCAGAGAGCGAACATAGATCAATAAAAGCAGAGCGACACACATAGTAGTAGAAAGAACAGAAACAACGAGCAAGTACAGACACAGCGCAGCGGCACACAAACGAAACGCCAACCTACAGGAACTCGGACGCCATCACCACCTCCACAGCAACAACCCCGACCTCGACCCCGACCCCGACCCCGACTCAGACTCAGACACACACGGGCACGCCACACCCTCTATAGCCCAGTCCAACTTCAATCAGTCCTCGCCCAACTGCGACCTTCCTCCCCCCTACACCTCACGCGCTCACGGCGAGTCGTCCGAGATGATGTTCCCGATACTCAACGGGTTCTTCTTCCCCATCCCGCCCCCACGCTCCCCCGGCCCCGAGTTCGACCCCGGCCCCGCACTCGACCCCGGCGGCGACGCGCCCCCCACCCTCAACGGCGCCAGCTGGATCCGCGTCAGCCCCGCGCTCGGCGCGGGCGGGTTCCCGCCCCCAGGCGCCGCGTACGCGCCGTACTCTGGGGCGTACGGCGTGGGGCCCCCGGGCCCCGGCGGCGGCGGCGGGCCCCCGTACGTGCTCCACGAGCCCTCCCCGCTCGAGCTCGACGCGGGCGGCGGCGGGTACCCGCTGTACCCCTGCGACTGGTGGTGGTGCGGCGGCGTGCTCAGCTGGTAGTGTGAGTGGCCGCTGTGCGCGGGGGCGGAGCCCGGCGCGGGGGCTCCGTGTCCGTGCGCGGAGTGCCCGCTGTGGTGCGAGTGCGAGCGCGACGACTGCGGAGGTGGAGGCTGCGATGCGGAGCTGCTCGCGTACGGGGAGTACTGAGGCGGCATCGGCGGGGGGTAACCGCGTCCATATCCGCTGACGCCGCCGGATGGTGTTGCGCTTGTTGCAGGGCTCGCGTACTCGCTCGCATACGCGGGCTGCGCCGGAGCCGGCGGGGGAGACGATGGTTGCTGCGCGTAGCCCGGGTGGTGGCTGGGATGAACCGCATGGTGGCCGTGCCCACTGTGAGGCGGCGGGCCCTGCAGCGAAGGCGGAGGAGGCGGGCCAGCCGTGTGGTGTTGTTGATGATGAGGATGCTGCTCGTAGTAGCTCCCGTATCCGCTTTGCTGCTGCGCCTGCGCGGGAGGCGGCCCGTAGTTGTTGTAGTCGTACCGCGGCGGGGGCGGATGGCTCGAAGGTGGCGGCGGGCCCTGGTGGCCGTGGTGCGGCGGCGGCGGGTAGTGCGACTGGTGTTGCTGATGGTGTGCGTATGGGTCGTATGGCTGAGCAGGAGGCGGGCCCCAGCTCTGTGAAGGGGTTGGCGCGGGCGCGGGCACGGGCGCTGGGGCGGGAGCAGCTCCCGGAGCAGCCGCACCGTACTGGTATGGCGCCGGGGGTGGTGGCGGAGCATGCTGTGCGTGGTGGGGTGGAGGAGGGACGTGCGAGTAGTGGGCGGGCTGCGGTGGCGGCGGCGGCGGCGCATAGTGATGCGGCGGGGCGGCGGAATGTGCGTGAGGGTCGTAATGGTACTGAGGCGCTGGTGCCGGGGCGGGCGCGGAGTACCGATGGTCGTAGGGAGCGGGCGTAGGACCTGGCCCAGAAGAGGCGTAGTGAGGGTGCTCCACGGGCGCGGGCGCATGGCCAGACACCGGGCCCTGCACGGGCGCCGAGCTATGGGAGGGCGCCCCCAGCGCAGGGTCGATCGCTCCCCATCCTACCTGCCCATTTGCTGGACCCGCCTCTTCCATAGTAGTGTCCTCTCCGCGAGCACGCTTCACTCCGCGGCCGTCCAGACTATCCCTTCTGCTTATGCCGCTGGGGCCGCCTGCACTTCCTGCAGATTCCCTTCTCTCGCGCTCTCGCTCCCGCTCCCGCTCACGGTCGTGCTCTCTCTCGCGCTCCCGTTCCCGCTCGTGATGATCTTCCTTCTCACGATCGTCATCGTCATCGTCCAAAGGGATGGGAACAGGACCGAAGGCGCCATGAGCGATAGGAACGGGACCGATGGGCATGGGGACCGGTGCATCGAGCGCTGCGACGGGCCGCTTTCGTACTCGGATGTCCTTGCGGATGCGAATTTTGATGCCTTGATCCGCAAGAGAGCATGACAGAGGCGTCGATTCTACAGAAGACATATTTAGGGCAAATCCTTACGATCACTCGGCCTGACCTACCTTCCATACCCGGGAACTTCTTCGCGGTATAGACGTAGAACGGTGCCGAAAAGATCGACTTGCAGTGATAGACGTTATTGCTTCGGTCGAAGTGGTCAGAGAACGCCCGGCTAAACACACCGTGGTCTGGGCACTCACTTGACTACTTCAAACAAGCTTAGCTTGAGCCGGTAACTGCCCTCCGTCCTGACGCTCAGGTCCGGGAATACGAAGAAACCCGCGTCATGATTCTGGTTCTCCGTGTCCTTCAAATGATAGAGTGAGGAGACAACGGAGCCAGTGGTGCATCGTGTTTTGCCATCCTAGAAACGAGTAATCGTTAGCATCCAGGACGTATTAAATGCGTTACATGACTGCATTGAGACCGCGGAACTGGCGGACCCTGATGATCATAGGAAGGACGCCACCCTGGGCTATGGCGCATGCGTTTACATAGCCGCGTAGCTTCTCGTTAGCACGAGTAATTGCGGGCGGCGCGCTCGCGAATAGCTAGAGAAGTGAGCTAGGAGCGGGGGCAATAAATGCCGTTATAGTCGCACGCAGATGTGCGAAAGCCGCTACCAGGCAACACCCCACTTCTCCGTGGTATCGTGAGTAAATGACAGGGTAGGTATAGTGGATGTATGCATGGTTGTGTAGCATAAAGACGTTTGAAGGTTGCAACTGGATCCGTACAGCGGCTAGCCGCTGTGACAGAGCACCAGCGCAATTGCAACCGCTGTTTGCATGGCTATCGCAGCACGAAAACTCACCTTCAGCCAATGCAATTCCACATCCTCGTCCGGCTTAGCCAGGCTTGCAAACATGAAGTAATACGGGTTCTGGAGGAAGCTTTGGGCTGACGGCGGAGCGGTAGAATCTATTGGAGGTGATCATGAGCACGACTGTACGTTGTTCAAACGAGAGGGTGGGGGATAGGTCGCGTGTAGGGGTTACATAAGAGAAACGATTGCACAGATGCCACGGGAACCAGTGGAGGAAGGGGCGTCAAGACAAGATTAGAACTCACCTGGCGAGCTGGCACGAGAAGAGCTGGATTGCGGGCGGCGAGCGGACGGGTCGAGGACGCGCAATTGCACAATTGGTGGAGGGTCGATCGGCCGGCGGTCGGCTGGGAGGTTTTAAGGAGAGCAAGTGAGCAGGGAATGCTGCATGGATGCTGAAGGAGTGGACCTTTACCGCCTACACCACACATGCGAGCCTGTTTTGGCTCTTGCCGCATAGTTAATTCATATTCTCTGGGGTCGTACGGGCGTGCCATGGCGGCGAGCATGGACGCGAGGCGGTCGAAGCGGGCAGACGGAGGATTGTGCGAGAGAGAGCGACGGCCGGGCGATGCGATATATGTCGGTCGGAACGGGGGAAAGCGACGGTGAGTATAATGTGCACGCAGGAGGAGACGAGACCATGGGTTTGGGTGGGGGGGTGGGAAGCGCGGCGTGCAGCTGATGGGACTCACAGCTTGTCTCGGTCGTACTGGGAGTGTACCGGAAGCTTCGCGTGGACAAACTGGTGCTGCTCATCATCCATGGCGGCGTCGTGGTTGGCGGCGAGGGCGAGTGCGGGGACGACGAGGGCAAGAGCGAGGAAAGACGACGACTGTCCGCGATGAGGTGAGAACCAGCCCAGCCCGATATAGTGGCTCCCAGAGCCGATCAGAATGTTATCTCCAGATCGAGATTCCGCTCAATGATAACTCCTTTCCTTTCCATCTTTATCTTCACACCTAACATACAATTACACAATCTAAACCTTTACAACGACCTCAAACTGCCTCGAACCTCCCCTCAATTTTCTTCCGGGAACGTCGTTCACAGCGATATCGACAGCGTTTGAGCCTGGAATGAAATGTCCCACGTGCGCCACCAGCGTCCCAGACCCACGGCCAAGTTCCAACCCAGAAAAGTCAACCCAGACCACCGGGAGCTCTCTCAACACAGGCACCGCGCCCCACACCGAGCCCCCGGTCCTGGCCCAGCGTCTGTGTGGTACTGCACTCAACTCGCAGAATCGTGGGGAGAGCCCGCGGCCAGGGGACCACCTGAGATTCTCGCATCCAGACTTCCCTATTTCTGCCATACATATTCACGTCACCTGCGACCCCAGAAGTGGGGTCCTCACGGAAGTCGGGAGCATCTAGGTGCGCCGGTCTCCCGAATGGAAATCGCACCGATATATACACCTCAACCCGTTCCGGTATGGCGTCCCTTCCCCGACATCTCTCTCCACTCACTTGCTTCTGTGACACGATGCATCGTCTGGGCTCGGGGCGTTTCGATCGGATTTTTTTTGTCCGTGAAGAGACGAGAAGTAGCTGCGGAAACTTGTACAGGATCGACACCGATCCAACCTGTCGACCGGACAGTATTCTGAGCACCTGTACCAGATTGAATTCTTTCCACGCACCTTTAGACAATTCGATTTGGGAATATGGCGCGGAGATGTCGGGCAGCCTCTCCCAGGTTGAGTCAGACACGTCCACGTTGTGTTCCCGAGACCATGGCCTCGGAACGCTGCAGTTGGGAGAGCACGAGATGCGGCGCGTATCCGGTATTCCGTGCAAGAATTTCACTAGCTTTACTTCGCGCAAGCACTCACATACATAACCCGCTGTGCGTCCGACACATATGAAGATCCTCGCCCGAGCCTGGCGCTCCTGTGTGTGCGGATCGGTAGCCGTCAAGGTTAAGTTCACGCACCTAACTGCCGGCAACTCACCTTGTGAGAACTGTCGCACAGTCCAACCTTATCCGCACCCCCGCCGCTTCTCACCGTCCGCTCACGTTTCCACCCGCACATTTTAGCCCGGACGACCTCCTCTCAGGCATTGCAGGTTCATATAGGACGACTCCCACTCGGGGCAGTGCATCGAGATTCCCTCCATTTGGGTTGGGAACGCAGGGCGACCGGGGGACATGCGCTGCCGAACGAGCGCAAAAAAGCACCAGAGCGTGTGTATTTTGTATTTTCGTTGAGGAGCTTGCAAGGCCATCACAGTCTTCCCAGACACACTTCAAGTTGAAGCAGGATCACGCGAGTTCTGCGCAGCGCAAGTGAAAAGTGTTGCAAATCAGCTCTATTTTTGGTGGAGCAAACACGCCGGAGGTGGCTGCCCCCGAGTAGAACGTACCTTACGTTCCTTCACCCATGGGCGTGGCTCTGACCGCAGTACGTCTGCGGCGGGAGCGAAGTCAACGGCGCGTCTCTTGCAACGATTGCAGATTGCAGGACACGCACCTAGTCTCCCCTCGCTCTCCAGTGTCAATGCGAGGCCTGTGTGGCAAGGATGGTAAGCTCTTTCGCGCTTTTCGGGCTATAGGGCGGCTCCCATCCGGAGTTCCGTATTCCAGTGGATTCAGGTGGCGATACTACGCAGCACGACCGGCGCATACGCGTCGCCATACAAGAATAAAACACGTCTTTGCGGATGATATCGATTGCCTCAGGCAGGAGTTATCGTACGTGCATTCACCCACGGACGCGTTCGTGTGGCTCTTGCCACGGTACGCCTATACGACGCGTCAACTAACCGTTGACTTCGGAGCGAGCGTTGGACTTGTACGTACCTAGTATCTTTAGAATCTCCTCCTCACTCTCCGACGCGACGATGTGACCTGAACGGAGGGTCTCGTTAGCTCCCGCTCTGCTCGCGACAGTCTAGACCGCATGGGACAAGACGCCGGCTGTCTACCGTGTTCCCGACGGTAGGGACTCACCGTCATGTGTCTTCTGTCGCCTGTCGTTCGGGTTGCGAATGACTCCCGCGTAGAGTCCGCGCTGGTTTAGGGAGTAGCCCATCTTGTTTGCTTTCAAGCGGAGCGAGCGGTTGAACTACATGTGACACGCCACGCATGAGTAATCATTTCAGACAGGGCTGGCAAGACTTACGATGTCGTCGCCAGTGTAGTACAGCAGCGCGGCCCCTCTTGACTTCCACGGAACAGTCAAGATGTCTTAGAAGATTATTGGTTGGTATCTGTTAGATCGAAAAGAAGCCTTAAACATACCTATTCGCCGTCGCAAGCTGTGCGAGTCTCTTCGACACAGGCCGCGGTAGACCAACTCTAGGTCGTCAAAGTCGTCGGGTAGGCACAGATCGTCTGTGACAACTCCTTGTCGATGGAGTTCCTTGAGCAATCGTCGGAGGACGCCTATGAAACACATGTTAGCGGCCATGCGTCGGCTACACTGCCCTGATCACGAGGTATAGTAAATAGGAAAAGCCAGTTCCCGGTTGGGGTAGAGGGGGAGGGACTGGACATGTCCGAGGGATCTCGACTACCGGATGTATAACGCACCTTGGTGAGTCTTCCCGTCATCCGTGCAGCGGGTGATCAGAACGTCGATATCGCCGCAGTCAGGTTTGCCTCTGTCATGCAACGCCTCCCTGATAAGTCGTGCATGAAACGGGTAACGGATTTGCTCACCGCCTATAGCTCCCCATGACCTCGATGAAAACATTTGGGTCTATCTTGAGAGCTGCATGCGGCGTAGGAACGGGAGGAGTGAGATGATGTCCCGTTATGGATAGCACGAGGATAGCACGCACCCGCGGCTTTGACCTTGGCGTAGATTTCGGCGACCTCTGCCCTGGGTATCCTCGTGTTGATGTCTATCCACGCTCGCAGGAAGAGCAGCCGCGTTATTAACCATGCGCAAGAGTGCAACTGTTAGTGCGCACCTTGATAGTACCGCAGTCCAATCTCCTGCTCCGTCGACAGCTTGATGCCGCCCTTGCGCGCCGCGACATCCTCCAGCGTCCGACATCCGCTGTTGTACCATTTGCGTGCCGTGCTCGCCCCTGCGTTCGCCAGAGGGAAATTCAGGGCGAGATAGCGCGCACGTTAACGGGCTGCTCAGCAAACAATATCGGACGGATGACAGGCAATACTAACCGACGCCATACACGCCCAGGAACGTCTGGACAGACGCGACGTCCTCGGTCCGCTCGTGCTGAATGCGCCGGAGGTTTCCCGTTTCGACAATTTCCATGATCTGCGGCGGGCGCGTGAAGAACGGCTCGCAGGCCTCGTGTGCAGCGTACCTTCCGCGCGGTCTTGTCGCCAATCCCTCGGATAGCCACCGCCTCCTCGTAGCTCTTAATCCTGGCAGGATACTTGCGCAGAGCGGAGATGGCTAGAGCGCGTGTCAGGGCTGGGCGGTCCGTCGACGTGGGCGAGAGCGCGCGCGCACCTTTGTTGTAGCTCATGACCCGCCACTCGTCGTCCTTGGACGGCTTTACTTGATATAGCAACTTCAGCTCTTGCAGCTGGCGGTCGAGTCAGCGCGACGGGTCTGGGGCGACAGTCCATGTGTCCCTCGTACCTTGTCGATGACATCCTGGTTTGGGCACGCCTCGAGTCCTGCTCGACCTCCAGGCTTGTCGTCGCAAATGAACTACGGGAGGCGAATAGGAGATAAACAGGGGTGCTCGAGGAGGGGACAAGGAAACACGTACCCCCTTCTTCATGACCTCGCGGCGAGCTACAGGGTTCGGGGCTTTCGGAGGCGGTGCTCGTCCTTCTGTGCTCCCGACGTCCTCGCTATGGAACATCTGACCCACGCCACGTCATTGGTGGCGGCTCACAGCCGAGACCTAGCAGGAGCTCGACGTACCTCTGCCTCTCGCTCGGCCCGCGCAGAGGCGTAGAACTCGGCCAGCGGGTCCGTCGATGTAGCCAGGACCGTGTCTCGAGCCCCGCCACTACCTGAAGGACCTGCCTGTGCGTCATCGTTCCACGAGAATGGTCGATGAGCGTGTGCGGCTCCCGGGATCCTGGACTTGAGGTCTTGCCGAGCGACTACGTCCACACGTAGGCCGCCAGGAGATGAGGGCGGAGAGGGAAGTCCTTCACGGGGGTGGATCGTCGCAGCATCACGCGGGAGCTCAACGTCCTGTGTGAAGTCGCTGGGAAGCGAGCGTCAGCGGCCACCTGGGAACGCACAGGAACTGAGTGGTTGAGACGCACGATATATTGCTGATATCGTCCGCACTGCGACCCAGCGCGGCCGGGCCTGCGCTACCGCTGGCACCGGTATCAGGATGAACCCTACTCGCGGATGATTTAATCTGTGCCGCTCGCTCAGACTTCAGCCATGCTGCCTCTCCCCAAGGCGTGCGACCGGCGTCGATGCATTCTCGGAACGAGGCGTGTTGGAATTCGTGATCCATAGGATACTCGAAGTCGCCCAGGTCCTTCTCGCTGACGTCCTTGCCCCGGTCCTGACCGGTAGATTTCTCCGGCGCCTTCTCCTTGCCACTTCCCTCGGCGAGCCGCCTAATAGGAGTTCGGTCGAATCCGGAAAGCACCCAGCTCCATTTGACGGTCGGAATGTGCTGCGGGATGTCAGCAAGCTTCTTGAGGCCCACGGCGCGCAGGAAGACGCGCTCGTCCGCGTCGGTGACGATGTGCGTTATTTCTGTCGGCTCGTACTCTGGAACGAGCACCCCGCCATGCCGGGTGATCTGTCGCAGGTCAAGTCATCAGCCACGCAGATTAAATTCAAAGTTGGCACCCCTGACGCACGATTTCCATCCTGTTGCACGTCTGGGGTCCGGCGTAATTGAGATCGCCGCCGTAATAGAAAATTCGTTTGCCTTGTAGGAACGGTTTATCCGCCTGCTTCCTCCTACTGGGAGCGGCCAACTCGGAGAACTGCGCCTGAAGCTTCCGGGCGTATTCGAGAGGGGTGATGAGCCCCTTCTCCTTCTTTCTTCCCTTCAACTTAGCGGTTTTAGTGGGCTCACGCTTGGGCTTCGTGATTCTCGGAGCGTTCCCCGAGCCGGACGTTTTCCCAAGCAGCGTGCTGGATGACGCAGCAGGCGCAGGCGCGGAGTTTGGGGGACTTGTGATATCACTGCAGTCTGCGAGAGTAGAGCGGCGACTGAATGTCTGCGGTGGGGGAATTATGGAGACCGGATTCCATGCGGATGCGGGCTGCTCGGGCTCGCAGCACACGGCGTTGACCTGAAGTGGTGTAGGTGGCCCAGTGAGTTTATCAACAGGTTCCACTTCTGATGTCTGAGACGTTCGAGAACTGGGATTATGGCATACCCTGCTGCCAGCTATAGACCCCTTGGAGAAAGTGGACAAGTCCGCGGACACGGGCAAGGGAGCGCCTCCCAGCAGAACGGGTGCGGATACGACCATCGGTCCGCCCGACTTGGGGCATATGCGGGGACGTGAAGACGACGTCAACTGCGGACTTTGATTTACCATCAGACCAAAGAGCGAGTAAGTGACTGTGCATTGCGCTCGCCTGGTATGGTTTGGATTACCGGGTGCAGCATATACCCCAGAGGCGATGTTGCCGGTGGCAATCACACCTTCATCTGGGTTTCTGGGTTTCTTCGAAACATGCGGATCAAGAAGACGTTCCCCGCTAGGACGTTTTCCCCGAGGTACTGAAGTATGGTCAGGCGGTGCTGAAAAGCGGTTGACGGATAGGCATTTGGTCGGCGATTGTTCTTGATGGTCCTGCGTTGCAGAATATTGAGCAGGTGTTTCAGATGTGCTTGTTCCATATATTGATGATGGATTCCGTGGTGTGGGCATAGAGCGCGCAGGTACGGTGTCAATGTTGACGGGTGAATGCACTGCAATTTCATGCTCTCCACCGATGGTGTTGGGGTCGAAGCTGCAACAACCACTTGGTTTACTAAATTAACAAGCATTAGCGCATTGTAACCAACAGAGATGGTACAATACGACAGAAACAGATCGGAGACCAGATCTCCTGTCCCAAGGGCCACATTTCCCGTACCTTCTTCGTTGCCCCCACCGCATTAGGTAGTCGGCGATGTCTTCCTCGGGCATAGTCATGATCTGTTGCTGTTCAGCAAAGAAAATATTGAGCTCAGACATTATCAACCAGCATATAGTGGTGACAATATGTGGCTATATGCTAGTTGGGATCCGAGCGTGGTGGTGGTTGTAAACGAACCTGCAAAGCGGCCGCCGAGACGCGAGGTATAGGCGCCGTATTACCGCATATAGAAATTGCCGCCACGCCTCCTAGCCACACAAAACCTTGGACGGACTGTCGATTCATGCAGCATGTCTGATCATGGACCACCACAAAACAGGCTTGTGTTAAGCATGTCTACATCTTCATCCACCGATGCTTAAAACTGACTTATTATCTTGCGTAGCGGAATACGTCTCGCTTCCTCTTGGTCTGAACCGTACCAGGACATCACGCGCAACATTTGCGCATGCTCGATGCACGTCCCGAGTCCCAACAAACGACTTCCGTGCAAAACGACTATTGTTTCGTTTATGTTCTAGTGCCTCCTGAGCCCTTCCTACCTCAGAGCGTGATCAGCCATAAGAACTTATGCCTGGTCACGGGTAACCAGCTGAGTCGCATACGTCGACCTCCTTCTCCAGTGACGATGGCCTGCTTCGTGATGTTTCGCAACCGGGACGTACCAAATCAGACTCCTCAGCTAGGTACTCTTGCTTGCCGACGCGAAAAGATCTCGGTATATTTCAAATCAAGTTCCTTGTGCGTCAAGAATGAGCTCGAGCTAGACATCTTCACTTCGGTCCACCAAGCGTGCATTGCCTTACATCAAGTACGTACTAACATCATGTCTTTTCAGAGTACCTGTACACGCTAACGCGGTTCCTATTCAACTTCGGTAGTGCATGCCCCAACTGAATGCCCCACGTGGCAGCCCCTCGCGGCCAGGGAAAACCTGGGGCTCTCCTGGGAGTGCGCGTGTTGGTATGTAAGGGTACTTCGGCAAGGTCGCTCGGTATCTGTGAGCGTGTCACTGACCTGGTATGCGCAGCTGCCTCAAGGACACCGCGTGCGCGCTATTTCCCCGCACATATATGGCACCATACGCGCCCACCTTTGGCGCATCACTGGCTCCATGGACCATATCGCATGGCGTTGCTGGGAACGACACTCCTGATTGGCCCTGAAGCCTCCGTGCCTAGATCGTTCTAGCTGATTCGAGGGTACTGGGGATGGGTGATGGTAGGACGACGGTCCATCTACCGGAACATCATTGAAAGGGGGCAATCCAGGCGGAGCTACAGATCCACTCTCCGACCGCCCGACTATAGGCGTACGTACACTTGACGTCGCTTCTTCCGCGAAACGCACCACTAGCCAAGACCCGTCGGGGATCGATATGGCAGATATTGGATGGCGCGCCGCCCCGCAGCCGGCCGTGGCTCCCATGGCACCCTGCGATGGCCCTCGATAGCACTGGAGGAGGCCCCGGCGCGCGGCGAAGATTCCGCCAGTCCGCTTCAAGATCAGCCTAGCCATAACGCGTCGTGCATGCGTCAGCATGTCATTTGCTTCCGCGCGCGTGGTGGCAGCAGCCCTCGCGATCGAGCAGTGGGAGGAACCAGGAGGAACCATCTGATCTTCTAGTGTGTATCTGAGCTTTTACTCCGTCAGGCGCCGTCAGCGCATCATCCCTGCTGCTCTTTCGAACCAACCAACCGTCCACTGCAAGTCGCTTTCACTGCCGTACTCTTCAGCGCATACCCAACACACAGTCCCTCGGCGCGTCGAACCCACACGGTACGTATACTCCGGACATTTCATCGATCCGGACAATATCTTCCAGTATTCGCATCATCGTCTGGACACCTGCGCCTTGCACGACACGCCCCGGTCGGGTGCGCCTTGCAATTGTAATTCCCATTCTGACACTCCGCCGCTGAGTTATAGTCGCTGTTGGCGTGTCGGAGTTGCGATTGGGGGTATATGTGCAGTCTCACGGATCATTAGACCGCGCTCGTTTTTGCTCTCCTCTTGCTCTCTCGTTCTTCCTGCTTATGGCTGTCGTGTACCACCGCCACGCCTACGGCGACAGAGATCGACGCGACATGGACGCCAACGATCCCAGCAACGACCTCTCCGACGACGACGGCACCAACTCGGACACGTCCGACGACGTCGTTGAAGTCGCCCCCAACGAGATTCCTGGATACTTCCAGGAGCGGGGCGGCAGACTCTTCCATTCTCATGGTGGCTGCCCGTATCCTTTGCCCGTGGATGCGGAAGAGCAGCAAGTGAGTCGCCCGCACGCGCGCTACGCTTCCATTTCGCGCCGTGGGCTTGACTGATATCTCCTGGAATTTGTTTAGAGACTAAATGGGCTGAGCGCTTTGGTGCGCCGGCTAATCGGAGATTCCTCCGTTGGGCCTGTGCGCGACCTGCTCGCCCTTGCTCCTGGCGAGCAGCGCCGCGTCGTGGATCTCGGCACTGGCACCGGTCAATGGTGCGTGCTTCGTTCAGTGAATCGCGACGTCCTCCTGACCCCGAATTATTGTAGGGTGCTCGATATGGCACGGGAGTTTCCGCACGTTCGTATTTACGGCGTCGACATCGGTACGCCCCCGTCCGTTTGCCTTCTCGCGAGATGAACGGTCTGGGCTCAATTATGGACAGTACCTATTGCGACGCGGTACCCGCCCCCTAACGTCACTTTCGAGATGCACGACATCATGACGCCGCTCCGGTACGCCGCTGGTTCCATCGACATGGTTCACGCGCGCTCCATCACGATGGCGGTAGGTGCCTCTACCCGCAGGTCCGGGCGTCCACTCATTCCCGGCATGCAGGTTCGCGACTACCGCGCGCTTATCCAAGAGGCCTCGCGCGTGCTCCGGCGCGGCGGCCTCTTCGTCTCGTGCGAGTGGGCGCGATCGCCTGCCATGGAAGACGGCAGCGACGTCAGGGTCCGGGCGCCGCGTGCGTGTGCGTTCTTCGACGCCGTGCGCGAGACCCTCCGCGTTCGCCGCGGGATCGAGTGCATCGCTGCGCACATCCCCCAGCTCCTCGTGGAGTCGCGGCGGTTCATCAGCGTCGAGACGAGGGCGTTCCGTGTCCCCGTCGGCGACTGGCCGAACGAGCCTGACAGGAAGGAGCTCGGCCGCGACCTCCGGGAGTTGATGGTGTTGTACGCGCGGTCGGTGTTCCCCCTCCTCTCCGAGGGGCCGTCCGCCAGGTACGCCGGCGCCCTCGTCGAGGACTACATCCGTGAGGTCCGGAGCGTCTCCGGGATGGTGGCCACTTGCTACACCGTCCACGCCCGGCGCGTGTAAATCGTCGAAAATATCGTTCTCCGCCTCGCGCTCTCTGATTTCTTGCGATCGTTGTTTGTAGTATGCTCTCGCGCTCTGGCCGTCAACTTTGTTACATGCTTTTTCTGTCGTTAAAACCGTTGTATCCGCTCTCTCGCGCTCTCGTCGTTGTAGTATGTCCCCATGTATATGTTTCCCTTATGTTTTATGAATATATGCCACATGCCAAGAATCGGAAATGCGAGCGCGCTAATTGGACTGGTCCGGGCTCGGCGCTGGCCGGAACGGCCTTTGGGCGTCTGTTCACTTTAACGCGGCGGTCGACGCAGACGACGACGACCTCCCCTTGCTCCTCCTACCTATCCTCCTAATTCTCTAAATGCTGGCAGCCAGAGCGTCGGCAGCGCGCGCTGCGTCGCGCATCGCCCGTACTCGCACTTTTGCCACCGTCGTCGACAGCGCAGGCGTGAAGGTCGCGGCCGCGGACAACGGCGAGGCCACCTCCGCTGTCACCTTCATCGTCAAGGCTGGCAGTCGCTTCGAGTCCAAACCCGGTGTCGCCCACGCTCTCAAAAACTACGCGTTCAAGGTCGGTCGGGTGTGCGTTATACGGCACGGAGGAGGATGCTGACGTCGGGGGGTTGCCAGAGCACGGACAAGCGTTCCAGCCTGGGCACGGTTCGGGAAGCCGAGCTCTACGGCGGTGTCCTCTCCTCAAGTCTCTCGAGGGAGCACCTTGCGATCACTGCGGAGTTCCTGCGTGGGGATGAGTGAGTGCTCCGTCGCCCTCCGCCCGCACCGACGCCTGACACGGCACAGGGCCTTCTTCGTTGACGTCCTCTCTTCCTACCTGACCTCGACGAAGTTCACCCGTTACGAGCTCACCGAGCTCGTTGCGCCGACCTGTGAGGCTGAGACGTCCGCCGCGCTCTCAAACCCCGCCACGCACGCCGTCGAGCTCGCGCACGCGCTCGCATTCCGCAACGGCCTCGGCAACTCCATCTTCGCGACTCCCGGCCACCACCTCACCGCGGACGACGTGCGCGCGTACGCGCAGTCCGTCTTCGGCTCGGGCAACGTCGCTGTCCTCGGCACTGGCATCGACCCCGCCGCGCTCGAGAAGCTCCTCGAGAAGTCCCTTGGCAAGTTCGCCGCTGCGGCCTCACCAGCGTCGACTGCCTCGAAGTACTTCGGCGGCGAGACCCGCGTGGATGCACACGGTGCGGCCGAGACTGTCTTTATTGGCTTCGGTACGTCGGGCGCGCCCTCGGCCGAGCTCGCGGTCCTCGCAGCCCACCTTGACCCTACGCCCTCCGTGAAATGGTCGAAGAGCACCTCGCCCATCGCTGCGGGCATCCCCGAGGGCTCCTCCGTGCAGGCTGTCTACCTTCCCTACTCCGACGCGTCGCTTTTCGGTCTGCTCGTCCAGGCCCCGACGACCGCCGCAGTCAAGGAGGCGGGCAAGGTGGCCGTCGCTGCTCTCCAGGCTGCGGGTAGCCTCAAGGGCGAGGAGCTCCAGAAGGCGATCGCGAAGGCGAAGTTCATCGCTGCCAGCGCTGTCGACGGCCGTGATGGTCTCATCTCGTCTCTTGGCCCGAAGGTCAGTGTTCCCGTGAAGGATGCTGGTGACATCACTTATTTGGTATTGGCGCCCGTTCAGATTCTCTCCGGCACCTCTGCCTCCCTCAGCGAGGCTGTCTCTTCTCTGGAGAAGGTTGACGCCTCCGCATTCTCGAAGGTAAGCACCTAGCACTGGCCGCGTTTAGCGCTTGGTTCTCATCCTGTGTGCTCTGTAGGCGTCCGCATCGCTCCTCAAGACGAAGCCGACCTTCGTCGCCGTCGGCGACGTCAAGTCTCTTCCTTACGCTGACGAGCTCGGGCTTTGATTTGGCCAAAATAGAGTACACTCTTCTCCAATAAATTTTTAACCGGGGAACTCTACTGTGTGTGGCTTCTTTGGAACTGAAGCAGCCGGGTTATGCCATGCTTGTTCTACCTGGTGGCGTCGGGCGACGTCGTTCTGGGCAGCGATTGGCTTCAGCCTGAATTTGTTACGTTCGAGTCGGGCTCATTTGACGAACTCAGCGCCGAACATGCGTTAGAAGTCGCGCTCACATATGTGTAAGTCGTGATCACAAACCTTTGGCACATAAGTACATGTCAAGCCGTCCATGTGAAAGATACCAGCACATGTACTAGGTCTTAAAAGGTATCGGGCTGATCTATTATCTTGTATGAACAAAGCAGCAATAACAGCAACTATACCGAGCACGCCTAAGTGCCATTGAAGTATCGGGCCCGGGGGCCATACGACTGATGCGTGTAGAACAGCGAACAGCAAAACGACGACCACATCGACTATGTACCAGATACTCCGCATACATCTATTTTAACAACGCAAGACCTTGTTCTGAGGGCTTTACGTGGCGTACGTGCATGAGAGCGAACAGCCATAGCGCAAAGCAGAAACTGGCCATATGCAAAAGCGAATAGGGCTTCACGGCAAAGGTTATATATCATATACACAGAGTAGTGCAGCTCGCAAGCGGATACTCTACATCAATAACATAATTTACACAAAGTGGACGCGGCGCGAGAGACGGGGGACTAGACGAGACGAGGCGAGACGAAACGAAGCGAGTCAGGTACATATCATACACGGAAGTAGCTGCAATTCCTACAAAGTCCACCAGGGGCCGCAGAGCGAGAAGGATAGGCGAGGGGGAGAGCATGGTAGGACGGATCGATAGCAAGAGAAGTGCCTGGGCGACGCGCTCACAGGAACCATGTCTCGTTCCCAAGACCCATCATGGCGGCGAGGCACTCGTCGGCATTCATGCCGCCCGCCATGCTGCCGCTCCACGGGACGCTCATGTCTGGGAGGTTCATGCCACTGCCGTCCGCGGGCGGGAAGAACTGGTCCCAGGTGCCGTCCCCGTTGGGCATCATGCCTGCCGCTGCCAGCTCGACCGCCGCCTTGGTGGCGTCCAGGCCCGTCGCATACAGGTTTCCCAGCGTCGCTGCGGGGTCTTGCCTAGGGAGCCCAGGGAACAAGGAGGTGGAGATGGAAGAAATCGACTGGTTGGAAGAGACGGGGTTGTGCCCGTTCGTATGGGCCTGTCCGTTTCGCTGCGTGGCGCTAGACTTACGCGCGTCCAGGCGGGCGATGTGGGGATCCATGAGCTGCTTCAGGAAGCGAGCGTAAAGCTGGGTGTTCTGCTTTTCGTCGGTAGACATCTTCTCCAACACCCACGCCTCGAAGAGCTTCTTGACGAGCTCGATGATGCGCTCCTCCTGCTGGATGTCGAGAAGTGCGTTGAACTCGGGCCTTAGGCACTGCGCATTGGCGGTCAATTAACGCACTGGCCGTCACTGAGCAGCACAAATACCGCACCTTCATGAGAACCACCGCAGCAAACGCGGCATGGACGTAGATCAGCTCGGGAAAATATCGGATGAACCCAGTAGGCGCGAAGTCTTCCACCATGAGCTTCACGAGGGTGGTCGCTGCTTGGACGCACTAACCACCGTACTGAGATGAGACCGCGTCAAAGCTCAAACTAGAATGCTCGACGCACCCCTGCAAACAGCTCATTAGGCTTCTTCGAGGGGCGCTTGGTCATGAGCTGCATCCCGCAACAGCAGATGACCAGGCGGCAATAATTGTAAACGCTGCGTTCCGCGGCAACTCTAAGTCAGCCAAGCACACGCCGGGGAGGAGCACGAGGAGCACACGCACCAGTTGATAAGCGTGATTTGCATCACCACACCAGGGTCTGAGGAGCGGAGAGTCGGACGCTGAGAAGGCCGGGACGGGGGCTGGGAAGCGGAAAATGCGCGCGCCGACTCACCTTTGGCCGCCTTCTCGCCTTTGTGCCGGTCATCGATGACGCTCTTCCATGACAGCAGCTCGTTATCGAATGCCTTGTAAAGGGCATCGATTTCGATATCCTGCGAAGGCAAACTCAGCCTCTCGCTGAGACGGAAGATGAAGAACGGAACCTACGTCAATAGACTGTGCGGAGTTTGTGCCGAACGCAGGGTTTACCATGCTCACGAAGCGCGACACGATGCAAAGGAGTTCCGTCAGGCTGGTGAGGTAGCTGTCGCACGCGTTGTGGTACTTGTAGCGCTGAAGCCACTGCGACGCGTTGCGAACGGTCTGACAAAGAGTGAGAACAATGAACAGTAAGCCATAGCGCTTAGTGGCTACGCACCACGTCCTCTTGGACCATCCACGCCTTGCCCGACTGGATGCTCAGGCAGCGATCCATGATGTAGCACATCAGCCACATGCGGGTACGGTTGAGAATCTCGCGTTCCTGTCGCTCGTCGGGGGGCTGTCCATCAGGGATACGGCTCAGGCTGAGCTCAGTTGCAAGCCTTTGGTGTCGTTGTCAGCACATACACCGTTACAGAATGTTCACATTGACGTACCGGAAAGCAATACCGGTGTAGCACCATGCGCGGTCCTCCTCCCAGCGCCGGGCAGGGGGGTTGTAGACACTCCAGAGCGCAAACGCCTGGCACATCTCGACGGTCTTCCACCCGTCGATGATGGCATTGGCAGCGGCCGCCTTCGCAAAGTGGATGGCCATGCCGTGGATGTGGGGCTTCTCATCGTAGTAGCGCGAGGCGACCGTGCAGACTGAGCGGAGGGTTAGCTCCACTGGGCGAGGCGATGTAGGCACAGTCCACTTACTGATGGTGAAGAGGAACGGACATCGCGCGAGGACGGTGGCTGGCGTGTGTATATTCTCATCCAGGATTGGAATGATTGGCTGGAGCAGCGTTTTAAGCGACCGGGATCCTTTAATGGGAGCGGAGAAAGACTCACGTTTACCCACTGATAGTGGCTGTTATTCCAGGAGAACCAGTCAGTATGACAGTAGCACCACGAGGTGCAATATGAACAGCGTACATTTGAAACAGCGCTGCAGCGTCGTCGGGCGTCACGAGCCCGGAGAGCAAGATGTCCGGGGCAGCTTGGCGCTCAACAATGAGTCGACGAAGCTCCAGGTTGGTGGCCGGTCCTGTTGTAGTATGAGCGTACATCGAGTAAACACCTCGGATATAACTCGCCTGGAAGAAAGTACGACTCGTTCGCAATACCGCCGTCGGGGGCCGACTTGTGAGAAGAACCTCCTTCACTAGTGGAGGAATCGACCACGCTACCCTTGCTGGCGATGTTCCTCGTCTCCAGAGCGGCGATGGCCATCATACCCGTGGGGGCCGCGACCTCGAGGATGGCGTCCATTTGGCGCATCTTACCCTTCAGCGATAACCCTCTCTCGGGGCTAGTGAGGCCCTCCATATCGTTGTCGCTCTCCGAGTCCACCTCTGAGGGGTCCTCGAGTGCTGAGATGTCGAACTTGGGGCGACCATTGCCGCCAATGCGGGCCGCAGCTTGGGTAGTCGATCGTTCAATATATGCCAGAACATCACGATACTTGTTGCGTTCCTCTTCAGACAGCGGGAGTCGTGCGGGTACGAGAGTGAGCGGCGTCGGCATCGTGGGACCAGGGTTGACCTGGCTGAGGACCTTGTCGATCATCGCATTTTTCTCTCGAATTTGCTGCTGCAGCACCACCCGCATGCTGTGCAAGCATTCAAGATGTCGACCACAACAGCCGCCATTAATTCCGCTTACCCAGGAGAATGTGGCTTGCGACCTGGAAAGTGGCATTCGTAGTTGCCGGCAGTGCAACGCGAGCATATGTCGTCGGACGGGTTGGTGAACGTGCATTTCATCTACGTAATGTGCGCAGCATGGTGAGCGCACAGCCCTGAAGGGATCAAGACTTCGAGCATCACCTTGAGCCGCCGACAACGGGCGCATGCGCCTACGCGCTTGGCCGCTGATTGACGGCCGCGGGGCTTGTTCCGGTCACAGCCAGTCATCCCGCCAGCTTCCAGGCCTCGCTGCGGTACGTATTGACCTATATCGAATTGGGATGAGTCTTGCAAAAAGCCGCCGTCCTGGCTGTAAAGAGCGTCATAGGGCAAGGCGCCGTTAGCCTCGGCCTCGACTTGGGGAACAAAACCTGCAAACCGGAAAGTTGTCAACGACTATGCAAAAGGGGGGTGACGCGCTGAACGCCTGATTTGCACTCACTGCTATCGACATACGGGCTCGACATTGTTTGGCCTGTCAACAACGAATTTATATAAGCATTAAACGATAGGCGGATAATCTGTTCAACCCGCCTGGATAAGGCTGCCAGTGCACAGGCCACTGTTGTTGCTGCGAAGGTGCCATGGATTGTATGCTGAAGTAGTTGACGGGAGAGTTGCCTCCCACGTTCGAGGGCGATGAGAGCGGAGATGGAAGCGGTGACTGCAGAGGCTGGGGTGGCAACTGCAGATCGGCAAAGCGCTGTTGGGCCAGCATTTGCTGCGCGATCCAATATGCGAGCGAGTCTGGATCCGGATCGAACTGGAATGGGTCTTGGAGGTAGCCGCCCTCCTTACTGTACGACGTATGGCCTGATGAAAGGTTACTTTTGTGTGGACGCTTGACATGGAGGTTTCTAGTATCGCCGGGCGCTCGCGAGTTGGGATTGTCATTTCTCTGCGGCCCCGAGCGCAAGCCCCAGTCGGGTGAAATGCCTCGTGCTGTCTCTCCTGATTGCAGGTCCGCAAAAATTCCCACTATATACCAGTTAGCAGGACAAACACTAAGCGCGAGCCTACGCGAGCAACATACATTTATTTTGATTCATGACGATGCGCGGTTTGACCGTCGCCAAATATTCTGGGACATCTTGCGGAATCATATGGCCTCCATGATTCTACACATGATAAATCCGATGATCGACGTTAGATGGCTGACTGCGATATACACACCTGAGAGTGTCTTGGATGCAACCTAAATAGATCTGTATCAGAAGCTACCGCCGCGACTGCGGAAGAGTTCTGTGATTGTCTGTCAGACATAACGTATCATGCCGCAACCATAACGGATGGTACCTCTAGTATATAGTCCAGAAGGTAGTCGGCTGTATGCTTCACCTAAATTCCCTGTGAGTATGCGATACTTGGCTAGTGAAGGAACTTGTGCAACGCACTGTCGTTGGTGTCGGAAACCGCACGAATTCGTCACTCGAGGCGTCAGATTCGGTGGAGGCCCCGACCTCCAATTCAGCGACGTCTCCCTCGTCATCTGGATTCCGCGGAAGCTCGTGGGGTCCTGCAGCAGCTCTAATGATGGAAGGAGAGATAGGCCATTTTCTGCGTTTCCGCTTGTAGTAGTGAATGAAAATGCATTGGTCGTACTGATCTTGAGGCGAAGCGTCTGGACAGGCACTTGCCGGCTTCGCCGGAGGCCCTGCTCTGTAGTGAATAGTCGACAGCTGAGCGTCCAAGATAGACATGGAGAAATCGAGTGCGGCCACTGAAGCAAGATTCCCAACGACCTTGCCTGTTTTTTCGCGAGTTGCACCCCTGAAGGCAGCGACACCCCACCTGCTTGTCTTCGTTGTGCCAGACACAAATATGATCTGGTTTTCGCTAAGCCCAAGTCGCAGCCTGTGGTTCGCGAATTCCAGCCAGCGATCGAAATGTGTTTCGATATGGTCGACGATGAGCTGCCTCGAGAGAATTTCTGTAGATTGTCCAGAAGGACCAAGGAATAGGAGCGCCCCAGCGTCGTCCGTGCAGGTGAACGTGAAGTTGACCCCGCAAGAGATATTCGGCACAGTCCTGGGACTCGTTAGCGTTGTAATGCAAAAAGAAGCACCTGCCAAACGTACAAGGTCGTTGACAAATCCCCGGATATGTCCGCCCTACGGATACTCCTACTGCACAACACGGGTTGAGTGATTTTGTCGCGCGGACCTGCGATAGTGCAAGCGTGGATATCCAATGGCACGTGGTCGATAGGGACCCCTCCTCGAGGTTGCGACGCGTCCTCACCCCTAAAGGCGTTGAACAGAGGGTGGAACTCCCCCTCATGAATCCATCCGACGTCCCCAATCTCGACTGAGGCTGATCCAGGGGGCGGGTCTGGGACCCATAGGGGATGGCCGTATTCCAGATGGGAAAGCTGTTCTGCGTAGATATCCCAGGGACTAGTGCGCATGAGGTGATTGGGGACTGGGTCTTCGCCGATGCAACGTGGTGGCAGCTGTAGATTTTAAACGGTATGAGGTAGGGATATTGACAATAATACAACTGCCTCCGGCCTGAGAATGAGGGCGCATCGCACTGAGGCTGAGCTAGACTCCAAGGATCCTGTCGCGCGATAGGGCCAGGTGGCCGCTGCTTCCCGTTCATGAGTTAGAGCAACTCTAATCAGTGAGGCGGTGTTGCAGTTCCTCTTTCGAAGATCTTCTCTCTATAGAGTTGATCAGCAGGTATAAATAACAATCGTATGAGTTGCAGATAGTGTGAAGATTTACCATAGATATTCGGCATACGTTGCGGTTGCCGGAGACGCACCGAAAGCGATTTTGCGTGGTATGCGAAGGTGGATGAACCGTATACACATGCGCCGGAGGAAGCATCTGCCGGATAACGCAACGCACCTGCTGTGTACAACGTAGTGGAACTACACCTAAGAACCGCTATCTCACGCAGTGCCTCCTTGGTAGACCCCAGGGCGTATACCTCAAGGCATCTACAAATCCAGAGCTTCTGGACGCTCGCGCCCACTCAGACAACCTTATACGCCCGCGTCCCCGGGATTGGCCAAGGGACCTCCACATTGACGTCGCGGCCTTCATGCACGGTGCGCTTGCCCGTTTTGCCATCCGCGCCGCGCTTGCCATCCTTCTGCATGCTCGCTTGTGAGGTCTGCGATCAGCTTGAGAAGCTCGATGGATACGAACCCGCTGTTAATCGTTTTCCCCTTGAAGATGTCATCGAACGAGCCCACGATAGCGAGCGCATACCGACCAACTTCGCCGTAGGAGCATACTCACAAGACGAGCACGGCGCCCTGCGTGCGGCACGAGTCTGCGCTGCGCCCATGGTGGAAACGAGCGCAACGAGGGAGGTGTCTTAGTTTTCCATCGCGGCTCCGGCCTGGCGGGCGAGGGCAATGTCGTCCTCGTAGATGTATTTGCTAGGGTGAAGAGCTTCCGTGTTCGGGTTATCCTAGGGTTTGAAGGGCAGTGCGCCGGCACATGTGGTTGAGAAGCCAAGGAGAGCGAGTTCATCGGCTTCGGCGGGGGCGGTGGACGCAGCGCCGTCTTTGACAGGCGTGAGGATGGAGAACCGCGGTTGGCCAGAAGCAGGAAGTGAGGCCGCCGCCATTGAGTGGGGATTGGTGATATATATATCATTTAATAGCGCTGGAGGTAACGACACCAGACGATGCAAGGTCCGCTTGCGTTCGGGGGTGTCGATCCCACCTGATGTCCAGTCCGATGCAAGCCCCACACTCTGAAAGAGGAGGCTTCGCGTTGGAACAACGAGCATTTCTCAGCCGCCACGCTTCTCCGTCTATGGCAGCTATACTTACCTCGGAACAGCCACAGGCCGCCGCGACGTATATGTAGCCAAACTCGACTCCGCGGCCTAGTGGTCCTTTACGACACCAGCAGCAGTAGTCGCAATGTTAGCGGCACGGACGCAGTCGCAGCTCAGAAGATATGACATCTGTGTCGGAAGGCTAAGTTCATCTCGAGGACTAAGAGGAGGCGGGAACCGCAACATCGTAACTTACTACTAGTAGGAAGTTGTAGTGCGTTGGGCGGCAATGATGTCCCTTAAAAAGATGTTTGCATGAAGAATCGAGGCAAGACCAGTCGATACGAGGATCCAGAAGTTCAGGCGTAGGGGGCACGTAGGCTCGGAGCCCAGCGTCGCGTACGGAGGTGGCACCATGGCAGGAGACAGTCGGGACCCCGTGGGAACGTCGGAGTTCGATTGTATATAGCGACGCTTCAAAGCTACATCAGTTGCGTCTCTCCCCCACAACCCCCAAGTACTGTGACTCTGAGTTCCACGTCGAGCCCTCGTCGCCGGTCGCTCACCATTGATCCCAGATGCCTACGATCAGCGAGGTTCTCCAGGACCTGTCGTGGGGCCCGAGGTACCCGCGGTGGCTGCGAGCGCCCACTCGTGAAGTACCAGACGGATCAGACACCGGAGCAGCCAAGGCCCTCACTGTGGCCGAGGCCATATGTATGCCCATGCTCATTGAAGTTGTTCGGGGCCAGCCCCTCTGGCGGCAGACGCCTCCGCCCGCCAACTTAGCCGAATGGCTGAGCACAGACCTTCCGCCCGAGACCCCGCGTCCCCCTCCCTTCCCGCGTCCCCCTACGCGAGCCTACGCCAACGAGTTCGACCTCAACCTACACTGGGCCACGGTGTGCTCCACGTGCAAAAGGTTCCTCGATGAGACGCTCCCAATTCCAAAAGGAGCGACGTTAGAAGGGGAGATCCAAGGGCAAGTTAATGGGACCAGGGACGCCCCAGTCGGCGTGCGTGTAGCTATTTTGTAAGAGTTTTAAGGCAACGTCGCATTCACTGCTTTACCTGCTGACCGTGATTAAGTTATTACGCTCCCTCAGCAGACCCCGGCGTGCTCCCGGAGGCCTCCCCGTCAAAAAGCGCCGCCCTAATCCAAGTAAAGAGGGAGCCCGTCTTGGAGGGGAAGAACCTCGATGGTCTCGAAGAGGTGATCAATAGCGGAGAGCTTAACTGGCTCGATCCGTGTGATTCCAGGCACACCAACGGCGTGCCCCAAGGGCAGAGGGCATGGTTACAGGTAAGTCCCTGATGGGGGCCCAAATCTGTCGCTTTCGCATTGCTGACCACCGGCAGATTTATAACCAGTTGATGGGATATAATCTGACGGCTGGGATCGTCGCAGGGGACAACGCGATATTCCTAGTGGAGAGACAAACGGAGGTGGTCGAGGACGACGTCACCGGGACGTGCAAGACGATCGGGAAGCTTATCGTTGATGGACCCCTTTATATGTACCCGGGTGTGGGTCAAGAGAGGTTCACGCCGGCCATGCTGTACGCCTACCTGGGATGGGCAACCCTGGTGAGTCTCTCCAACGACTTAAATGATGTCCCTCCTCAGGTTTTGTCACGGCCTTTGTTTTGAATATGCCTGATGATGTATTCTTAGGACCTTCTATACCGCATGCGCTTTGAGCCTCCGGAGCTGTCGCCTCTGCTTGTGCTTCAAGACTACTGGCGCGAGCGCCGTGCGAGCAACACGCTCTCTTGGCTCCGGTGTACAAGCGCCCTAGCGACATGCTTCGCTCAGTGGCAGCTGGCGTACTGCACCTCCATTGAGGTAGTGCTCCCAAGCGGCTTGCAGCTGCGCCGCTGCATACGTGTGGGCCCGCCCCTCGTTATCCCTCCTTCAATATCTGGCTGGATATCCTCTGCTGCCAGCAGGTTTGTGCAATACGCTCCAGCAGTGCGTCTCCGAGTAGATAGCATGGCCGGCAAGGGTGCATCCTGCCTGACACTGCGTGGCGTCCATCTCGGCGTACCCTTTGTGCTCAAGTTTGACAGAAGTGGCCAGCGTAGCGTCGCCGTTGAATGGGAGCAACTCCAGTCTCTCGATGTGGTGCGGACAGGGAGCGCCGGCACGCTCCCCATCCCGTTCTACTACGGCATGTTTGACTCGAGTATGGGCCAGTTCTCCATTCTCTCTGACAACGGCATCGACCTACAATGGGGAGAGGTCGATCTGGACATGGTTAGGTGAGCATCAATCTGCATCAGGTCGTGGGCCATCATCTTCTGACAAGCCCGGCAGACCACTCGTTGGCGCTGCATTCCAGCAGCTTCACGATAATGGCATAGAGCCTACCGACGTTGCGGATCGCAACGTATTGTGGGACGGCGAGCATATCACTATCGTGGACTTTGTCGACCCCGCCCAGTAGTTATTATCGTGTAACAGCGTCGCATCACCCTTCCCCGCTCCGCATATATGCTACGCGTAGAAACTTATATGCTCATGAGTTTCTGTTGCCTGAACGGCCCGGGATGGCGAAGAGAGTTATTGAGGTACCTAAACCTGGGGGGACCACCCGTACACCTCACAAGAGGTTCTAGCCTTGCATCACATCGAGTCGGTGTACCGAGATAGCATGTTCAGCGCCAGCTCAAATAGTTTATGTAAGTGACCGATAATAGAAGGTCCTAGGGTCGATAGAGGCGCTTCCCATTGGGGATCCGGAAATGTAGCAGTACGACTTAAAATGCCTATGCGCGAAAAGGCTGGCGAAAGCTCGAATGGAGAGCCGTGAAAAATGCCTTATGAATGTTTAAGAGGAACTTATGCATTGAAGCGCGTACCAAACGGCAAGACGTGAAAACCATACAAATCTTCTACAGCTCCCTGTTCTTCTGGGTCGCCGGGATCCGAGTCCCCCGAATAGTTCGGATTGGCACCTAGCTCGCCGGGGGGAACCGGATCGCCGAGACGGGCTGTTGCCCTAGCAGGTGTCGTACCTGATTCAAGGACATGCGAGCCCCAGTCGACCGTAGGAGGTTCCATTTGGTACGCAAGAGGAGCGTATGCAGCGAGTGGCCTCTTGCCACTCGCATCGCAGAGCAGCAAAGGTGGGTCTGGGTCGTCCGGGGGGATGTCATAGAGAGGATCGCCCGCATCGCTCCCCAAGGTAGAGCGCCCAGTAGGCCAAATCTGCGATCATGAGTTGTACATAGAGCGAAGGAATGTATGAGGAGCGTACCTCTCGCCCAAGCGTCGGGGAAGGGGAGAGCGCTCGAGGGGGACCTGGGGCAGCGGTTGACTTGGTGAAACCGTACCGAATGGCCAAAGCGTAGTTCTGCTTGCCCAAGCCTGTCTTCACTGTCTCTTGCATGGCGGTGTACGCCGGTGTACCTACGTCGCTGATGAGCATGGTGCGCTTTTGAACACGCTCGGGACGCACGTTCGCTGATGTCCCCATCTTCTGGAGCTATTCGCAAAGACTGTCGGTAAGGGCCTCCATTCGACTGACTCGGACCGGGACTGGGGTGGATCATTTCGTAGTGTCTGTCGGAAATAGCCTTCATAACTACGAAGAGCATAAATCAGTTCAAGCGCATCCCCGAACAGGATGAATGGTCCAGCCAGGATTAGCCGTGTGCTCAGGGTGGACTTACTAGCTTTACCCGCATCCGTGTCTCGCAATTGTTGAAAGCGGGAACCCACTTGTTTTGCCGTTCGGACATAGCCTGTTTTCTGGAGGATGTATGCTGCGACGAACTTGTTTCGATTGGGAATACGAGTCAAACCGCGGGGCGATTTGCTTTCCGCCGGTATGTATTTCTGGAGGCCTATCATGCATTGATTCTGCGTTAATGGGAACTGAAGGCGTGGCGAGCACTAGAACATACCTTCCATAAGCGCTGCTTCCAGGTGCGACGGCCATACGACCTCGTCCGTGTTCTTCGGGACACGCCAACACTTACGGTTCGCGATAATAGTCTGGAACACATTAGAATGGGAAGGGTAGATAGCTGACATGGCTTGGAGATGAGATACACCGCATCCCGCCGAAACGACTTGAAGCGAGTTCGATGTTGACGTCGTTGGTACTCCGGTGATACGCGTGTTTCCGTACGGTTTCGAGAACGGTCCAGTCTCTCGATGCGGTGACGATTCGGCGTCGCTTTGCTTCCGTGTACGGCGCGTCATCTGAGGAGAGTGGGGCTGGCCGATGTTGCTACGCGTGAGCGTAGCAGGTGCAGTCAAGTGACTCCGGTTTCCTTGTTCTGCTTCTTTGTCGGCGAGAACGGTTGCTAAACAACCCACTGCATATTTGTGAGCATGAGAAAGTATGTGCATGTTGCATGATATAAGTAAAGCGTACCGCCGTATTGATCGACCGAGACCAGCGGCTTAAGTGCCGACAGATGTTTTGCCGATATATCATCCGGAGATGTTAGGGACTCGGCGGGTTCAACCTGTTGATGTTAAGACATATGCCGGCGATGCAAACGTAAAACACGTACTTGAGGGTGGTCAGAGAGTACTGAAAAGAAGTCCGTATCGGAAGCTATCGCCACGGTAGCAGCCGGATTCTGCATCATTGACCACTTAGAGAACGCCTGACGCAGCATGAATGCGAAGGGAACCCGACCTCAAGTATGTAGTCGAGGACATAATCCGCAGGATCTTTACTCTGTAGTCCTGCGTCAAGAAGATTGATTTTATTCGATGCGTGCGGGACACTCACCCTCTGTTCCTGGAGCGGGAAACGCTGGAACCCCTCGCCCGAGCCATCCAAGTCACAGTCCATAGAAGACACTTCCCGGTGATCGACGTCCATATAGCTTTCATCGCTCGAATCAGCATCTGGGTCTCCAGGTAGATCTCCAGGGTCCGCAGCGGCTTTGATGACGGAGGGGAGAGGCCATTTCCTACGCTTCCGTTTATAGTAGTGTATGAAAACGCACTGATCGTACTCTTCCTGCTGATGACCGGCCCCACACGTAGACGCGCAACACGGAGGCCGCTCCGTCGGCCCCGCCCTGTAGTGGGTAGACGAGAGCTGCGCGTCCGAGAGCGAGAAGGAGAAGTCGACCGCGGCGAGCGGACCGAGGTTGCCGACGACGGTCCCGCGCTTCTCGCGAGTCGCGCCTCTGAACGCGGCGACGCCCCACCGGCTGGTCTTCGTCGTGCCGGAGACGAACATGATCTGGTCCTCCTTGAGCCCGAGGCCGAGGCGGGCGTTCGCGAACTCGAGCCAGCGGTCGAAGTGGGCCTCCATGTAGTTGATGATGCGCTGCCTTGATAGGACGTCCTGGGTGCGTCCGGACGGCCCGAGGACGAGGAGCGCGCCTGCTTCGTCCGTGCACTCGAAGTTGAAGTTGACGCTGCAAGACAAGTTCGTAGAGGCGCTGCGATGGCAATGTGAGTAAAGACGGAGCGAAAAAGTGATGTATCGACATTGGACTCACACAGTCGTCGAAATCTCCCCGGATACATCCACCCTGCGTATACTCCGACTGCACAGGACCGACTGCGATATTCTATCCCTCGGTCCCACCACAGTGCACTCGCGGATGTCGAGGGGCACATAGTCAATGGGTACCGCACCCCGAGGTTGGGCCTCGTGCTCTCCTCTAAACGCATTGAACAGAGGGAGAAACTCGCCCTCATTGATCCATCCCACGTCGCCGATTTCCACTGCAGTCGAGCCGGGAGCAGGATCAGGGATCCAAAGAGGATACCCATACCCAAGATGGGTGAGTTGTTCCGCGTAGATATCCCATGGTGCGGTGCTCATGGTTTAAACCGGTAAGGGATGGGGAAGGGGCGTCTTGAAACACGAGATAGTTTTACGCTCTTAAGGGGGAGGGAGATGCGCTGGGAAAGCAGTGAGCGATTGATACACACCACGGTGGCCGTACTTCGACAACCAGTGCACACTTATCGAGCACAGCAACAAGAATGAACGTCCCCCTTCTTTACGAGTGATTATATCTGATATGACCAATCCAAGGACATCGGATATTATCGTGTCAATGCCGCAGGTATTCGAGAACGATCTGAAGGGCTCAGCGTTGATTCCCGACACAGCATCCTATGAGCTCCTGACATTGTGCATATAGAACCCTGCGAAGCGATGTCAGAGTGGTCACCGTATGTGGAGATAGTGTCAACAAGAAGCGCACCTCCTGTGTACACTACTTTTGATAGACTAGCTCATGTGCGCCCTAGGAACACCGCCTCACGCAGCGCCCGCTTCCTTGATCGACTTCAGGACGTATCCCTCGAGACCGCCGCAGATCCAGAGCTCCTGCACGCTCGCGCCCACTCGGCCAACCTTGTACGTCCGCATCTCCCCACTCGGCCAGCGGACCTCGACGCGGCCCTCGACGACCTTCACGTCGACGACGTGACCCTCGTTCACGGTGAGCTCGCCCTTCTTGCCGCCCGCGCCGCGCTTTCCGTCCTTCGCGTACTCGCTCGTGAGGTCTGCGACAAGCTCGGGGGACTCGATGCATACGAGCCCGTTGTTGATCGCGTTCCGCTTGAAGATGTCGCCGAAGGAGCCCGCGATGACAAGCGGCACTCCGGCCGACTTCAGCGCGGTGGCAGCCTGCTCACGAGACGAGCCCGTGCCGAAGTTGTACCCCGAGACCAGGACGACGCCCTGCTTGATGCCAGATGCCACATGTGCGGTCTGCTCCTGCTCCTTGCGGATGGAGGCGACGAGCGCCGCGAACGAGGGGTCGTAGTTCTCCATCACGACCTCGGCCTGACGGGCGAGAGTGATATCGTCTTGGTATGTGTATTTGCCGGGGTAAAGAGCGTCCGTGTTCAGGTTATCCTGAGGCGTGAAGAGAAGGGGACCGGCGAATGTGGTCGGGAAACCAGGAAGGACAGGTTCTTCAGCTTCGACGGAGGCGGTGGGCGCCGCGCCGTCCTTGCCAGGCGTGACGATGGAGAACTGCGGCGCGCCAGAGGCAGGGAGCGAGGCCGAGTCCAGGGAGTCGGGGCTGGCGATATACCCCTTAATCGCACTGGCCGCCACGACAGCGGGCGATGCAAGGTACGCTTGCGCGTTCGGGTGTCCCATTCGACCCTTGTAGTTCCTGTTCGTTGCACTGATGCCCGCCTCTCCGTCCTCAAGCAAGCCGACGCCCAGCCCGATGCAAGGTCCACAGCCAGCTGGCAGAGGCTTCGCACCGGCGACGACAAGGGTCTCCCAGTCACCACACTTCTCCGCGTCTTGCTGGACCTCGGAACTAGCTGCCGCAACGTAGAACTCGACGCTCGGCGCGACTTTATGGCCCTTCATGACGGCGGCAGCAGCCGCGATATCAGAGGCACGTGCGTTGGTGCAGCTCAAGAGGTATGCCTTCTGGATCGGAACGCGCTTCGACTCGAGGACCGGGAGGGGAGTTGATACCTTGACGCTGTTCGGACCAGATACATGCGGAACAAGCGTAGAAAGGTCAAGTACGAGATGTGACGCGTAGGAGGCGTCGGGGTCTGACCGAATGATGTTTGCACGGAGGGAGTCGAGGCGAGAACGGTTGATCCGAGGGTGTTCAGGTGGAGGTGGGATAGACGTAGATAGAGCAGGAGTAGAGAATGTGCGGAGCTCCAGCCTCTTCAAAGCGCGTTCGTACCAGTCCAGAGTAACATCATCCACAGGAAATACGCCCGCAAGCGCTCCCCATTCGGTCGTCATGTTCGCGATCGTGAGCCGTTCATCGACTGTCAGAGCCGAGATACCGTCTCCTGCGAACTCGAGAGCGCCATTGAGGACCTCGTCCTTGTTGAAGTAGCCGCACAGTGCAACGATGACATCCTTGCCCGTGACGCCGGGGGTGAGCTTTCCCTTAAGCTCCACCTTGATCATCCGGGGTACCTGCCACCATGTCTTGCCGGTCGCCCAGAGAGCAGCCGCGTCCGTCCGCACTATGGGCGTACCGACACAGCCAACACCGCCGTACATGTTACTGTGACTGTCGCTGGCGACAGTGAGAGCATTGGGAAAGGCGTAGCCTTCTTCGACGAGGACCTGGTGTCCGATGCCTCGCCCAGCGGGGTAGAAGTCGATTCCATTTTGCCTTGCAAAGGCTTCGATAGACGCGTATTTGGAAAGGTTTTTCGGCGTCTTGTTTTGAACGTCATGGTCGAGGGTGAAGACGAGCTGCTTCGGGTTATGGACTCGAGTTGCACCTATTGACTTGAACCTTCAGAGATCAGCATGCGACGGCCATGCATTAGGACGAAGCACGCCCCTAGAAGCTCCTTAGACTCACTTTGTAATGACAGGACCTGTATTGTCGTGTGTCATGACATGCTCAGGGCGTATCATAACGTAGTCTCCGGCCTTGACAGTCTTCCCTTGAGGTAGGTCGACTGCATACCGCTGTACGACCTTTTCAATGATGGTTTGTGGTATCCGCGGAGTCGCCGTCGCGTAGCATCTTGACGCAAAGGGGTGCGTGCCCCTCCACCGTGTCGGGAGACGCATCGACTGTCGCGGAGAAAGACAGAAGCAGAGAAAGAGGAGGTTATGGTGGTGGAACGAGTCAAAATCACTGTTTCGCTGAGAAACGTCAATATGCGCAAATCGGGCGCTAAGTGTGTTCGACCCCCGCGCCGGCCCGATTATACCGAAACCTCCATCCAATGGATTTGCAGACAATTCACACCGTTTGATCGCCGACGAGTCGGTTTCTCTTTCTCTCTAAGTCTTCGACCATCTCAATGCCCACGGAAACCTTCGCATGCGCTCATCCAAGATAAATCATATTGTGCATATTCTCAGCAGAGTAGGGCAGGGTACAGACTCGAAGAGTTGGATAAGCGTATACCTGAACACGTCGTAAGCATACACCGGTGCGCACATTTCCCTTCCAATCACGACTTGCACAATATAGGTACTCAGCACTATGCGGCCGTCTCTCCTGTGTATGACAGAAATGCACCGTTCTCCTCCGGGGTGAGGCGTTCGATAACAGCAAGCTGTGCCGCGACAGACTGCGACGGCGTGAGGAGCTCTGTGTTGAGCCCTGCCTCGCTCAAATCGTCGACCACATCCTGGAACGAACGCTCCGCTGCACCGACGCATTGTGAATACTCGCATCAGCTCGTCCGATCATCATACAAGGAAGGTAGTACGCACAGGTAGCAGCGGCCGTCCCGGAGGTGTCGACAACCCCGGGGTTCATGGAGACGACAGCGAACCTCTCGGTGGCGAGGCGTGCGGCATACTTCGCGGCGACCATGACCGCGGCAGCCTTGGTCGTGCAGTACGCGACGATGCCGGTCTCGGAGGTACGCACAACACGCCCGGGGATCGCTCCGCCGCTGCTGATGACGACGATCTTCCGCGTCGGCGCTGTGCTACGCTGGAGCAGAGGAAGAAAGGCGGAGACGCTGTGGACGACGCCGAGCGTGTTGATCTTGAACTGTTGAGGGGAAAGTTCAAATGGTCTCGACATGGCAAAAGGAGGCTCAGTACTCACGGCGTCAACAAAGTCTGCATCCAGCTCGTCAAGGTCTTTGCTATGCACACAAATACGTGTGAGTTGGTTCCCCCTGCACAGCGTAACTTGACACATACTAATCCTCGAAACCACGGAAGATCTGAGCAGAGTTCATGCGAGCAGCGTTATGGATGAGAACGTCGAGGACACCTCCGTACATGGCAGCAATGTCTTCAGCAGCGCGCTACATCATACACCTCGATGAGAGAGAGGCCGAATGGGAAAAGGCGCCGGCAGCTTACCGCAAGGGATCCGTGGTCCGCAACGTCGCCCTGTATGACGTGGACGTTCTTGTGTGCCGCTGCCACGGGCTGGAGGTACGCCGGGCTGACATCGCGGACGACGGCAAACACGACTGCGTCCGGCTTCTTTGCCTGATATTCCGTGCGTCTTAGCTTCAGAATTTCCGTAAAAACAACTGACGAGGGCAACTCAACAGCTGCTGAACGAACTCCAAGCCGATACCTCTGGAGGCGCCAATGATCGCGTAGGTGGTCATAGTGTTGTGAAGATACTATCACGCAATGATGCACTCGACAGGCTATGAGGAGTGTCGACGCCTTTACAGCCTTCAAGTTGTTTGTTATATACGAACACTCGCTTTAGGTGGCCTTCGGGCTTCGGCCTGGTTGTGTGGTACGACCCACACTCGCCGAGGGGCAACGTGTACTTCTCCCCTGCCACCTTGGTCCCGATGAATAGCATATAGTGAAGGCTACTGTGTCATCGGAGGCCGTTCAGTATATGCGCAGCACTTTGACAGCGGACCCCTTACGTGGATGAACAAGTTCCCGATGTATATCACAGCTCGCGTTTGAAATTGTCGTGCAGCAGCGCTCCAAGAAGCCTGAGAAAGCGCCTGAGTGTGTACCAGAGCCGTCGAGGACAGCTTGGGTTTGTCCTTCCGAATTTTCGCTCGTTCTCCATGACGGCGGCATGCTCTCTGTTTATTCATACACTGAAGGGAAAGCCGCTCCCGCTCCCCTGCCGCCTGTGCGGTGCATTGAGATCACTCTTCCGTATAGGCAGATGGTGGGCATAGAGATTGGTACGTATTCGTCAAATCTGCTGGCGGTGATAGAATGTTGGGGTTAGATTGGTGTTTCCTTCGGGGGTCAACGCAGGAGTACATAAATGGAGGGTTTTTGAGCGTACATGGAAAGGTATCCTACAAGCCGGGAGCGTAACAAAAACACCCATCTATGCCTGGCAGCAGAACCGTGAGCCGCGGTCCGTTTGTTGCCAGAGCAGATGGGATGAGTACTAGTTCGGAAGGATCTTGAAAGTCGACTGCACGGCAACATGGGGAGCATAGGGCGTTGCGATCCCGTCGCAGACGTCACAGCTGCCAATCTGCCGGTGCAGATGGGTATAATCGACCCTAGGGCCACGATAGGGATGAGCGTGCGTGTCGTTGAGTTTTTTCTTGCGGTCCGGAGAGTGAGTAGAACGGTTTGCATAATGTGGGGATTCGTTTCGAGACTACCGCCTGGCAGCCATCCACAGAACGAGCTGAAAATGCACGATCATTAGCACAGATGAATTAGCCATGCCGCTCTTGCTACTCACTGTGAACGTCATTCACTGACAGCCGTCTGAGTACGCGCGGGGTCTTTTGGGTGGTCCCTCCGGGGCGAGCGACCCAGGCCCCGAATGCGAAGATTGTGCTACTGGCATTGGCCACCAGCCTGCGTCTATGCTGCTGGCGGGTAGCGTACTGATGCTGCGTGGCACACCCGGGTTCAAGGCCACCAGCGGGGTACGAACCCCAGACGGCGGAGCCTCGACGGCCTTGCCTTTGCTGATATTCATCATGATCAAGTCGCGCTTGTGCTGGAGCTTTCTAAGCCAGTTCGCGTGCGAGTAATCGTCGGTACCTGGGGTCGAAAGGTCTGAGGGCGAGTGAGGATTTCCAGGGGAATACCCCGTGGTAGTCACCCCCGCAGGATCCTCTGGCCCCGGTGCTGCACAAGACTCTAGTCAGGTGGGTAGTTGCATAGTCGAAGGACAGCACCCACTACCCAGATCGACACGGCGGGGCTGGGCTGGCAGACTGGTCGGTCGGGGGCGGCGCAGTGCGGCTAGGGCGGCGCTTGGAAGGAGGACTATGCCCACCTCTGCGGGTGGAATCAGTGATTCGTTCTTGAATTCGTAATATGTAACGTTTAGTAATCGCACCTCCTGCGTCGTCTAAAACGATACCGGGTCTGAGAATCTCGAGTGCCTCGGCTATCTCACTGGCACGGGGGAAAGCTTCCCGGGGACGCTTTATGTTGATTTGTGGTCAAGACACGACTGCCTGGTCGCCAGCATTTTGGAATGTACGCACCCCAAACAGCTCGTACAAATCCAAGTCAGAGGCGATCGCAACGGTCGCACTGGATTTCTATGGTACGCAGACCGCATGGTTAGCGCAATATTCGCTTGGGAGACGCACATTGTGAGGATTTCCGAACCTACCTTGAGGATATAATCTAGGAGCGCATCCACTGGATCGAAATGCTGCGGGCGGTCATCAAGATGCGGAAATAGGCTCACAAAAGGAGCTGTTACCTTCGATTTCGGCGGCATCATCTCAAATTCGGCTTCTTCTTCGTCTTCGTCGTCTGCGGTTGCGAAAACATCTGCCAGTACGCCCATGCCCGCCCCGGGGTCGCCCGGGCCCCGTGGCAACTCGTGGGGGCCCGCACCGCCTTTGAGCTCGAATCGCGGAGGCATGCCTAAGATCGCTCGACGCTTCAATTTGTAGTAGTGGAGAAAGATGCACTGGTCTGCCTTGGGCGGGGATTGGCTAGACGCTGCCGATGCTGGCGATACCGGTGGTGTCGGCAGCGATGTGGCGCTAGCACTGGGTCGTCGTGGTGGGGTGGAAGATCCAGATGGACGCGCGATTGGTATTTGCAGCCTCGAAGGAGACGACGGCGGCTCAGGCGAAGTAGTGGAAGTTGTCTGGGATCCTACCGGAGAGGAGGGTGGGGAACCACCGAAGGGGCTATCCGAAGAGATACCAGTAGGAGTCGGAAGGTGGGGGGCTGGGCTACGCCCCCATGAGCTCGATGGCCCTGCCTTTGGGTAAAGGTTCGTCGCGGACCTATTGGTGACATGTGCGCTGATGCTCGCCGAGCCGACCCCGCCGAGGGTGCACGAGATGCTCGCTTCTACCTCGCGCTGCATGCTCGTGAATGTCGTGATGCCCCAGTCAACGGTCTTGATCATGCCGGTGACGAAGATAATGTCTTCCGGCTCCAGGTTGAGGCCCAGCCCGTGAGGATCATTTGCGAAGTCTTCCCATTTTTTGTGGTTCGCGCGCATATAATTGACGACAGTTGTGGCTGATTGGAAGATCGTTTCCTCTGCCCTGGGGCTGAGCATCAGGAGCGCCCCTTTACCCTCGACAGACTTGAAACTGAAGCTCCCGCCTATGCCAAAGTCTGCTGGACTGGAACAAATCATGTGCGACTGAACGGGAGTGGTGCCCAAAAATGCGACTTACGACACGGAAACTTCCCCCATAACCATGCTCGTGTTGATCGTGTTGCTATGAAATATAGTAGGTCGCGAAAACCGTTCCGGATACTCGCTGAGCGCGCCCCTGGCCATGACCAACGGCGAATGACCTTCGGGAAGGGTCCTAAAAGGCTGTTGGGCAGCATCCGTGGCCGTCGTCCTGAGCAGAGGACAGAACTGGCCATTTCTAAGCCAACCCACATCCCCGACGTTGAGATCCCAAGGCTTCCCGTTGTTCCAGGTATCGGGGCACCAGAGGGGATATCCATATCCAAGATATGTCAGAGATTCGGCATATACGTCCCATGAGTACGCGCTGGACATGGTAGGAGATGGAGAGCACTTGTTGCGCGATTGTCGAGAGCTCGTCCTCCCCGAGATGATGATCGATCGTAAGAGGATCGTCGGTCGGCGCTATTGTTCTCATTCGTACGACTATGTGGCAGAACCTGTGCAGCCTGGGAAGACAAACATAGGCGCTATTAGAGTGCGCTGGGAGACGGCTGAACCTTATATCGCATGTAAACAGACCGTGATTTGACTTCGAGAGAAAATTCCCATAGCTATCGAAGTCTTCATTAAACAGACTATAAGTCCTCAAGCATCGTTCAGTGGAAACCCATCCAGCACTTGGCGCCGCCCTCATTGTCGTCGCACTCGACGTCCGACGCGCCCTGGTCGATCGCCTGCACGAGCAGGCCTGCGCACGCGTCCCAGCAGTTCTGCGGGCTCTTGTAGTTGTGCGTGCCCTTGAACCACCCACGGCCGCCGCAGTCCATGCCGTCCTACATGCGGAGAGATAAAGGCAAGTAATCAGATCGTGTAGGCGATGAGAGAACGATACGCGGCGTACCCAGTTGTCGGTGCGGTAGTTTTGCAGGCAGGTGTGCAAAGCACCCTGGTCGGTAGAGCCGAGCGCGTTGAACTGGCGCACGATGGACGCGTTAGCGGAGACCTGGCTGACGGCGAAGGCCGCGAGCGCGAGGAAGGCGGCGGTGAATTGCATCTTGTAAAAAGCTGGAGCTGGAACGAATGAGTGCTAGACACTGTGAATATGAGCTGGGAAACTCGCCGAAGGTGTTGTAGAGTCTGGTGAGGAGGGGCTGGTGAGAGAGTAGTAAGCATCTCGCTGGGTTATATACCACCAGCGGGAAGCTGTAAGTCTTGACGCTCAACAGCTTCCCGTTGTATTTTTGAGCAAAATTTACCCTTGAAGGTACGCACGGCACAGAGCATTGCCGGTCCCAGACAAGGCGAGCACGCAGGGCTTGCACTCCTGTGCTCGCAACCCGGCCGTGGCCTTGCGGATGGATTTCATAGCGCTTCCAATTCGCCTCACGTAACTCCGACTCGGACACTGTGCTTTGCAAATGGACGACCGGATCGCGTCCGGAGCCTGTCAACATACGTTAGCGACGGAAGTGCCGGTGTTTCACGGTTGAGGATGGACGCACCCGTGCCATGGGCGGTTGCGGCCTCCTGTCAACGGTCGGTGTCAGCATAATGTGAGATGGGGGCATGCAACAGGGATTTACTCACCATACATCATGCCATGCCGCTGTGACGTTAAGTATACTAAACGCTGTGTATGCAGAGCCGCGACCGCGTCGGTTCAAGTTTACAGGCTACTACTAGTAGTGGCCTTTCGAGTTCATCAGACCATTGCATGCAAACCTAGCGTATTTATGCACAGAATTGGTTTCGCTGGCAGCAACTGGGCTCGAAAAAGGCTCGAGATGACAGCAATAGTGAGGCAGCACAAAGGCAGCAGGATGAAGAAAAGATTCTGAAGAATCATGCCCCAGGCCGCCACGTCCGTTGAGTCGTTGTGGCGCTGGTTTTCGCACGCTACAAGGAGGGCACTGCCACTAGGCGCTTACTAAGGCCACAACACCGCTGACGGCGGTTTCGCTCAGCCCACCACCATCGCTACACCAGGGTCTCCCACTCGCTGATCCGAGTATTTCAGCGCGTTTTACTCTGTGAGACCGGTTGAAAGGTGTGAAAATATGCACACCGGCTGACGAACGGACCTTGCCTCAATTTCAAGTCGTCTCCACTGGCTGCGGCGTCTCGGAGACATCCGAGTCGTCGTTCAACCGTGACGACCTTGCAGGCGTACGTGCGCAGCGATTTGGATACTCTGCTGTACTATGTACACGAATGGCTTACTATGGGTGGTTATCATGTGTCATTCCCGTGGCATAGCTTGGCGAGTAAGTAATAGTTTTCCCGCTCCGATCAAGCCCGTCTCTCACTGCCATTTCTAATTGTCTCTTCCGATCGCTCCAGATCCATCGCTCACTTCAGAGACTCCACTGCTCTGGGTGGATTTGGCGACGCATCCGGGCGCTTTTGAAATGCAGCATCGGGAGGGCACACAGTGGGAACCTCGGCGATCATGCTGCACACGTCGGTCGAATTTCATACGGCGCCTCTCACATTCACCCACTCGCCTGCCGCTTTCCGCCGGACAGCCGACTACTAGGCTGCCGAGCCTGATCACGCCTCTAGCCAGGCTGTAGCCCCCGTTCGGGATCGGTAGCCTCTAGCATGCAGCGCTCTAGACGCCCTCGCCGGCGCGGAATTGTGTCACTCGTGAACATACTTTCACAGCCGCCCGTAGGTTCGCCCCTACCCTTGAGACACCGACGCTTCACTCGCTAACTGTCCGCATTGTCAACCCCGTGTCGGTGCAAGGACGCCCATTTGCAAAGATGCCCGAGTCGACACCTCCTGAGGCGAAACGCCAGCACCGTCGTGGGGCCCATTTGCAATCACGGCACGGCGGGGTTAGCGTTAGAGCAGTCTCCAGTGGACGGTGAGGTATACGCGCTGGTTCTCGCGGAGACATTCTCTCTCGGAGCGCCAATACTGAGCAGTCCTCGATGGCATATAAATATGAACGATGCTCCTCACTGTCCTCACCACCAACTTTCCTTCGAAACACCTCAACCCATCGCTCCTACTACCAGTACGCCAGCCATTCTCTTCCCATCGTATTCTCCTCCTTACCCGCCGCAGACTACCCACAGACATCATGCAGTTCACCGCCGCCTTCCTCGCGCTCGCCGCCTTCGCCGTCAGCCAAGTCTCCGCCAACGCGTCCATCGTGCGCCAGTTCAACGCGCTCGGCGCGACCGACCAGGGCGCGCTGCACACCTGCCTCAACAACTACCGCACCGACAACTGGGTACGCCGCTGCGCCTTGTGCTCTTCACGTTACCCCTTGCTGACGTTGTGGACGATTTGACAGGACGGGATGAACTGCGGCGGGCGCGGGTGGTTCAAGGGCACGCACGACTACAAGAGCCCGGAGAACTGCTACGACGCGTGCGCGGGGCTGCTCGTGCAGGCGATCGACCAGGGCGCGTCGGACGTCGAGTGCGACGACAACGAGGGCGGCGCGAAGTGTTGGATGGGCTTCCACTAGAGGAGGTTGAGCAGGGTCTCGTTTCGAGATCGTCGTGCTAGAGTTGTTCTGATGTCATCCTGATTTTCGTATGCCAATGTATGCGCTATTTCCTGGTTACACGTCCGGGCTATGGAAGTATAGATGTTGGAAGCCTCCGTCTGCTGAATCAGGTAACCATCGACCTAGCTTTCGAGCTGCAGGTTCAAGTTTTGAGTAGAATTAGCGGTAATTTTACAGCATCAGGCGGGAATTTCCTCACTATACGTGCTGTCTATCCTCTTCATATATCGCACGTCATGTTTCGTATAATATCCACCAACAGTGCTGCAAGAATGAGGGCCTCACTCGAATGGCCGGTGTGGCGCTGATTTTCACACGCCACAAAGCCAGCCACAACTCGCTAGCGCTCAACGCCCTTTCTGAGTCGACCTTCCAGTTCGCTGCATTCTTCACCATATGACGGCAACATGTATAACGGTCCAGATCTGCCAGAGGCGAACCTCGATCATCAACACAGCATTGAGCGAATCTTGACCCAGGACGAATCATGCTGCCAACAACGCGCATGATACTACCCCAGGACACACCAACCCAGCTGTGGTAGACGCGACACCACAGTCGCAGGATAGACAGTGAGGTGTTCTGTTTCTTGGAACAGTCGAAGCTGATCTTGTTCAGGGAACAGCTCATAGATGTACGCGTCTTGGGTTTCAATGTGGCCCAGAATATGGACCTACTCGCTTCGGGCCTGATCGAAACCTCCAGGAGGCGGACTAGCCATCGTCAGCCTCCATCCGCGAGTGCATGAGACGAACGCTGCAGCGTGGGGTCCTCTACCCATCCCCCTTCTCCTCGACCACAGTCCCTGGCTGGTCACTCGCTGTCGTGCTCTGCGAGCTCTTTGCTTTCCTCGTCTCTTGTCCTGCGCCAGTCGCATCTGCTTTCAACCATCGCTGCCTGTCCTTGCTCTAACTACTGCTCTCTTCGCGTCTTCTGGAAAGATGCATTCTTCCCCACATGCGGCGCACCATCCTCCCTCTGGACGCCATTTCTCTCCGCGCTCCTCACCCGCGCTCTTCTGGGACAGCCTATACATGGGCAACCCAAGCAGCATATATGTGGATCCTGATGGCCAGGTGGTCACATCTAGCGGTCCTGCTCCTCCAGCTTCACCCAACGCCGCTCCTCCCAACGCCGCTCCTCCCAACGCCGCTCCTCCCAACGCCGCTCCTCCCAACGCCGCTCCTAATCCATTTGCTGCCGTGGATACTGCTACACAAGGCTCTAGCAGCGCGGTGCCTACCGATGCCTCGAAGAACGTGCAGGTACGCTACATCCCTCCTGGGTTGGGTGTGCCATGACTAACGCATGATCTAAAGACTTCCTCGGGGGTACAGACTTCCCCAGTAGCAGCCACTACTGCTACTACCACGGATGGCATATCTGCTACCCAGTCCTCTGCTACAGATTCTATGTCCCCCACGTCCCAAACGTCGGATGTCAGTACGATAGCCACCACCAGCGACGTTTCGACTCCGGCATCTGTAGCATCAACAACATCTGTAACATCTGTGGGATCGACGACATCTGTAGCATCAACGATGTCCTCAGCATCGGCGACAAGCTCTGTTACCTCAGCACCAACCGCACCCTCATCAAGCACTGCGTCATCATCGCCTTCAAACGAGTCCTCCATAGGCGCGAGCCCCACCTCGCGAGTCAACTCCGCCTCCTCGTCAGAGACTGCCTCCCACCGCACGTCCGCCTACATCGGCCTCGCCCTCGCCGCGATCGCCGGGCTCGGGCTCGTCGTCGCCATCCTCGCCTGGTGGCTACGCATCCGCTCGCGCACGCGCCGCCGCAAGCTCAACACGACCACCGCCTGGCCGTGGGATCACGACCGCCTCGGCGGCCCGCGCCAGATGTCCCTCGAGGGCGGGCTCGGCATCCACGGCTACCACGCGCACTCGCCCTCGCTCTTTGGAGGGGAGGGCGGGCCCGGGTTCCCCACTGGGCATATTCCGCACGATCTGTCGCGCTTCCCGAGCCCGTTGCCCCCGCCTGCTGCGCACACGGCGCAGATGGGAAGCCCGTATGTGACGATCCCGCTGCACGGCGCGCACCAGAGCGTGCCGGACCTTGCGCCGGACCTGGGGACTCTGCAGATTACGAACCTCGTGCCGGGCGACCTCGCGCACGGAAGCGACTCCGGCCACCAGACCAGTGCCGCGCTCGGGGTGCAGCACACGTACTCGGCGGAGTATGGCACGCCGTTCCTCCCGCACCGCCCGTGCTTCCTTGGAGTTGAGAACGGCGGGCTCGAGGTGCCCTGGGGGCCCCTGCGCGTGCGCCGCTCGGGCACCCGCGCCTCGGAGACTGCATCCCAGTCACATTCGGAGAAGCTGGAGCTGCCGCTGCCGTACCCGGGCGACATCGCGAGCGCAGCGGACACATGTCCTCCTGCGTCCGACGCGCGCCAGGGCAGCTGGGCGGTGTCCATCAGGTCGAACATCCTCCACGCATTCAATGCCGTCGTCGGCGCGAGGCCCTCCCAGGTGGCGGGCGACTGCTTCACGCCGGCACCGCAACGGCACAACCACCGCGGGTGGGGACGGACCTCCAGCTCTCCATCGCGCGCGCTACCGGGCTTCAGTAGGACGTCTACCGACAATGCGAGCATCGCTCCTTATGTCTGGACGCTTCAAGATGCTGAGAACGGCGCTAGGAGCGTCGCTGTACCTGCGCAGGATCCGTTTGCAGACAACGCGCAGATCCCGCCCGTGTCACTTCCGGTGCCGCGCGATCATACATCAGGGCTACTGTGTCCTTCTCATCCGGACGAATCCCTCACCAGGGCAAGCAGCATGTACTCTACCGCCTCCGCAGACCCCTCCATCCTGCGCATCGGCGACGAGCCCCCACAGCTGCCCAGCATCAACTCGCTCTCCGGATCAAGCACTGACGTCCAGATACCACCCGTCTCCGGCCGTACACCACAACCGCGCAAGAAGACGCGCCGGCAGCGCCGCCCGACGCTGCTCGCGCGCCAGTCGTCCTCGCAGCACTCCACGTCATCGGCGGGCTCGGGCATGTCGCGCACGTCGAGCGCGTGCTCGGAGCTCACGGACGGCGAGCGCTTCGCGAAGGATGCGCTGCGCGCACGTCGGCGGCGCGTTATGGAGATGTCTGTGGGGCGCGTCAAGACGCGGCGCGCGCGGGGCATGACGCGGTCCGGGAAGCACGGCAAGGCGTGAACGTTGAAACGCGTGGGGCCTTGAGTTGTACATGTGTGGGTCATGCGTGGCTATTATACTTGTGCTGTTCCTACTGTTCGTACAGGATTATCTGCATGCGGCTGGGTTCCTACTACTAGATGTGTGCTGCCGTTACATGGACACAGTGGCGTACCCGAACGCGGACCCCTCGAGGCCTCGAGCGACGAGAGTGAATTGCTGCGCAGCTTCGCGCGTGCGTTTGAGCGATCGTGTGCTATCAAGAGGCGTGGTCAGCATGAGGATGCAGGTCCGACGCGAGTCACCTACCCAAACACCGTCTTGATGAACTTGGTCTTGGCTTCTGGGGTCGCGCGACAGGGATAGAAGTTCTCCTGATCCAGGGCCTTGCATTAGCACGAGGAATCCGTAGCGAAAAGAAGGGCCGGGCGTACCGCGAACAAGATGTCAGATATCCACTGCTTGCTCTCCAATGGATAGCGAGTGATCATCGTGGACAGCAACTCGATTAAGTTCGGCATCGCAGATCGGGGCGCAACTCCCGCGAAGCCAAACAAGATCGCGCGCATGATCTGGAACCCGTGTGTCTGTGCCAGACTCGCCTTCGCTGCGGCCAGATCGTCGTTGGTGGCGGTGCGGGTGATGAGGGAACTCTGTGCTAAAAGTCAGTCTCACCTGATGGGGCAAAGGCCAGAAATGGTACTGACGAGGAATGTGGAGGCGGATGTGAGAGAGTATCGTTCTTGAAGTGATAGAGCGCCGATGGCACATTGGACCAAGCCATCGAAGAGGCCCGCAGGTAGGCGGTAGAAGATGGGCAGGAAGTGGTGGATGAACTACCGCCAACACGTCAGGACCGCGAGGGGTATATACGGTACGCCAGTGCTCACCGATTCTACGCAGCCAAAGAATGCTTGTACGATATCTGGGTTCTGAATGCAGGGTATGAGCATTTGAATAATACAACGTCTAGGGAGGAACGTACTCCAATCATGACGCCTGGCTGCGCGAATGCGCTCAACGATGTTTGCAACAATACCTGGAGTACGTTCAACGCGATCTCGGCCGCTTCAGCACTTGGTTCTGGCTTGAACGTGGATACGATCAACGCTGGAGGGTTTAGCTGAATAGCAAGCATCGTCGCAAGCGATAGCCAGACTGCCGTAAGTTGTCGTTGAGCAGCCAAGCAAACTAGCTCGAGAAGTGGCCCGGCGGGTAGCGAGATGAGCGTGACGTCTGAGGGTAGCGCAGTTATCGCCTTGAAGAGATCACTCAAGGCCTGTACGAGCCATGTGGTGTGAGTACCAGGTCTGCACACTTAAACGCATGCGCATATACTCACATCGCACACGCTGGCGTCGGTTGACCACAGCTCGACAGTGCCCCGGATGGCAGACAGGATGGCTTCGCGCAGTTTGACGACCCTGTCGTCTTCACGTGCCCGGCTCATATCCCCAATCGCAGCTTGAACCTCCGGCGAATCGTCAAGAGCAAGCAAAGAGTCTGTGACCCTCGTCAGCCCTCGGGCGACGCCAGTCAAGGTCTCAAGTTGTTGAACTGCCAATGCGCGCGCTTCATCGGGTAGCTATGTACGTGTGTCAGTTAGAAGTGGATGTTCCTGCCGATTGCCAGATATTTACCTGGCTGGCCGACTGCAGCGCTTCGAACAGCCTTGCTACCACGGGACTGGCGATTGCCTACATCCGTTGTGAGAAACCGACCTCCAGCGTCTCGCAAGGAAGCACTCACTTCGACAGGAGGGATTTCCTCTACCGGAGGCAGGGCCTGGATAACACTCGCAATGGACTGCAAGACCTTCGCCTTCTCCGTGTCCTACATTATGTCACGCATGATTAGACGGCAGCCACACTATAAGGTCGGGAACTTACAGGAATGCCTGTCAAGCCTGCATGTAGCTCCCCGAAAGCAGCAATATGGGGCGCAAGCGCGGTCCGATTCGCGTCGCACAGATCGCGAAGCGCATTCGCAGCGAACAAGCATAGCGAGGGATGTGAAAGTGCCGCAACGACGAACGTAATGGCGCTCATGAGTGGCGACGGCGTTGGTGACTCTGGCACTTGTGCCGGTTGTGTCGTGAACCACGACGCGTAGCTGCCTGTGAATGCACACCCAACCCGGTTGATACTTAGCCCAAGACGAGGATAGTGAATTTACTTACCGATTAGGTGCAGGGCAGTCCTGCGAACACGCTCATCTCCCGCCTTGGGAAGCCTTCCGAGGATTTCTGGCCCAAAGACCTGCCGGAGGTGCGGCGAGTCCTCAATCGGCACGGCTTCTTGTACAGCCATGACGCAATGTAGCGTCCCCTCGATCTCCTGCGGGGCCGTTCAGAACGGGAATGATAACATATGGTTGGCATATACACGACACGCACCTCCCATCCGTCTGATTCTTGTCGCGTAGATAGTCGCTGAAGGAGATCGGTCACGTAGAATGCGAGCATCTCGTCTCGCAATACGTAGTACCTGCACATGCCTGCGTGAGCCGACGGTATGTCGAGACCCTAACTCAAGATACGCACGCATTTATCAGAGTATCACCAACATCTCGCCGATACCTGTTGTTCTCGTCAGTAATGGAACGGCGGAAATCTATAACAGCAGGCCTACGCTTGGAACCTGTCCCTCTGGTCTGTGATATGCTGTTCAGCACAACGTTCCCACTGTGAACGAGAATGCATACCTCGATTCCAGCCATTCAGAACGGCTCTGGGCGGCCAGACGACCTTTCGTCGCACTATAGTCACGAGTTCCGAGTACACCGCTTTCGCGACAGGCATCATGTCCCTGTCGCGCTCCTCCGCCTCGTTCCCCGCGTCCCCGTCCTCACCTACATCGAACCCGTAGTCTACGTTCCATAGCGACTCTTGAAATAGATACCAGAACCCGAGTGTCATTTCGCTTTCTTCTTCGTCTACGCCGTAGTAGCCCGGCAGCGCGGTGTACTGTAGTAGCAATTTGAGGAAGTTCTGGACAAGATGCGAGAGCGTGGGGAGTGGCGATGGTAGCGGTACAGGGGAAGCTATTGGCTTGACTTGCGCGGGCGCCGCGATGTTCTTCGCGAAATACATCGCAGAGTGGTCGCCGAGCGCGACGAGCAGTTTGCACAGCGAGTGTGAGATGTCGTCCGCGAAACCCGCTGAGAATAGTGATGTTGGTTAAGAGTTGACGCGATGACATGGCGTGAGCGTACCGTCTATGGAGGCTTGCACGACGGGACCCCCGTAACGGTCTAACCAGAGAAGCAGCGGTTCTGTGACAGTCTTCGTGCCTGAGCCGTCGCACAAAGAAGATGCGGTCAACAGCTCTTGCAGGCTGTCGGACGCGGGGATGAATGCCTGATCGTCGAATTCTGGAGTGGATGATTCGACGGTGGGGATCATCAATGCTAGGAGTAATGAGACGAATGGTGTGAGATCGCTGCAAGTTTGTAAGTACAGAAAACATGCATATACGAGGAATAGAGTCAGACATACTTTGCGGGGAGGATCGACATCCACGCCTGCAGACATTTCGACGCCGAACTGAGCTCGTGAGGAGCACGTTGTCCTGCAGGAGCTGTCAGTGAGCTGCTGATTCCTTGCGTGACGAGAGGTATGGCTTCCGCAAGACTTGACTGCATCTGGGCCCTGGTTTGCCACACCGTCAGCTGCACTGGTACACCTCGTGTCGCATCCGGAGACGAACTTGCTGGGTGGCAGTAGGTCTGCGGTCTCCACCTCTTCGGCGACGATCGCCAGGAAATCCATGAGGTGCTCCCGAGGGACGCCGATGTTGGAGAATACAGACAACGTAGCGCGCAGCCAGTCTGGCCAGCGGGTGGGGCTGCCGGGATGTAGCTTGATCGCAAGCGAAGTGATCTGTATTGGTCCGCCCTCACAACATGTACACATGCTCGGACAATCGACGCGACGTACGGCTACGAAGAGCTTGCGAAGGGTCACTTTGCTCTGACCTGACGTGATCGCGCGACCAGTCAATTCTAGCAGCATGTCTCTCAGCTGCGGCGCGGCATCTTCGGGTACCGATTCCCTGTTGGTGTCTTGCGTGAGAAGAGGTAATATCAGAGTGGGATGCGGCTTACCAGTCTCGTGCAATCTTGACTTGGACTGTATGCGCGCCAAAGAATTGCACATTTGGATCGGGGTGGCTCAGGAACGGTAGAACCAAACCCCATGCCTCCGGCCGACGCTGGATCTCAAAGAGTTCTTGCTGAAGACCACGTTGTTCTTCAGAGGATAGTCGTTGTTGGGGGGAGTATGATTGCTGAATCAACTGGGATATGAGGCATTAGCCGATGTCAAGGGAAATCCTGCTGTGTCCACAAGTCCAAGCCAATACGCGTCGCGTTCAGACCATTTAGAAAGAACATGGAGGAAATACTGGATAGTATGTTGTGGAACCGGAATGCTCAAGCGTGAACTCCAGGACTCCGTTACTTTCGTTGATACATTTCTGGTTAGTCCCCGAGCACGCGCCGTTCTCCCGTCCGCTGATCCGTCGCCTTCCTACGCGTCGTACCTGTCCGGAACAGATTCATGTGGACAACTCACCTGCGTCGCTCTATCCACATCTCCTTGTGCGAGTACCGGCAGAAACGAAGCCATGCTCGATCTGAGTGAGATTCTATAGTATGGTGCAAGTTGTTCAGCCTCTGCAACGCGAGGCCCAAGTTCTGCGACAGGATCGTGCAACTTCCTGGTGGCTTGTAGACAGATAGAGAGAATAGGTCGTCCAGAGAAGCGGACAGAGAGTGTGTTGAACGGAGAGACAGTAGCTAGCAGCTAGCCACCGACCAGACAATACCACAGCCATCGCAATAGGGCGCTTCTTTGACTTTAGATCTAATCTAATCTAGGATTCAAGCTCAACTCTCGAATCTGTAGCTGCCACAACCCTCCTGTTCTCACAAGACGACGATGTAAAACTGAACCCCACTCACTCGTACGCAGAGAGATTTACTCTGGACCAGTCCGGGGAATAACGAGCTGTTGCTGTATCTGTGTTGGGTTTTTGGTTTCGGCTGAGCGAACGCCTGCTCGCCGGCGCTTGCCGAAGCGTTCAGTATGTGCGCAAGACTCATCTTGCACGCTATCCGTTTGCCTTCGTACCACGACGACACGTAATACGGGACAAACGGAATTTTACTCGTTTCTTACTCCTACCGACGTTTTCTCGACTGCTCCAACAGCTTGTGCATGAATGACTATTACAGACGATCTGCTCGCGCCGAATATCGTGAGAGGCTGGCACATGTCGGTTTCAACATTGGCCAGTTCGTGGATCGGCCTCATGGATGTGCCGAACCACATGAAAGTACGTTTTCGCAAATGAGCATAGCGTCTCCTTCTAGCTATTCATAAACAGACATACAGCTCCAGTATGACCTCTCCTGCGGTTCGTCGGTGCCTGGCCGTGCGCACTTTGAGAGGGGAGAGTTTTGGTTCGGCGAATTTCAGTCTTGTCCTAGTGGCTGCCAAGAAAGCCCTAAGCGCAAATATCGTAAGTCCACCGATCTTTTCAGTCGATCACGATAACCCCACGTCATTCAAGTAATCCCCGGCCTTCACGGAATTGTCGGCGGCACACTCCATGCCCAGCCATGCTCACACGATAAGATACAGCCGCAAAGACAGCACGCCAAGCCTCAGTCAGTGGCCACCAAGGGGCCCGGAGGTATACTGCAACCATAGCAAGACCGACTCTTCCTATCACTCCTAGAACCACATTATTACCACAGTACAAACAACACCATCTCGTCGACATACACACTTGCGATCCATGCCCTAGCCCCTATGTATCATTTGCACGCTGCCAATGCACTTGCGTGTGCACTTGTGGCTGCCGGTCAACTGCCGCCGCAGCGTTAGTGCTAGCGATCAGCGGTAGCCGCTGACCAGTGGCTATTTTTCAAGTGCCTCAATTTTCATCAGACACTGAGACAGCGAGTCCAGAAGAGACGAGGATCAGGCAATGAACATACATGCTATCATGCACTGCTTTAACTGCTTACCCGCAAACTGTGCGGAACACCGCTATCCCGAATACGGCGCTGAACAACGCTCTCCCCGGTATGCATCTTCCAGGAAGCGCGATAAGTACTGGAGACGTTCCTGACTCGTGCTTCTTTCCAGGCCCGCGGTGAGTATCGTCGTGTTTCCGAGGCCTCTCCGCCTGGGCGCGAAGGAGATAAGGGACACAAATCTGGAGGCCGCAATCGTGTACGTCCATCTACCATAATCGGGGGCCCTACGGCATATCTTATCCATACGCGGGCGTTCGCACTAGGCGTCCCTCGGCCAAAACAGACTTCAATAGACGTCCCTGAGAATTTCATCTCATCACATGCACCGCGATAACTGCGATGCCGTGATGGGACGCTTTAAAGGCCCCAACCCGAGGTGCTCCACCCTCGGGCCACCCTGCAGTTCCCCTCCCTTCCACGATGAGCGCGAAGAACTCCTTTAGCGACACCGACGAGAAGAAGGCCCAGGTCGACGTCCACCACGTCGCGGTCGCCGACGCGGATGTCGATACCGCCGCGAAGCTCGCCGCGGGGCTCGACCAGGCGCTCACGCCGGAGGAGTCTGACCGGCTTCGGAAGAAGATCGACTGGCACATTCTGCCATTGATGTGCAGTGAGTACCTCGTCGGTCTCGGGTCCTCAACATGTGTGCTGATGTGCGCGTGGTTGTTGAGTTCTTTACTGGATCCAGTTTATGGACAAGACGACGCTGGGGAGCTCGGCTATTCTGGGGATCAGGTACGTGGAAGCAGCATTTGAGTTGGACTCGGTCTGATCTCCGGGGCCTATAGGGAATCTACGCACCTTACGACCAACCAGTGAGTACCAGATACGTCATATGATTGTTCCTGTCTGACCCGCTTCTGCGTAGATACAACTGGCTCGGGACCATCTTCTACCTGAGCTACCTCGTCTTCGAGTATCCCCAGAACCTGGCTCTCCAACGCTTCCCTGTCGGGAAATGGATGAGGTACGTTCCGCCGATAATCTCCGCGTCGTATGCCGTCTCATCTTCTATGCAGTATCAACATCTTCATTTGGGGTGTGGCGCTCTGTTCGCATGCTGCGTGCAAGAGCTTCGGCGGCCTCTTCGCAGTCCGTCTGATCCTGGGCATGTGTGAGGGTTCCATCACTGCCGGATTCATGATCGTCAGTTCCATGTTCTACACGCGCAACGAGCAGACGTTGCGCGTGGGCTACTGGTGTGAGTCCCCTGCTCTTCCGACAACATACCTTAGTGCTCACGCGAACATCTAGTCTTGATGAACGGCACTGGTGTGTAACTGATCATGTCACGGGGGCTGGTTGCATGGAATAACCCCGTAATTTTAGCCCAAATCATCTCGGGCTTCCTGAGCTTCGGCACGTTGCACATCAAGACGAGTAACTTCGAGCCTTGGCAATGGTGCGTCGATACTTCTACAAAGCTAGACCCAGCCCTCACCACCACACTACTGCAGGCTTATGATCATCACCGGAACCCTGACTCTGATCACTTCGGTGGCCTACTGGTACGCAGAATGCATGAATATCGTGTTAAGGATGGTTGTGCTTACATCTTACAGGTTCTTGTTCCCTGATTCGCCTACCAACGCGTGGTTCCTTACTATGGAGGAGCGCGCGATGGCCGTCAAGCGCATCCAGGAGAACCAGACTGGTGTTGAGAACAAGCACTTCAAGTCCGAGCAGTACGCACCTCATTTCTTCCGCAATCCCGCTCAACTAATCTAACTTCCAACCGCCTTCAGGTTCTACGAGGCGCTCACCGACCCCAAGACGTGGCTCTTCGCGCTCTTCTCTGCGCTCGACAACGTGCCCAACAGTCTCACGAACCAGCGCCAGATCATCGTCTCCTCGTTCGGCTTCTCGAACCTGCACACGACGCTCCTTGGCTGCGTCGACGGCTTCATCGAGATCGTGACGATCTACACGGGCGTACAGATCGCAGCGCGCATCACCAACAGCCGCGCATATGTCGGCGCGATCTACTTCATCCCGAACATCATGGGCGTGCTCATCATCAACTTCCTGCCGTGGGACAACAAGGTCGGCCTGCTCTTCGGGCAGTGGCTTACCGGTGCGTATTTCGCGTGTCCGCCTCCGTTTTCTCAGCGCTGACGAACCGGCTCTCATCAGGTGTCGGCACCACGGGCTTCGTCCTCTCCCTCTCGTGGCTCTCGAGCGTGACGTCCGGCCACACAAAGCGCGTGACCGTGAACGCGATCATGCTCATCTCGTACTGTGTCGGCAACGCCGCCGCGCCCTTCATGTGGCAGGCCAAGTACAGGCCCCGGTACGTCCCCTCCACCCCGCTCTCCTTCCACCCGATGCAGCCGCTTACTTTCTGCGATGTGTAGAAACCACATCCCGTGGACGATCATCGGGATATGCTACGTGATCTGCCCGATTTTGATGCTCTTGATCCGCGTGCTCCTCCTGCGCGAGAACAAGAAGCGCGATGCGGAGCCCAGGGACGATACGTACGACGACGTGTACATCGAGGTCGTTCTCCCCGACGGCACGCGCACCGAGAAACGCGTCGACAAGGTGCGTTCTCTCTCTCTCCCATTGACTCGCGTTAGGGCGTAGTGCTGACACAGAGTATCTGCCTTCTAGGAATACTTGGACTTGACGGACATCCAGAACCGTGACTTCCGATATGTGCTGTGAGGCGCGTGCGGTGCTTAGAACCCCGTACGCCAGATACCTGGATGAGATGTACGATACGAGGGGTTATGACCGCGATGTGTAGTTAAAGCAGCGCCGCGCTTATAATGTGTGGCTATGCATGCAATCACGATTATGTACGAATACCAGCTTGCCATGGTGCCTGGTCTGACACTCGAGTGGTGATTATCTCGGTAAGTGATGTTGCTGCGGTGCGACCAGACCATTGGGGAGACATTGACGGACGGCCAGCCAGCGAGTGTCGTACGTGAAGCATCTGAAAAGGGTAGTTTCAAACTTTGGCGCGACGAGTGTTGCCGACTGAAATTTCCCCGGACATCAGCGCAGGCATGGCTGGTTGAAAGACGTTCATGAAAGCGAGAACCCGCTCAATGGCTACAACGCGTACTCACACGCGTACGTGCAGACGATATTATCGACCCTCTCACCATTGAGACATTCAGCCGAGCACTCACAGGGGGGCGGTGAACCGTGATCAAGCGAACACAACGCATACATTGGCATACGCAAACCTCGACTCGCAGACAACAACTCTAGCTCGTATCGCGAGACCTGAAAGGCCCCGCTGTAACCCTCCGTCTGACCTCTAGTGGAAGCCCATCCAGCACTTCGCGCCGCCCTCATTGTCGTCGCACTCGACGTCCGACGCGCCCTGGTCAATCGCCTGCACGAGCAACCCCGCGCACGCGTCGTAGCAGTTCTCCGGGCTCTTGTAGTCGTGCGTGCCCTTGAACCACCCGCGCCCGCCGCAGTTCATCCCGTCCTGCCAGACCGCCCACAACGTCAGCGTAAAAGGACGGAGACGGTGAAACGTGCGGCGTACCCAGTTGTCGGTGCGGTAGTTGTTGAGGCAGGTGTGGAGGGCGCCCTGGTCGGTCGCGCCGAGCGCGTTGAACTGGCGCACGATGGACGCGTTGGCGGAGACCTGGCTGACGGCGAAGGCGGCGAGGGCGAGGAAGGCGGTGGTGAACTGCATAGTTTCTATAGGTGGGACTATGATGGCGGGTGAGAGGAAGAACATGGTAGGGAGGAGGAGGGAGGACTCACTGTAGAAGCGGTAGGCTGGAGACTGTAGAAAAGAGGCTGTTGGTGAGGAGAGTAAGGGTATCGTGCGTGGTTTTATATCGCCGCGAGCTGGCCAGTCCTAAGGCCAACCTAAGGCTGACCAGCTACCGTCCGCTTACCGCGGCCGTCAAGCGCTGCGCAGACTCATGGTCAATTTCCGACGTTGAGAGGTATACCGTTGTCCGCCGTTCGAGAGTGCTTCCACCGCCGACTCGTTGGCCTGTGTCATCGCAAATGGCTCCTGGAACGTTGCCAGGCCGCATCACGACGTGCCAAACCAGACTCCTTTGCAAATCAACGTCCCCGCGCCGCCATGGAGCTGTCAATAGAGCCTCTTGTTGACGATCGGCACAACAGCTGGGCGGCTGTGGCATCCTTTGTACGATCGGCACAATAGGCGGGGCACCGGTGAGAGTGAGAGAGCGTCCCGGGCATGTATGATGGGCGCCATAGACGCCGCCGATCCCGCACGGAGGCCACTGTGCCAAGGAGGCCGGCTAGAGGGGGCGTGACCGGGCTAGAGCAGACACATAATTGGATGTGGCTATTCAGACATGTCGTCGTTGCTTGATGTCCGACTTGCTGCTAGCGAAGGGGTTTAGACCAGCTGCTCTACCTCGGACTGACTGTGTGGGTCACCGATGTGAATTAGTCCGTCGATTTGATCCTTGGTAACCCGTCCGAGTCTTCGTGGCCGGTCGGTGCATACATGGTCGAGTGCACGATATCTTTGCTTTGCGCTATGTCGAGGGTCGTTGATCACGGGATGGTCGGCGGGAAGTCATTCTAGCTCAGCAAAGGCCCACCGGCAAAACGTCGTCGGCCGCTCATGAAGGTCACAGGTGTTGCCACTAGCAGATGAAATTCGCTCTTCTCCAGTCGCGTGCAGCGCAGACGGGGCTCATGTTCGAGGTCATGCAGCTCAAATTTCAGAACCGTCTGGATGTGTCGTCCATCCTTCCCGTATCAAGAAAGGAAACTTTGCTACAGCTGGTGTGATCGGAGCTACCGGAGCAGACGACGGTGGCGGTGAGCGACGGGCATGCTCGGAACTGGAGCTTGTTTGCACTCACCAATTAGCTATGCGAGGACAAATACTGCCCCCACGTGGTAGCACCCCGTGGTGATAGCATCTAGTGTAGGTCCGTGTTTTGGTACAGCACATTTGCAAACTCCAGGCGGCGGAATGTACGGGCAACGTAATGATGCGCTAGGGACTAGGGAGACGCGCGAGGCTGAAGACTGGCGACGGTCTCATTCGTCGATTTCACATAAAGGAGAAACAAGTAGTAAAACAAGCTGGCAGGTGATAGCTGCATCGGCCATATGATAGGCCGCCCGGCTCGGACACGATGAGCAACGGTGTTCAAGCCCGGTGAAAAGTCGGTCTGGCAGGCGCGGGCTATATCCGCCCATATCTGGTAGGCGCGGGAATTTCTGGCGCGTACCGCTCATTCCTGACAGGGCGTCTAATACATGACAGCTACTCAGCTTCTTCTACCCACCGACGCACGACGCAGCTCTCGGGCAGGCCGTCTTGCTTCGGTTTGGCTGAGCTGTGGCGTGTTTCGGCGTGTCTGAAGCAGCCTGCGTTCCGGCTTTGCTTCGTTCCACCAGACCCTCCCTGTATGCTACTTGCCACTGCGCCCCCGCAATCATATTCCTTCTCCCCGACAATCTACTGCTTTCTGGAGCCCCTCTGACATGGCTGACGGCGGTCTGGTCCTCTGCACATGTCTTCGTGAGTGCAAAGGGGGCACAGAAATCTCGCTGCGAAAATGGTATGCGCACCGCCCGTTCCGACTGTCGATACAACCGCTCGCGGATTTCCTCGCCGCGCCGGAAGCCTCCAAAAACCCCCAAGGCGCGCCGCGAGGGGATAAACAGGCCTACGTACCTCTGGCTGAACGTCGACGCAAGCGGAGACGGGCAGAAGTGGGCGAGGATGAGGACGTGATAATGGAGGGCACGCTTGACAACGCCGCAGCGGACCCGGTGGTACGGCACATTTTTCAGCGCATACATCAACCTACTGACACCTATATCATAGGGCGGGCGCATATATGCTGATTCGGAAGAGCTCGCAGCGCCTGTGTCACCGCGCGAAGTGACTCCAGAGCCACAGGCCCCGGTCCCCGTGCCCCCTGCCGCTGTACATGTGCCCCCTGCCCCCGATGCTCCGCCGCCACCCGAAGTCGAGGAAGGTTACGAAGAAGAGTATGCCGACATCGACGTAAGGCGCGAAGACATCAAGATCACACTCGAGTACATACGACTCATTCGCAACGCCACCCTCGACGAGAGCGGCTTGGACCCGGAACTGCTGGAACATCTGCGCAACCCTCCCGAGTGCGAGCTCAAGATCGACGACCCGGACGTCATCCTGTCCATCGAGCTTTTCCTCGCGACGGGAAACGCGTCCATTGAGACATACAACGCGATGCGCGACGCTATGCAGCGGCATCCCCGTGGCGTGAAGATCCTCTCTCATTACAAGGTATGTAGCTCCCTTCTTTTCGGCTGCAGCTCGTGTACACTAATGACATGTTTGTCTTAGGTCAAGCGCACCATAGAGAAGATCACCGGGATCTACTCGGAACGACACGACATGTGTATCAATAGCTGCATTGGCTTCACCGGTCCGCGCGCCGACCTCCAGGAGTGTCCCAAGTGTCACGAGTCTCGCTGGTGCCCCATCCGTCTCAAGGATGGTGTCAAGTATGGACGCCAGCATTTTACGACCATCCTGCTCGGCGCGCAACTCCAGGCTCTCCACCGCTCCCCGGAAGCGGCGGAGAGAATGATGTACTTCTATCAGACTGCCTGCGCTATCCTGGCCGGCGCTCAACCTGGTGCTCCCCTAGCGAACTTCTGGGACTTCCCTTCTGGCTCCTTGGCACTCGAGGCGGTCGACGGCAAGGTTATCGGACCTAATGACGTCGTCGTGGTCTTCTCAATCGACGGCGCTCAACTGTACAAAAACAAACGGTCCGACTGCTGGATCGGGCTGTGGCTCATTCCGAACCTCGACCCGGACCTGCGTTACAAGAAGCCCTATGTCTTCCCCGCACTGATCATACCTGGGCCGAAGCATCCGGACGACCTCGATTCATTCATGTTCCCTAGCTTGTACCACGTCTCCGCTCTCATGCGCGAAGGTCTGGCCATCTGGAATGCCCACCTCAAGGCTCGCGCTCTCTCGAAGCTGTTTCTCTTGCTACGCGCTGCCGACGGCCCCGCTATCGCCGGACTCGAAGGGCTCGTTGGGCATCACGGCTGCCGTGGATGTCGCGTGTACTGCGGCTTGATTGGCCGCCACAAACCTGGTTGTCCGCACTACTATCCGGTCCTTCTGAAGCCGCTGAACTACAACGTCCCGGGCTGCGATCATGACGACGTCTCTCTCGACTCGATACCGCCCACCTCCGTAGCCGAATACCAGGCCAATCTCCGGTTACTCATTGCTGCTGAGAACGACGCCCAATACAAACTCATTCGCAAGGCGACCGGGATCTGCAAGCCATCCATCTTCTCCGGCTTGTCGCGTGCTTTCCCCTCCCCTCTTGGCTCGACACTGGACCTCATGCACCTGACGGATCTGAACATCCCGGATCTTCTTCTCAGCATCTGGCGGGGCGTCATCAAGGGGAGTGTCGCCGATCCCAAGGAGTATCCGTGGGCAGTCCTACAAGGCGACGTCTGGACAGCCCACGGTCAGCAGGTGCAGCAGGCGGCTACTTACCTTCCCGGCTTCTTCGATCGCTCGCCACGGAACATCGCTGAGAAGATCTCGAGCGGATACAAGGCGGCCGAATTTCACACGTACCTATGGAACTACGCCCCGGCCATGCTTCGCCACCTCCTCCCACCTCTTTGCTGGCAGCATCTCTGCAAAACGGCTAAGAGCGTCCAGATCCTCCATCACGAGAACATCCTCCTCGCCGAGCTCATCAAAGCGAAGAAGCTGCTCCAGGAGGCTACGCGCGAGTGCGAAGAGGTGTACGTCGAGCGCGACATCGACCGCATGCACTTTGTCCGGCCTTGTCTCCACACACTTTGGCACGCCCCCGACGAGATCTTCCGACGTGGCTCTCTCATTTGCTGTACCCAGCATGCCATGGAACGACTTATCGGCAACCTCGGCGGTGAGATCAAACAGCCCTCCAACCCGTATCACAACCTCTCGGAGCGCGCGGTTCTGCGTTGCCAGACCAACGCCCTCAAAGCCATGATTCCGGAGCTGGATAGAGTTGCGACTAAGGCGAAGACCCTTCCACGCGGGGCGGAGGACCTTGGGAACGGCTTCATTCTGCTGCGCGCCCTGGACAGCTGCCCCCGTGCTGTGTCGGAGCTCGAGGCCCGCGCTTTCCACCGGTACTTCCTCGCCGCCTACCCGACCTTCGTATCTGAAATCAACCGCAATGACTTCACGTTCAAGGCACACCGATGGGCGCGTCTCCGCCTCCCGAACGGCCTCGTTGCGCGCTCCGCCTGGAAGGAGTGCAACAAGCCTCTGTCCAAACTCCGGCTTGCTCGATGTGTCAAGGTATGTACATTGTTTCGCATTAATATTGCTTGCTAACGGAGCGGATATTCAGTTCGTCAACAGTAACGGGGACTCCGAAGTGGGGGAAGTGCGCTACTTCTGCCAGGCTGGTCCCGATCGTCGCGCGGTCGCGATGGTCTCCGTCTTCGGTGCGCGCGACGCGCAGCTGTACAAAGACTCATACGAAACTATCGAGCTGATGGAATATCGAGGCGAGGCAGACATGCGTGTTGTCGAGGTCAAGGATATCAAGACGGTGGTGGGAATGATCCCGGACGTGATGCCGGCAGAGTCGACGTATGGTACGGACTACAAGCACCTACATGAGGGCTGCAAATACTTTGTTGTAGAGAAGCTGGGCTTGCAGGTAGGGGTACTAGTAGGGGAGGTCGAGCCCGAGATGGATATCGATGAATAAATTTGAATTCTCGTTTTTACACGTCGGGGTACATGCCCATCTCCAGCTGACATTCAAGCGACATCTCTACCATAAACGGGTACTCAATCTCATGCGGATCAGATGTCGGGACGACGCGCACATTGGAGTCGGGGGGGAGTGTAACGACGCGCAGGGGAAAGATGGGAGGGACTCTCGGAAAGCGAGGCGGCTCATTGTCATGTACTAACGTGATGTCCCCGTCTTCCATCTCCATCTCGTGCTTATCCCCCTCCACTGCCACCGTCGGCGCGTCCGCAAACAACGCGGGAAGCCGGGTCATATACCTAGATGGGACAAGATTAGCTATAGGTGTAGCCGAGCAGATGGCGAGACTTACGACGGTCCCAGGAACTCCCAGTCCTTGTAGGGCAGCGTACGCATGAAGTCGCGCAGCCCGTCGAGCGACTCCAAGATAGACGTGTACTCCGCTTGAACATCGTCAATGGAGATGCCTTGGCTGCTCATCCGAACACAGCTCCTGGCGGCCGTCTTCGCGAACTTGCGGAAGTCCCTGTATGCTTCTGCCCCCTTGCCCTTGGACAAGATCACTGTCTCGGGGTCAGGGGACCGGTCGCGCGGGGGTTGCGGGGGCAGCGCGAACTTGTAGTAGGCATGGAGGAGGTTGCCAGAGGTGTTGTGGGGTCCATTTCGCTCTAGACTGGACATTGCATGTCAGGGAAACGAATATACGAGACAAATAGGCCGCATATACCTAGCATTCCGGCGCGAGGGAGTCTGATCCAGAGTCCGCAGAAACTCCTCCATCCAGTCCGGTAGTGGCGGGGTTGCCAGATCAGAATCACCCAGAGAGTCTCCGCGTGCAGCACCAGAGTCCCCAGCACAGTCAGAGGCCCCAGTGCCCGAGTATTCAGTGTCGCCATCGTAGTTTGCAGCGGACATGGTGGTGCGATGAAGAGGAGCGCGTCTCCAGCGTCTATGGGAAGCGGTGTCCCAAAGAGGAAGGCCTGCTGAATGTGATGTTGTCCGTCCTGTCATCGAATCACTCTCTTCCTCCTCCCACCAACATGCACTCTCAGGACGACGATCTTTTTGGCGCAGACGGATGCCTCGCAAATGCATCACTGCAGAAAAATGGGGCCACATTTTCCACTCTGTCCCACCTGCGCACTCACGATCTCCAAGGATCGCCGCTCTACACGTTCGAAGGAACGTACATCTCTGACAATTCATTGAGCCCGGAGACCCCCACTGCATCGTCAAGATACAGTTCATCCTCTCTTTTGATGCCCTCCAGGCTTGCCGACCCCCCGGGCTTGGGCGACAGCTTCAGTGCCTCTACAAGCCTGCAAGTAAATCAGGGTTCGCTATTTTTATCCGATTATATGCGTGCTCATTCATCCGAAGGAGACGGGCCCCATGTTCCGTAACATGCATCCTTCCGGCGCCGAGTACACTCGCTCGTTGAGACACGCTGAGATTCTGAGTGCGAAGCTGCGCGAGCTCGAGAAGGTCAACGCCGAACTCACGGCAACCGTGCGAACACTGCAGTGAGATATTCATGCATATATGCGCTTACTGTTACTCATTCAAGTACCCAGGCATGCCTACAAGGTGCTTGCCACCGCGCAGCCCCGTATGCTGGCCACGTCAGGCAACCCATTCAACCTCGCCGTCACCCCGGACGCCGGCTGGGATGTCAAATCCCTCCTCGCTTGCGAGGACGCCCCCATTATCAAATTCAACTCCGAGAAGCATGCGAACCTCAAGTTCTTCTCTCGGAAGCACTTTAAGCCCTATATGAAGGGACAGCCGAAGCACGATCTCGCAACAAAGCAGATGGAAATCGGTAAAAGCGGACGCACTCGGGGTGTTCCGATATTCCTAGAGAGTCTAGACGGCACTATCATGGCAGCTGATCGTTACTCAGACCTGCGTGCGCACTGCCGCAACGTCCTCCAGACTCTGGACGACACCGACAACGCGCCAGAGGTGTGGAGCAAAATCAACGACGCTGCACTTAACTATGTGATCGTTCAAGTCGGCAAGGTCTTCCCGGAAGTACAGGAGTGCGAGAACCACTGGAAGCTCAAGCACCTCATGATGAACATGTACTCCGACTTCGGCCGCGACAGGTCTAACACGGCGCCCAAGAAAGACGCCACCGCCAAGAAGGCCGCCTCGAAGAAGCGACCTCTCCCGGATGGCGATGCCAACTCGGCGGCACCGGATCCCAAGCGGCAGGCGACCACACCGGGTTCCCAGACCCCATCGGAGGTTCCCTCCCCCCTTGCGTGTTGAACTTCTGTGTCTACGGCTGTGCCGGACCGGGAGTGGCAGTGATAGTGGCTGTGCGTCTACCATACGCCAGCATGGACTTTCCTACTTACCATATACGTACATTCTTTTGTTCTGTACTTACTTGGCATCCTGCCATCCCTCCATATGATTCTGGTACGTTCTACGATGTTCCGGACTATTCTAGACAGCGTCCGGATTACTCGCATTACTCAGCCATGGACTATCTGACCTTATGTCGATTATGCTCCC